AGCAAGCGCAGGGCTCGAGGGGACATGCGAGCCATTGTCCATTTTGTGCCAGTAGAAACTCGAAATGAGGGACGCGTTTCATTTGAGTGCAAGGCAAGGAGAATCGGGGCAGAGCACATCTTAGACTGATCTCCAAGGCTCTGTAGAGGCTCCTTTCAATTTACTTTTCTAACTTGATTTCTTACCGGAATCTTCTGACGTTGGCCAAATGGAACTTTTCATGTTTCTTACTCACAGGCTTCAGACATGTCTCCCTTCTTCCTTCGTCTCCGCCCCTGGGGTTTTTTCGCTGCCTCGTTGGCAGTCCTGGCGGCCGGCACCTGTGCGGCGCTGGCGTGTCCCTCCCAGCCCTCAGGTCCTGCCTCGGCCGGGAAGGCTTTTCTTTCTGCACTTGTCCACTCCGCCCTCCCATCTTCTCAGCCCTTTCCAGGACTGTCACATGGTTTTTATTTCTCATAAGCAGCATTATATTCTTATTTCTTTCATATATGTGCGTCTTCCCTTTCCAACCACATTGTACATTTCTCGAGTCTAAGTCTGTGTTGTGTATTTTTTCTGTCACCTGTAGCAAGCACTAAGTATAACTCAAAAATACTGGTACACTCCCCAACTGGTTTGTAGAGTCATTTAAACAATAGAGACTTTTTTTCACATCCATTTTACTTCATGAGCATTGTTTAGAAAGCACTGTGGGAAATCCGGCCATGACTGCAATGCGGTTTCTCGCCGTAGACACTCGCAGTCTGGAGGAGCCTACAGATGGCCCAGCCACGCAGCTCAGCGTGCGCGTGTTGGGGAAGAGATGTAGTCCCAGTGCTGGGGGCGGCTTAAGGACGGGCACCTTCTCCTCAGTGAGGGCCGGGGAGTGCCTGGGTGTGCCTGTGAGGACGGCGTCAGCAGGTGATGACAGCTAGACTTGGGAAGGGCACTTGGGATCGAGGGCACAGCCCGAAACAAAAGTGTGGAGACGGGGCCGCACCGAGGACCCTGCAGGGCTGCTGGGGACGCGGGGCGTGTGGGTAATTGGGGAGCATGTGGGTGATTGGCGAGCGTGGAGTTCAGAAAATGAACTTCGGGCAATTTTTCTTTATCAGTCGTTTGGCAGTGGTCTTAAAACTTCAGCATCAGCAGCCCAGAAGGCCTTGAACTACAGACCGCTGGGCGCACCGCCCGCGCTGTCCTCAGCCGGTGTGCAGAGGGGCCCCGAGGCTTTGCGTTCCTGACGCCTCCCCAGCGGGGTGCTGGGGCCGCTGATGGTCAGACACCAGTCCGTCTGGTAACTGCCTGTTCTACAGAGGGAAGTGCCCAGTGTCGGTGGATAACTGCGTCCTTATCGCTTTATGGACTTGTCTTTCCGTGGATTGTAAGTTCAGGCTTCTCATGTCACGAAGGCCAAGCGTGTTGCTGTGACAATGGCAATACAGCCATTGATACTGTAATCACCAACTTGCCGCCAATTTATAAATACATGAACTAGAAGAAGCTCAACCTTTGGAAGCGCTTCTGAAATGAGGGTTTTAAACCTTTGTGACTCAAAATGTGAAGCAACAATGAATATAGCAGCAGTTCTCAGACTTCTTCTCTGCATGTCTTCAGGTGCTTTAAAATTATTGAGGTCTCCAGAGAGCTTTTGTTTATGTAGGTTTGATCTATTGATATTTATCACATTAGAAGATAAAAAAAAATGTTTAAAATATATTAATTCATCCTGGCTGATGTGGTTCAGTGGATTGAGCGCCAGCCTGCAAACCAAAGAGTCACCGGTTCGATTCCGGTCAGAGCACATGCCTGGGTTGTGGGCCAGGTCCCTAGTAGGGGACATGCAAGAGCAACCACACATTGATGTTTCTTCTCCTCTCTAAATAAATGAATAAATCTGAAAAAAAATATATTAATGCTTTATCAATAGTAATGAACCCATTATATATTATGTAAATTTTAAATGAAGAATCACTATAATAAAAATAAAAACTTGTAACGAGAAGATGGCATTGCTTCAACTCTTCGCAGATCTCTGTAGTGTCTGGCTTAACAAAAGGCAACTGGTTCTGCATTTAGTCCATAGTGATACATGTGTTGGCTGAAGTACATGAAGAAAATTGGGAAAAGGGCATTTTCACATAATTGTGGACTTCCTTCTTTGATCCCAAAACTTGACAGGTTGTAGTTTCTTAAAGGTAGAATCTGAAACTATATGAATGAACTTTTACTGTTACATAACAATCCATTGGTCTAATTTGTGCTTTGAATGAATCTTTTACCCATGAATGATTTTGTAGCATTTTGCATTTTTGGCCAGAAAATATTGATTCTCCGAGTTATGAGATCTTCCAAATATTGGTATGTTTCATTATACAATAAAAAAAATCACACCTGGTACCATCGATCTCATCAGAAGGGCTTTCGTGGGGGGAAGCCGTCACATTCACAGTGGAGGATGTGTTTTCCAGAATTCTGAGTTTCCCCTGGAAGCTTAAATTTTATCATCCTCAGCACGCAGTTGTTTTCCTTGAAGTGACAGGATCACATAGTTCACGTTCAAGAAAAGATCTGCCAAGTGCCAGAGCCTGAGTAACGGTGGCGATCTTTTCAAGTGCAGATTGTGTCCTTGAGGCAGGCGGCTGGCTGAGCGAGTGCAGCAGGTGCGGCAGGTGCGTTTCCGAGGCTCCGCGGCCCAGCGGTGCCCAGCGGGAGTGCCCCACGCGTCCTTCCCATTCTGCTACACGGAGGGCTGAAATTAAAAAATTTACTTGTTCTCCTGCTTCGTCAGGTGCTTCATTGCATTCCTCCGTGACAGTGGCTTTTCCTCTGCAAGTGCTGGTGGCAGATGCACAGGAGAGCGCGGTCCAGCGAGCCCGCAGGCCTTACCCGCCATTGCGTTGGTGCCCTCAGTGCAAGTGTGCGAATGGCGGGAGGAGGCCAGCGAGAGGGCCTCGGGTGCCGCAGGCGCGCGGCCCGCACTTGGGGGAGCGCAAGTTTGGTGACCAAGGTCGGGGTCCGCGGGGTGGCGTACGCAGCTCCGTGTCACTCCTACGACCTGACCCTCGGCTTTGTAAGCCCAGGACTCATTTCTTCATCCATTCGCTCCAGGGGTGGACTCTTGAATCATTTAGGGAATGGTAGTTCATGAAATAGAACTTTGTGTACTTATCATGAGAAAAATGCCAAGAGACACCATTCCGTTTGGTTGCTGTCAGAAACCGCAGCCGTCACCTGAGCCTAGAGTCTCGGGGCGCTGTCGTGAGTGCCCTTCGTGCTGCGGGGCGCCCCGCTCTGCAGTCCCGCCCTCACGTCTCCATGAAGGCGCACCTCCTCTCAGACCCACGCGTGTAGCCTTAAAGGACCCTTTTCCGGTCGGCAAGATAGGCACTTTCTTTCCAATTCCCCTTTTCTAGACTCCTCAGGCCCTGCTTCTTCTTAGTTTGGCAAAACACGGTTGTCTGTCTTCATTTCCGTCTTTCATTTGAAAGCTTTCCCGTGAGAACACGACTGTCTTGCTCTACCAGGAAAGCTTGCTGTAATCCCATTGACGCTCGGGCCTCTCCGTTCCATCCCCCGTGACAAAGCCTTCGGGCCTCTCAGGCTGACCGCCACCTGTTAGCCACCAGCCCCGGGCCACTCGCAGGAGAGGGGCGTGGCAGCGCTACTGTGCCCCGCAGGGTTGGAAGCAGAATCTGAGGCCCCGTCCCTGACCCATCGCGTCGGGGTCTACAGTGCACAAGACCCCTGCGTGGCTTGTGCGCATGTCTAAGTGTCCGGTGCCCTCGTTGTAACGGCCCTTGTTCCCGTGTGCCTGCCCCTCCCCCGACCTCACCGCGTCCTCACCGTCAGACCCCCCCTGTCTCCCGTCGCTCCTCACCCCTCTCAGGCGCCCTGTCCCGTTGTAGTCGCGTCTTCCAAGCGCCTCCAGAACCACCGCGCTCCCGGGCTTTGGCCTTCCGCGGTAGCTTCCGCGGTAGCTTCCCCGGCAGAGTTCCGGTTCTGGTTGCCCTGGTACCTGTGCCTGAGCAGGAGCTTGTTGTTAGAGGAAGAATAACAGAGACTGGTTTCACTTTAAATTCATGACCACAAACCTCATGTGTATGTTGTGCTGCTTGACATTCCTGCTGCGTTTCCTGAGTAAGCTTCTGTGTCTTTGCTCAAAGAAAAGTGCTTTGCGCTCGGCACCCTCTTAGCTTCCCTGAGCTGCCCCCCCTCCTGCTTATCCCGCTGGTTTATGAGAAGAGGGGAGAGGGCCTTTTACATAGTAGGTTGTCAGGAAAATTTGTTGAATTAATAGATGATCATTGTTTAAAAAAACAATTCAACCAAGTAAATCTGGAGATCCAGTTGACTTTATTAAGCAATTCCTGAATCGGGCAGTATCCCCTCTAGCAACTAGGTGGACCCGCTGACGGGTTGTGCCAAGTGGAAGGTTGTTATAGGAAGAAGAATGGGGTAAGGGGACTACTGACAACAGAAAAGATTTGGGGGGCCGGGAGGTCTTGTCTTTGGGGGAAGAGAAGGGGAACGGCTTGGTCATGCAGGTGCCTCCTCTTGCTCCGGGGTGTGGCGGGGGGGGGGCCATGACAGATGACTGTCGCTTGACCAGAAGTCCCAGTTGAGGTTACGTTTCTGGGAGAGGCTGAAACCACCGTTAGGCCAGGTATGAAATCTAGGTTTGGGGCCACAGGCTTTTGCATGAGTGGTGCCATTTGGGGCCTGTGGTTTTTCTTTAACACCGTCTTCTGGGAAGATTTCCTTCAGGGACCTAATCTGTTAGGCAAAGCACCAAGTCCCCAAAGTGCCGCCACTTTGAGTGACCATGGGAAAGCACTTAACCTCTCAGATGTTCATTCTCTTTGTCCGTGAACAGGCATAATCAGTTCCTAGGTTGAGTGCAGAGGTGGTTTATTATAATAAGAAAGAGTTTAGGCTGTGAAAGGTACTTTAACAATAACTGTTCTTTCTGCCTTCTTTCTCCAATAGAGTCTAAACTCTTTTTGTATTTTTCTCTGCAGATTTAACCCAGAGACTGACGTCGCTGTAGAACCTCCCACGGCTGTCTCAATGGTTGGGGAAAGGTAGTGGCACCAGGCGAGGGAGAGCGGCCGACACGCCGAGGACGATGAGCATGCTGAGGCCCAGCGGGCTCAAGGTCCCCGCCAAGATCCTCAGGCCCGGGGGCGCGGCCCTGAAGGCGCCCGCCGCAGGTGAGCCTTCGGTCCCCGACCGGCGAAGCGGGTACGGTCCTGTGTGAGGACTTCGGTTGGAAGTTTTTAAAAGATAACGTTATGAAGCTTCATATTCTTGAAAATGTTTGAAAAAGTTTTAATGAACAGAATAGCCTGTTTTGTCTAAAAGCCTTAATCCGTGAAGAGTTTACTTTGTTGTAGGTTATCTTTATGTAATGTAGTTCATTTAGTGTCAGGTGGTAAAATAGTTGTCAGGTTACGTGCCTTCAGTGTTTGATCATTCCAAGGAGAAGATAGGCCTTCGGTTTTTCTCCCCGCGCATCTTCTCAGCTCCTCCGGACCGTGGGGCGTAGGGACGTGGAGAGGAAACACAGGCCAGTCTGGCTCGCAAGACGAGGTGATGCTCCCTGAGAGAGGGTGACGTTGGCATCGAGGGCGCAGGCAGCGCGGCGACTCAGGTCTCCTTGCTGAGGGCAAGCGTCCCCACTGCGTGAATGGCCCAGGCCTTCAATGACCTTCGGCAACCTCTTCCCCACCTGCCCTTCACCTCCTTCTCTACTGTTTCAGTTTACGATGCATAATGATCACTTTAGGTCTTTACTAAGAGAAACGGGAGAGAGGGCATCTAATGCTTCCTTTCAGGGTCTTTTTATGTGACTCACATACAGCGAGACATGTCAGCCCTTCCAGACAGGTGTGCACCATAATGCAGCAGGTCCAACATTGTTACATTCTTCTCTGAAGATGCTCGTTGGCCTTCGGGGCTATTTAGCTTTGAGGCAAGCAGTCAAAACCGACGTCTCCTGCTCTCCTTTCCTCAAAACCTTTCCTCTTCTTAAGCCCCCTTCAAATCCCACGAGGTGTCCCACTGTGATACTCAGCCCTGCCTTAGTTCTCTCTCTCAGTTCTAGCACTTTCCGAGCACACCCCTTAGCACATAAAGTCCTTGAATCCAGGGGGTCCTGAGCAGTTCAACCTTGTGTCTCCAACAGTACTTGGCACACACTGAATTTTTTTAAAAGTGGAAAGCAGTTTATTATTAATACGAAAACTTACATTCCTAAAAGAAAAGAATTGCCAAGGAACTCAAGGCACGTTTATGAAGATCGTTTGTCAGAAAGTCATGCTTGCAGACGCTGGGAAGAGGAGTCGCTGACGCTTGCACCAACTCTGAAAAACTGAGTGGGCTGGTCCCTGCCTTTGACAGATTATTATCTCTTCTCCCCGAGAACATTGGCTCTTCTTTAAAAAAAAAATCCTCCACAAATCAAAGCTCCGCGGTCTCCCTTGGGGTAGTATAACATCCGGACCTGCTCTGGGCCAGCCAGAACTGCTCTGTCGCCAGCCTTTGCACAACTGATGGCTGTTCCTCTGGTCTCAGGCCATATGCCTCTTCCTCCAGGAAGCCTTCTCTGACGGCGCCACCCAGAGGCACTGCCCCCTCCGCAGCACTCGGGCTACCTGAACCCACATCCCGTCTCCTCACCTCTCGCCTGAACCCTGTGAGGGCACAGACTGCACTGTCTGGCTTCGTCCCCTAGCACAGAACAATGCCCGGGACTCCCCCAGGGGTGGTAGGAGCTCAAAACACACACGTGCGGCATCAATAAATACAGTTTCTCTTTGAATACTCATTTAACATTCCTCAAGATAGATTACACTTTCCCCTTACAGACGAAGAAACTGAAATTCAGAGAGGCTGTGCAACACCCTAAGAGCCCAGAATACCCAGTCAGCGGTATAACGATTAAGAATCTGGGCTCTTTTTGCCAGTTCGTACATCATATCTATTAAATGCTTGCTGGCTGAATGCATGAATGCATTTCCGCATAAACATCCCATTTCTGGCAGAAGCTAACATCTGCCTTGCTGCAGAGTAGCGATTGCACAGCGTTACCGCTTTTGGGGGCAGGTGCTCTCCTGGACGGCCAGCTTGGCTGCGACGCAGGGGCTCGCGTGGCTGTGTCAGGGTAAAGAGGACGGGCCGCAGCACTGAGGCCATCCCTTCGTCACCAAATCTCGCGCAGGTCTCTGGGAAATGCCCGGGTCCTGCCAGCTCTCATTGGCCACTCAGACGTGGGGACAGAGCCTGTCTCAGCGGCCTGAGCAGGCATTTGCTTGTGGAGCTCAGGGCGGGGGGTGGAGTGAGGAATGAAATTAGACCCGTGTTTTGAACTCTGGGGAAAGGGCTAATTTGTTTGTTTGTTTGTTTTTACTGCTTCTAATCTTAATTGCATTAATTTAAGGATGAAATCTCACCAGCTCACTGAGTTCCGACAGCATTGAAAAGCATAGTGATGGGTCAAGTAATTTTTGCCTTGTTGCTAAAAAAGAAAGGAGAAGGAACAAAGAGCCCCTCTAGAAGAGCTGTGGCTACTCCCATTGCTTTTAGCTTTCTCTGGTTTGTTTTCCTTTAAGTTAGGAGTTGTCTGCTTGAATATGAAATTGAATCTTTTCTGATCCTTTCTTGTTTTCAGTCGCAGCTCCAGTAGAAAAAACAGTATCCAGTGAAAAAGCATCCAGTGCTCCTCCCGCTGAGACACAGGAGGAATTTGTGGACGACTTCCGAGTTGGGGAGCGAGTCTGGGTGAATGGAAACAAGCCTGGGTTTATCCAGTTCCTGGGAGAGACGCAGTTTGCCCCGGGCCAGTGGGCCGGGATCGTCTTAGATGAACCCATCGGCAAGAATGACGGCTCGGTGGCCGGCGTCCGGTATTTCCAGTGCGAGCCTTTAAAGGGCATTTTCACGCGACCTTCAAAGTTGACGAGGAAGGTGCAGACCGAAGATGAAGCAAATGGCCTGCAGGCGACTCATGCCGCCAGAGCGACTTCGCCTCTGTCTGCTTCTGCGGCCGGCACCACGGCCCCTTCCCCGGCCACCCCCTCGAATATCCCTCCGAAACCGTCCCCGCCAGCGGCGAAGGAGCCCTCGGCCACACCGCCGATCAGCAACCTTACGAGAACCGCCAGCGAGTCTACCTCGAACCTCTCGGAGGCCGGCTCAGTCAAGAAAGGGGAGAGGGAGCTCAAGATCGGGGACAGGGTGTTGGTGAGTCCGGGGCCTCCCCAGGCCGTTGTGCGGAGAGGGGCTTGCCCACTGCGGGGCAGGGGAGGTGCAGGCTCAGGGTCTGCTCTGGGGGGGCGGCCGCTCACCAGGGAGAAATGAGTCAGCTTTTCTAGTTGTTTGGTTCACATGTAGACGCGATACAAATTGGAACGTGGCCGTGTGGTTTGAGCATAGAAGGAGCACAGGTTTGCAGTCATCGATTTTAGTTTTCTCTGCCAGTGTAGACAAAAGAATACTGAGTTCATAACTTATAACTATTAAGGTTATTTTACTTGACAAAACAGCTTCAGAAGAGGCCTTAGATGTCTTTATAAAAGTTTAAAAATTTTTTTTCTTTTTTTTTTGCTTTGAGGATGCACAAGAAGCCCTTCCTTTGCACCAACTAGAGTGAGGAAGAATTCGTTAAAATACTAGTCAAGTAGTGTGCTATTCGGCTGCTAAGACAGAAAATGACAAGGGCAGGCTAGTCTCACTCACAGCAAGAAGCGTCCACGGGGACGTCATGATCAAGGCGGCCCTGAAGAAGAAGAGGGTGGGCCAGGCAGCAGGAGGCGGCCGGCGCTCCGGCCACGGGAAGGGCAGGTGCCCGGGGAGGGGGGCTGGCGCGTTTGACGAGGAGACCAGTGTCCTTTCCCGGGTGCAGCGAGCCCCTGGTAGGAGGTGAGGCTCGTTACCTGGGTGGGGTCTGTAGGGGCCTGCGACCCTAGGCCGTGCAGGGAGTTCGGCTCCGTCCTTCAGAGCAGGCAGAGTGATGCGGGATGCGATGAGGTTGCAGTTTGGAAAGGTGGCTGTAGCTGGTTGTAGATAGAGAGGTGGGTGAGACTGGATTTGGGGTGACTCTCCCTTGGAGACGTTGGATGTTGAGGAGAATAGGGGTTCGGGCCGATGCTGGAAGAGCGGTGGGGCTGGGGGGACTGGGTTTGTTTACTGATCGGTTTATTTAAAGATGGCAGAGCCCCTGAGTGTTAACTCTCCTGGCCGGATGGTCCAGGGGAACAGTGGGGAGACACAGCAGCGGGAGTGGGTCGGTGATGGCTCGCGCCCCGGGGAAGAGGCAGCTTCAGTGCCCCGAGCGCAGGCAGGGCTCGGCGGGCCTTTGGTGGAGGGCGACTGGCTCCCTTCGTGCAGGGAGGGAAAAGGCAGCTGTGTGGACGCAGGGTGGTTTGCAGAGGTTTGAATGGTGGGTTCCTAGGAAAATCTTAATATTTTTTAAAAATGAGATCTACAGCTTGCTTTTTTTAAAAAAAAAGTATTTTATTTATTTTTAGAGAGATGGGAAGGGAGGTAGAAAGAGTGGGAGAGAAACATCCATGTGTCATTGCCTCTTGTGCGCCCCGCACCGGGGACCTGACCTGCAACCCAGGCCTGTGCCCTGACTGGGAATCGAACCAGTGACCCTTTGATTCGCAGGCCGGCACTCAATCCACTGAGCCACACCAGCGAGGGCAAAATTTTGATTATTTTAATCACATGTTCAAAACTAGCATACAGATTTTTATTTCAATCCATGAGAATCGGAAGTCCTATGGAGTGTATTATTGGAGGTGGTAACATTCTTTCCCTCCTTAGGTTAGTCTTTCTAGGAGAAATTACAGGAGTATCCCAGAATCACAGTATTTCCGAGCTGGCAAGAACCTTCTGGATCACCAAATGTCTCTTTTCACACATAAGACTGAAGCCCAGAGGAAGAACATGACTTACCTTCAGGTCATATGGCCATGTGACATATGTCCTCATATGTCACTATTCCTCTTATCCTCAGTCCCTGTGTCTTTTCTGCTTTAAGACACTACTCTGTTTAATAGAAACTTTTCACTTAGAAATATAAAATAGCTGTACTTTAATTCGTTACAGAAATTAGATTTAGAAATCTAAAATACTTGATTTGAAATTTACTTGATTAAAGAAAAATTCTGTGGATTCCTACAATCCTGATGGAACTAAGATTAATTATTAGGTCACTGCTTTGAGGTAACTGGTGTAGAATTTTCCCAGTCCCGCCCCGGCGCCGTGGGGCTCCTGCGACACCGGCCCGGTGCTGGGGGGCGGGAGGTGGCCGGCCGTCTTCCACGCCTCACCCCGTGTAACCTCAGCTCGCCCCGACCTCACAGGGGGAGCAGGCGGGGACTCTCGCACGAGGGCTGATGTTCAGCCTAGTGACTTCTGCAAGGTCCAGAGGCAGGAGCTCCCGGGGTGTGACTGTAACAGGTGCCCCTGTCTTTTTAAAAGAAATATTTTATTTTTAGAGACTGGGGCAGGGAGGGAGAAAGAGAGGGACAGAAACATCGATGTGCAATTTGTGAGAGAAACATCAGTTGGTTGTCTCTTGCTCGCCCCTAACCAAGGACCTGGCCCACAACCCAGGCATGTGGTCTGACTGGGAATTGAACCGGCAGCCTTTGGCAGGACGACACCCAACCCTCCGAGCCACTTTAGCCAGGGCCGGTGCTCCTGTCCTGCAGAAGGCAGCCAGGCCGTGGAGAAGCTCCCCCTTGTCCCCGTCCCCCCCCCCCCGCCCCGTATATTCATAGTCACCAGCGAAGTGCGGGGCACGTGGGCCGTGCTGGCGTGGGGAGTACCTGGAGGCCCGGGGGGGCCCGTCAGAGCTGCTCCTGCCACCCGCCCCTTGTGACTGCTCCATGGGGGGTCTTGGTTGGGATCGCCGTAGTCTGCCCTGCGAGGAGGCCAGCCGTGGGCTCCTGCTGCAGCTCACTTGGCTCCCAGAGACGTCCCTCCTTCCCGCTGGGGACCCCTGGGCAGCGTCTTGTGCTGAGTGTCCTGAGGTGGCCTTGCTGCGCTGCCGGAGCGGACGCGGTATTTCAGGGGTGTGATGTCAGGTTCTCGAGAAATGTGACCTGCTCCCAGCTGTTCTGCTGCGACGTGACCGTCTCCGTGTCCGGGACGCCCTGTCCTGGGCCGGAGTCTCAGCTGACGACTACAGATGAGAAGGGGGTCTCAGGCTTTTTTCTTTTTAAGTGACAGGCTTTATCTCTGCGCGCTGTTCTCAGAGCTATGCCACTGAAAATCTTACGGTGTAAATCTATAAGCCTTTTGGATGATGCGAAGGGGGAAAAATCTTCCTGAGAAATAAAAAATATCTTTGTAAGATTTATTTTGCTTGTGTTTGAACCTTAAATAACTTGCAGTTTATCTGGTATGTACTTTTTGGTGTTTTTCATAATTCCTTCAAATATGTTTATGAGATTTTTCCATAACATGAATTTACAACACATGCCTAATGGGGTCATATTATATACACGCCATTTCACAATGTACTTTGTAGATGTGGGGCATTTCTGTGCTTGTAAATACAAGTGTTTATTTAAAATAAGCTGCTGTTTGGTGTCACACCGTTTGGAAGTGGCGCACCTCCTTTGACCATAGACCCTTAGAATTCTCCCATGTTTTCACCTAGAAATGAAATTCCTGAGTCATAGAACATAGAGACATTTAAAATTGTAACAGATAGCGCCAAATGACAATCTACAGAGCTTTTTCTATTTTATGTCCTCCCAGGGAGTGTGAGTGTGCCCTTTGTAATTTGATTTCTTTTCCGCAGTCCTTTTACTGGTGACTGAGAAACCCCAGATCTATGTGTCTGCTTCTGACATTGCACTTATACCGGGCACTTGTTCGTCGTCGGCCGGCGGGTTTGGGCTCTTGCTGGGATGGGGCCCTGCTCTGAGTAAGCTGTTCTCTGCCGTGGCCGCTCCCTAGCTTGCTTGCGGGGACAGCGGTTATTAATAAAAGGTGCTGTCACATGTGGCCCAAGGTCGAGAAGATTCCAGATGTTCACAGGACGTCAAAAACTCTTTCTGGAGGCCTCGGCTGACTCTTGAGATCTCTTCCAGCACAACAGCCTTTTGCTTAGCCTGATTCCTTCCCAGTGAGGATTGCTGCAGATTCAAATTATTTTTTCTGAAATTTGTTTTGATTTTTCTCATTTTCAGTTTCCAGAAGCCTTCAGTCTCACTCAGCAGAGCCTTGCTGGCTTGCTGGGCGGGAAATGTGGTTCCTGTTCATGGACCCATTCCTTAGCCTGCAGAATTTATCGGTGCCCTTCTTTTTCACAGATGTTTACAAGAAGGGGGTTTGTGTCTGTTCCCACAGCCTTTTTTTTTAGAAACCTCTTGACATTACTTTTTCCTGGAATTATTTGTTTGAATTTCTCTCTCCTTTGGTGGCCACACTGTATTCTGCTTTTACTTCTGTATCTGAAGGCCCCAGGCCTCAGGAAAGAGTACATTGAAGGAGCGAATGAGTGAGAACCCACAAATCTGAGGTTTGCCAAAGCATGAGGACAGCTAGGTCTCCTTCAGGCGCTTTTCTAGTGTAAAGTCATTTTGTCTCCAGTGGTGACTCCGGACCCCAGCTCGGGTTGGCCCCGGTGTTAGGAGTCACGGGCCCGTGTTCGGAACGTGGAGAGATGGCACGGCAGTGGCTTGCGTTTGCCATGGGAACCCGTTTCTTGTTTTGGTGTTGACATTTTTCTCTTTAACAATCCTGACATCTGCCCCTAAACCGTAGACTTGGAAGTTGTGACTTATAATGAATATACATGCACATACGAGGGTTCTCTGGAACACATGGGAGGTGAAGCCTGACTTTATAAAATCGCGTTTAAATGCTCAGAAAAAGATGTCCTCTGAAACATGTTTAAGGAGGAAAGTGTTTTGAGTGACTTGTAGGATTTCATGTGGCTTTCTATCTCTTTTGGAGATATTTTGAGTGATTACTGATGATCTTTCACAGGGAAAAAGAAAGCATCTTGTCTGTTCTATGCGGGTCAAGAATTTTGGGTTTGGTCAGGGGAAAGTGTAAGAAAGCTGCCTATCCTAGGAACTAAACAAACTGAGTGGCCTGGCATTTCCCCAGGGTACGTGTGTACTCTATCGCCTGCATTTAGAGAAGTCGTTGCTGATCTGTCGTGTGGTCATTCTTTATAAGGCTTCAGAGCCGGATGAAGCCTGTGGTTTGCTCGGGACTTCACTGCCCACAGCCTGTTAGATGCCTCTTGGAAAAAGAGTGATTGTGACAGTAATTTAGACTCACCCGCAAAGAATCCAGCAGATTATCTGAGGGGATTGCGTCATCTTGAACTGACGTGGAATTCCGCTCACGTGATGTCGCCTGGATTGTTGCTTTGAACGCCGCCTGCAGGAGTGTCTGGAGGGGCAGGAGGGGCAGGAGACGGAGGCTGGTTTTATGCAGGCGCCCTTTGCAGAGCCCACCAGTAGCAGCGAGGCTGGCGAAAGGTCAGCTGGGCCGAATCTGGAGTTGTGGCCCCGCCAGGGCGCGCAGACCCGCCGCTAGCAGCGCATCGGTCTCCTGTGCGGGCTGTCAGACACTGCTAGGCCTTATGTGGGTTATTGCGGTTAATTCCACAGCCATCTCGTAATTATCCCTATTTAACTTGTGAGGAAACAAATTAAGCAATTGGACCAGCTCACAGGCAGAGCTGGCATTTGACTGTCCAGCTTGCGAGCCCATGCTGGCGTGTTTCTTCCTTCGCTTGCTTCTGAGACGTCAAGTGTACCTCCAGCCACAGGCTGTCTTTTTCCTTTAGCTGGTTGACATGGAAGAGTGGCCTTTTCTGTGTAGGCTCCAACCGAGAGGCCGCCTGCGGTTTGTGCAGCGCATCTTGGCTGAGCGCCTACCCTGCTCCGCGGGCGAGTGGCTGCAGTGCTGGGCGCAGCGGAGGTCCTGCGTGGCCTTTCCTGCAGCCCCCTTTCCTAGTGTGGCACCTTCCAGGACCCCAGGACGGCCCTCCGTCTCCCTCACATGCCCTCCCTGCACGGAGCCCCTTAAGCCACCACCCCTTGTTCCTTAAATCGGTGTCGTGGGAAGTTTCTTTCAGAGAAAAACTATACATAGCTTTGAGGCTTTAACATTTTCTGTCTTCAACAAAGGGTTAAACAGAGCTGGGAAAAAATGTGTGTCATCCCAAACTCATAAAAAGCTCTACTCAGAGAAAAAGTTCAAATAAATGCCTTCAGCATTAAAAAGCAAGACAAAAAAAATAAACTTAGGATTGATTTTAAGAAATTAGGAAGTAAAGAATAATAAACCAAAGGGAAGTAGGAAAAAGGAAATAGTAAAGATACAAAGTGCTCTAAATAAAATAAGGAGCATTAAAAACAAATGAAAGGGGAAAACTTAAAATCTGGTTCCTTGTAAAGCTCAATAAAATACATCACCTTCCCAAGGTAATCTACATTTAACACAGTCTCATTGGACTTTTAAAGAGAATTAGCCAAAGTGATTTTTAAATTTATGAAATAAACGGGCCCGTGTAAGAGGAAAGTCACTCTCAGAACTCAGGCCGGTCACAGGGGTTGATGCTGTAAGCTGGGTGCAGCCACGCGGCGCAGGGCACAGGAGCGAGACGCAGCGGCCGAGCTCCGTGCTGTGCTGGAGCCCAGCGAGGTACCCTGGCTGTGGCAGGAAAATCAAAGGGTGGGAGAACATAGACGTTAACATGTGCTTCTGTGTGCGTGCGTGAGGAAGTGCTGGGAGGGGTCTGCACCGGAAGCCAGTGACCGGCGCGGGGCAGAGGGGACCGGAGTTGAGTAAGGGACACTCTTCCCTATTGGTTTGTGTTTGACATTTTGGAAGGATTAGAATGTATTGGCTATTGAAGAATTAATTTAAATTTATTATGTATAGTTATTAAGTCAATAAGAAAAAGGTGAACATCCCACCTGAAAAATGAGTCAGGTGTGCGTTGTGATCCAGCCGAATGCGGATTGCGAAACGCAAAGCAGCAGCTGGCGCACAGCAGGGATGAAGCCCAGGGCCAGCAGCGACAGCCTCTGGGGCTGGAAACACAGGCTCCGCATTTATTTTTGGCTTGTACTGTTCTTAATTTCCTTCAGTGATGCACCTCTTGTAAAGCTGGTGGAATGAGCCCAGGCTGGTGTGGGTCAGTGGACTGAGCAGGTCGCAGGTTCAGTTCCAGGTCAGGACACATGCCTGGGTTTCGGGCCAGGTTCCAGGTTTGGGGGCGTGCCCGAGGCAGCCAATACACTTTCTCCCTCCCTTCCCCTCCCCTCTCTTTAAAAAAAAAATAACACAAAGTACTGTTCTGAGCTCTTCACATCTATTAATTTAAAAAATAAAATTGGTGGAATTAAAAAAAAAAGAAATTAAGAAAAACAAAACTCGGGGACTATTTGGAAGATCAGTAAGGGAAACCCACAGAGCGAATGAGACCCAGATTGCACAGCCACGGTGACTGGGTGCCGCGGCGGCCGCACAGGCGCTGAGCCCAGAGAAAGACTCAGACACGCTCGTGCGCTCTCGTGCGCTCTCGTGCGCTCTCGTGAGACACTGTGACAGGGAATGTGTGAAGTAGAAAAATAATGGCAAAGGAAGAATAATGAACAAATGCTGGTGGGACAATTTTGGAAATAATGGTCATGTATTGTCTCAAACAACGGCTGGGACAAAGACTCAAACATTCAGAAAGATAACTTTGAAACAGTTCAAGTAAAGTAACATGTGAAGAATAGTTGTGAAGAAATGGAGACCCTCAGAGAGGAAAATAGTTGACATTTACATGCAGCATTTAGTTAGAGAGGCCAAAGGCAACTGTGTGTGTGCGTGTGAATGTTTGTCCTGAACTCGTATGTGTTGTTGATTTCTGTGGATAAAAGGTAGAAAGGAAGCATGAGAAAACAAATGTAGCTTGTGTTACAGTGGATTATGGATGAATTTTGTTTTTCTTTAATGATGTAGGGGTTTTATTTTTGCAGCAAATACTTCGAAGCAGGAAAATCTCTCTGGATTAATAAAATATTTTTCTAAGGAAGGGAATAAGTTGGTGGGCAGCCTCAATAGCAGCGTAGTACCTGGGCTCATTCATTACTGGGATGTGTCGGGTACACCGGATCACTTTGGTGGCCTAAGTCACCCTGGGCCACCTTCGGAGAGACGCAGTTAAGAGGGGAAGCAGAGGGAGGAGGAGCCTGCCGTCAGCGATGATGGCGCTGGGTGCCCTGTTACTGGTCGGCCCCACAGAGAGTTCCCTTCCGTTCATCCCTTCACTTGCCCGTTCTCTTCTTCCAGGTTGGCGGCACGAAGGCCGGTGTGGTCCGGTTTCTTGGGGAGACGGACTTTGCCAAGGGGGAATGGTGTGGTGTGGAGTTAGACGAGCCGCTCGGCAAGAATGACGGGGCTGTCGCTGGGACGAGGTGCGTGTGGTCTCCCCCTTGCGGGCGCTCAGGCAGTGCTCGCCCACAGGTGTGGCGCAGGCACGGAGCGGCTGGGAGAGCCGCCGGAGTCGGGCGTGTTTGCTCTCCCTTCCCTTTGTGCAGCAGGGTTTACACGTGGGGTCACTGCTGTACATCTGTCTGATGGTGGAAATGTTTATTCCCTCGTTATCTCGGTAACAGATGAGTAGTTCTGCCTCTGTGTGTCAGGTTGTTGCTCATGAGTTTGTGTAGCAGCTGACGTCCGTGTGGCTGCTGCGTGGGGTGCCCCCGGCCGATGGGTAGAACTGGCAGCAGGCCAGTCATGATGTACTCACTCGTTAGGAGCACTTTTTCGTTATAGTTGTTATTTCTCAAAATTAAGTTTTTTGTTGCTGTTCTTTTTATTGTTTTCTAAAGGTATTTTCAGTGTCAACCCAAGTATGGCCTGTTTGCTCCCGTCCACAAAGTGACCAAGATCGGCTTCCCGTCCACCACGCCAGCCAAAGCCAAGGCAGCTGCCGTGAGGCGAGTGATGGCGACCACCCCCGCCAGCCTGAAGCGCAGCCCGTCCGCATCCTCGCTCAGCTCCGTGAGCTCGGTGGCCTCCTCCGTGAGCAGCAAGCCCAGCCGCACGGGACTGGTAAGCCTCCCTCCCCTCCCTGCGCGCCTGCTCTGCTCGCGGACAGCTCTGTCGCCCCTCACCTCCCGCTCAGTGCTACTTGCAGCTTCCGAAAGGCCTTACGGGTTTCACAGAGTAAAGCTCTAGCTAGAATACACGTTGGAATATAAAGTTTTTAGCCACCCCTTTCAGATCCTTAAGGCTTAAGATGTCACAGTTCTGGGTGGCTCTGTAGTAACCACTGATGAGAGGACTTCTCTAAAACTACTTTGGGCACAAAGTGACAGGAAAATTAGGAGGATCCTTTCTTCAAGGACATATAGCTCTTTCTCTTTTATTTCAAGCAATTTTAGGATCTAAAGTACCTTAAGAAAAGCCATGTTCTTAGACTTTTAATATTGACGCAGTCTAACTCCCTGAAAGCAGTTAACGTGTGGAGCGCTCCCGGCTTGGGCCGGAGGACACAGGGAGGGACTTCTGGGCCGAGAAAGGACGAGAAAGGGTGCTCCAAGAGCTGTGTTTTGTCTCGTCTCCTCTCCCCATCGCCTCCCCCCACCCTGCCTTCCACTCCTCCCCCTTCCCGTTTAGATTGCTAAAAATAGAGTCATTAGAATTAAAATAGGCAGCCTGTCATTCTGGTGTTTTGTTAGGGTCAAAGCAATGACTTCTGGGCTTCATCCCCAGCCTTTAAGTTTATTTGCTGGAAGTGAGGCAAATGCGGTTTAAATTTGAAATGGCCACGTAAGATTGTCCTCCTGACTGAATCGGGGATCTCTGCGCTGGGGGGGGTTGTGAAGTGTGGGGAGGGGTCAGGATGTTTCCAGGCGGATGTCGCCCCGCCTTCTTGGGTTGATGTCCGGCAGGGAGCGGAGCAGCGTCGGAGCCCAGTGACACCTTCTTCCTCTGGTGTTCACGGTAAACGCAACACCCACTTGGACTGTTCCATTTTGCCTTTGAAAAGAAAGCCTGCGTCTTCGGCAGAAAAATTGCAAACAGACCTTACGGAAAAAGCGGCAGCTCGGATGGAGCCGTACCCCAGGACGCCCCGCCGCTCTGCGTCCCGCACGGTCCCATAGCAGCAGCGTCGGGTCTGGCCTAGGCGTTCTCTCCTTCGTCCTTTTTGTGGCATTGCGGTTACACGTCCATTTCTTTGGGAAATAACCGAGCTCCCTGAGCTCCCCCCCTTCCTTTCAGACCAACTCTGAGTCCTTAGCTCACTCAGCACAGGAGCCTGGCAAAGGGGAAGGGAGTCTTCTTGCCTTGGAAACAGCTTCTTTTAAAAACATTTCTTTATAGGGTAGCTATTGTTTCTGAAAAATCACCATAAAAGAATATGCCAAGGATGTAGAAAAATTGAAGTGTGATTTGCTAGGAATATATCTCGGCAATATAATCCTACTCGTACATATAAAAAGTCTAAAGATCCTTTCATGCAAAATGGTCTTAGGAACGTGTTGAGCACACAGGTACCCAGACACTGGTTTCATAGCACCTTTAGGGTCTCAGGTATTTTTTCGTGGTGTCCCTCGGCCAAAAAATAGAGCTCACAGTCCTGTGTATGAAGTAACTAGGTTTAAACAACTTAATACCTATGTCCCGATGATTTCGTAGCTGTTTAAAATGAAAAATGATACCCAGTAATTAAAAGGGTAAGTGTTTTAAATTCATTCTTAAATGGCCATAACTAAGCGCTGGGAGGCTGTACGCTATGCCGGCCGCCTGTCGAACCTTGGAATCCCTTGAGCCCATCGCCCTCCTCTCCTGTGCGGCGTGGGTGCTCGCACAGTCCGTGCCCCGCGTGGCAGTCGCCAAAGCCCAGCTTCGGAAAGACGTGACGTTATCTAAAGGGATGTCTGGCCACTCGAGGAGGGAAGAAATAAAATGGAGTCACTGTGGTCAAGCTGCTAAATGACTGAAGTCACATAGGCAGCCCTGGCCGGTGTGGCTCAGTTGGGAGGGCGTCGTGAAGTGAGGGGTCCCTGGTTCGATTCCTGGTCAGGGCACATGCCTGGGTCATGGGTTTGGTCCCTGTTGGGGCTCATACGAGAGGCAGCCGATCAGTGTTTCTCACATTGATGTTCCTCTCCCTCTCTTTCTCCCTCCCTCCACTCTCTCTAAAAATAAATTTAAAATATTTTTAAAAAATCAAAAAAATTCACATAGGCTGAGGCATGAGTAGGCAATTGTTTCTTTAATTAGCCTGGGAACTTAAACTTTTGAAATTTCCAGTTATGCCTGGAGAATATATCTACATAGATATCTCCTATAGATAACCCTCTGATACTGTCCCCCCCCAAAGGACTTACAAAAGAATGTTCCGGACCACTGGACTTCCGGAAGACTGTCATCTTGGACCAGTCCACAGGCTAAGAATGCAGGACTGATTCTTCTCAAAATGTGCTTTTTACTATGAAAACTTGTAGATTTTATTTCTTTGGAGGAACACTGGGTATTTCCTAGTTGTGTTTCCGGTTTGTAAACCCTAAGACCCTTGAAAAAATCTTAGGCATTTTTTCCTGGCGAAAGCCTGTTGAAACGGAATTGCCTCATGCTAGTAGTTTGTATGGTGTCTGACAAGTGTCGCTGCATTTCCCTCGAAATTTAAAAACATTTCCCGACGAGTTTGCGGCAGCACCCTGGGAGAGCTCCGCGCAGGGTTCGGGAACCTCCAGTTCAGTGTATTCAGGGCGAAACATTAGTATGGGAAAGGACAATTTAACCACACAGGTAATGAGGTTGGAAAGTCAAGTCAGGTGGTTCAAGGGAGGACAGGGATCCCCCCTCCCCCAACACGCTGAAGCAACTGAAGAAACTTCACTAAATAGAAACCCCAAAGGATGACCTGGGCTTGAATGGATTCCTCTACTCTCACCGTTGTCACATGGCCTCCCTGTGAATTGATGGCGGATCCTCGTCCTTAGACTGCGTCCTGGACAATAGCGCAGACAGATGGAGGACGAGAAAAGCAATCGAGCGCCACGTGAGGCTCCGCTTGCAGGGGCTGAAGTCACAGCTGCAGTCAGGAAGCTGCGAGCGCCAAGGAGATGGCCCTGGACAAGGCTCGCCACGGGGGCGGCCTCTTCCCGACTCCCGGCCTCCGAAGCCTGGCTCATGACCTGTTAACATTTGGCAGGGGCTTTGCTTCTTTGATTTACGTGCTATTTAGCCTCAAGAGGGAAGCAGGTGACGGAGCTCAAACACGTTCCTAACCCGCCCTCACCCGCCGGTCTCTCTCCCTCACGTTCCCTTCCCTCTCCGTTCCCATTTGTTTTCTCCTTCGTCTTTCCCTCCCTGCTGCTCCGTGTCCATACACATCTTTCCCCTCCTTCTCTCTCTTCCTCTTCCTCTTACGTGGGCACTTGGGCAGACGCAGGCACACACACGAGCCCACTCCCCCACGCCCGAAGGCGGGTGGCCTTCCTCATCACCTTACCTTTGTAAGTCCCCCCGGCTTGCCGGGGGAGACCCCTCTGCCTCCCCTCCGAAACAAAGGTGAAGAAAGTCCCGACAAAGGTCCGGCTATTTAAGGAATCGAAGGAAGGCTCATGATGCCAAGGGTGACATGTTGGTTACTTAATGGTATTTAGAAGCTTAAGTTGGAAAAAGTCTAAACCTCAAAACTAAAGGTCAAAAGGTTGCCCAAAACGTCATAGGAAGAAGATAGCTATGAGTGAAGCTTGGGCCAAGAGAAGCGCGGTACGTGGGCTCCGCAGAATTTTTCTAGGTTACTGCAAGGCCCCCTCAGTTGACCCCAGGCTCCCTCTGATTGATTTGAGCCATTCTTCTTCCAGTCACCCCCCCCGAGGGTCTTAGGACCCCTCTCCAGCATTGTGCTCTTTGTGAGCCTGGCAGGCAGGGCCCGCGCTGTCTCGCTTTCCCGGGGAGAAGCTGTTCCTTGCCTCTGGGGAGCCCGTGAGCTGGGGCCGCGCTTTCGCTCGGCGGAGGAGCCGCCCGCCTGCATGCCCCGTGCCCCCCTCGCGGCATCATTGCCCTTCACGTCTTTCACTTTCTTTGCAGTTGACTGAAACCTCCTCCCGTTACGCCAGGAAGATCTCCGGCACCACTGCCCTCCAGGAGGCCCTGAAGGAGAAGCAGCAGCACATTGAGCAGCTGCTGGCCGAACGGGATCTGGAGAGGGCGGAGGTGGCCAAGGCCACGAGCCACGTGGGGGAGATAGAGCAGGAGCTAGCGCTGGCCCGGGACGGACACGACCAGGTGAAGTCTGGCGCCGGCCTTGCTGTGGAGATGGTGCTGGGTTCCAGGCAGATCTCGTGGCAGGAGGCGGCGGCAGGCTCTCAATCGAGGTGGAGGCCGAACTACCTGCCTGGTGCTTGGAGCCAGGAGCTAGTCTTGGGAGCCCTAGAAGTGTGTTGGCTTGGTTGAGAGCTGCGACCGGAGGTCTAGTTTGCGTCATCATAAAGACGGGTGTTGTCCTTCGTGGGTCGCCTCCCTCAGCCTTTGGTCTTTACATCCAGGTCTTCCGGCCTGCCTGGGTTAGGTGAGCTCGTGGACTAGGACTTTACACCGTGGTGACGACTTCCGGCTTGTAGATTGCCCTTTGTGTGGGTCTCAGCTTCCAGAAAAACGGGAGTGGTTTTAACGTTGCCCTCTATCACCTTAATGGTGGGGTTTCTATCGCCACCATCCAGGGATGCTGCCGCCAATGGCCTATTAAAGATTGGAGAATGCATTTTCACTTGCAAAAGGTTTATAGCAATGCCAGCCCGCAGCGGCTGCACGTAACGTAGCTCTTTGGTGGTGGCGTGGGCCGGGGCAGGGCCGCTGACGGACACCCTTGCCTCCCCAGCATGTCCTGGAGCTGGAGGCCAAGATGGACCAGCTGCGAGCCATGGTGGAGGCCGCTGACCGGGAGAAGGTGGAGCTTCTCAACCAGCTCGAGGAGGAGAAAAGGTGACCTGAACTGTCCCTTGGTGCACGCGTGGCCTTTTCCTTTTAAACCGCCTTTCCCGTTAGCAGCCACGTTGGGGTCAGCCCTTAAAACCACAGTAATGACCGAGTTCAGTGGACATTGAAGTCTCCATTCTGGATGAAGAAGGTTTGCTTTGATTTGACCTCTTTTGAGTCATTTGGAATCATCTAGCCATGGTCTGATTAACTGAACAAATGTTTATTGAGCACCGACTGTATGCCAAGCATCCTCTTGAGTCAGTGTGGTGGCGTTCGTTCAAGCCCCGCTGCCTCTGGATACATTCCTGGGTGGGGGGCATTCTGGGGCCCAGTTCCCTGGGTTTGTGGAACACCTTACGTGTAGCTGATGACATCGTCTTATGTCTGGTGGATGATGTAGGGTCCCTGTTCTTGAGAAATATACTCCCCTATTAGGAAAACAAGACTCCCATGTGAAGCAATTAGAGAACTATGCAGGTGCGGATGAAATCAAGTGCTAAGCAGAGAAAAAGCAAGTTTGGTTCTTATAAAAGGTCGTCTGAGACGGTTAACACACAATGTCTCTAAAAAAGTGTCTTCCTGGAGACCACGTGAACATCTCTGGTTATGGGATGTCTGTCCTCTGTTGTTGCACCTCATGCCGCCTCCAGTCGTTCCTGATGGCAGTGACTTAATTCCCTGGTGATCTAGTGCGACTGCTTAGGGTGGGTCCAGGCGCTGCCGTGGGGAGGGGGCGGCACCCTGGAGGCGGGCTACAGTGTCCAGCGCAGCGCAGGAGACGGCTTTCTTTCCGCTGGAGAGAGGAGCGCTGTGCAGGGGGCCTCCCCCTGCCTCCTAAATGCGGCTGCAGGCAGAGAGCAGGTCCCGGCCGGTTCTCTGCCTTTGCTCTGTCCTTAGACCTGCTCTTGCTGTGCAGTAGCTTGAGGGCATTTGCTTGCTTCCAGTTTGACTGAGTAGAACTTTTGAAAATGCTAGTGAGTTTGAAAGGCATTTTGTTTTTTTTTTGCATGTAGGTTATGAACTTTGTCCCCCTTTTTTTCCCTCTCTTACACCCAATTTTGTAAAGATTCATAATGTGGATGTTACCCAGGTTTTCTATCTTCAGAATGCCATGTATCATCGACTTTCTGACAGCGGTGTTGGAAACCCACACATGGTATCGCAGGTTTTAAAGTGTGAAAAAAATGTGCTCTTTAGGAGCAAGTAGAATTCTTGATCGCTTCTCCTGCAGAGTGTTCACAGCCTCATTCCCCCAGCCTTGGGACAGGTCACCAGCATTGTCCCAGAACCTCGGCCTGGGCAGTCTGCCTGCCTCGCCCTCAGGAGGCAGGTATAGGGGGCGGTACAAAGAGAGACTAATTTTCTGTGCCGCCTTCCCCCGTGGTCTGTTCCTGGAAAGCAGGAATCACTGGCTTGCACCCTCAGACCTCTTTCTGGGGAGAGCAGACCTCTCTTCCCGTGAGGCAGAGCTAGTCTCGATGAGACCCATTCTAGTGGTTGGGACTAAAGGGACCCGTTGGTTTCTCTCCGCTCTCATGTCGTGCCTCCTGGGACGCGCACCTGGTGCAACCCCGGCGCCTCCAGAGCGGAGCTCTGGGTGCGGAGCCAGAGGCCTGCAGACGTGACTGTTCTCTGTGCCTCTAAGGCCTTTCCCTCCTGTCGCCTGCTCGGCTCGCCTGGCGCGCACACGCTTTCGGTAAGGCAGGTGTGCCCCTTAGTTACTTAAGTGCTTTGTTCTGGTTCTGATCCACAGGAAGGTTGAGGACCTTCAGTTCCGGGTCGAGGAGGAGTCCATCACTAAAGGCGACCTTGAGGTAAAACCCCTCCAGCTCTCTGAAGCGTTCATGGGTTCCCGTGTTTAGAAACATGGATGAAGTCACTGTGCCTGCTGATGTGGCCAGGACAGGCTGCAGAGGGAGTGGCGGGGGCCCGGCCTCCGGCCTCCGGCCTTTGGCTGGCCGAGCGTCTGAGCCCTGGCCTGTGACCGCTGTCCCGCCTCGGTGGCCCTGGAAGATTTTCACTGCTCTCTGCTTGTGCTTTGAAATTCAAAACCTTGAACTGGAGTTAATCCAGTCATACATCTGGCAGTGTGTCCTGAGGGACACTGTATGTCCCTCCTTCGGGTGACCACAGGCGGCATTCCTGGTAAGGAGCATCTTTTGCTTCATCATAATAATCCAAAACAAAGCTTTGTGCTTTATCTCAGCCTTGCTTTTCAACTGAGCAGGGTAAATCTTTTCTAACGCTGTAAAAGGAATACCTGTGTGTTCCAGGAGTTAATTTAAAAAAAAGATTACCAGGAAAAAAAAAAAAGAGCAATTTATATTTTAGCTTCTTTTACTTCTATGGCATATTTTAAATTAATAGAGATTTTTCTTTACTATCAAGTTTCCCATAACAATGGTTTTGATGTTTTCCAAACCACTGCCAGATATATGACAAATACAAATTATTAAAATTTTCAAATTTTGCAGATTTTTGGTACTTTATAATATTTTAGTAGACACCGCACTTTTCTGTGCAGTCCTCAGAATGTACATTTTGCTGACATTGCAATTTAGAGACTATTGGCTGCTCTCGCGGCGCTTAAATTCCAGGGGCCCTTCCCAATAGGAACTCCGGCTTCTTTGGAAATAAATGTATCTTTATAGTTAACAAAAAGTAAGAAAAACATTTTCCGAGTTTTCATTTGGTAAGGGCCAGGGTTTAATGGGTTATTAATAATAAAAACTCTTCACTCATTTCATACACAATTCCATTTTTAGTTTACTTTTGTGTTACACTCATCCATTTAGAAGGACCCCAGAGTCTTGCGAGACGTTCGTGTCTTCATCTGATTCATTTGCAATACAGCTGAGGGGGTCTGGGAAGGGACAGATTAAAATGTTTGCGTCAGCTCTAGGCTAGTGTATAGTCTGTCTGCGAATTTACTTAAAATTAATCAGTTTTTTTGAAACCCTAACATATTGCTACTTTAGTAGAATCTCTCTTTGGTTGTTGTTTAATTTTTTATTTTTTTACTGATAGCAAAAGAGCCAGATTTCTGAAGATCCTGAGAATGTAAGAGGGCACTTAACTGTGTGGACATTTCCCTTGTTAACACAGATTGATTACAGATTAAAATGCTTATTGATATACTTGAATACTAACTGCGTAATCTGACCTTGAGACATTGGCCTTAATATTTCTGTGCATGTGGCTTTCAGAGCAGTTACATTTGTATCCTGAAGAAATTGTATGTAATGACTAAGCCCTATAAATCCATTTGTTTGATGTATAGGCATATGTTTACTTTATAAAGAATTTTGCCGAAAAGCGGGGGGGAAAAATTTTGTCCGGGGGCCTAGACTTCGTTATATCTTCTAATTTTAGTAAAATTATTTCCAGAAGAGATGGTAGTTGACTGAGGCATAAAATGTACAGGTGAAGGAGTTAAAGTCTGGGGGAAGTTTTCCCAAATTGTCTAATTTAATTCCCAGGAGAGGTCAAGGGCCTTGGGAATCCCAGACTGATTGCCTTTGGTGTGAGTGCCCTCTGCTGGCCAGTTCCTGTCCTTGCAGCTGACTAGAATTTTAGAGTAGGCTTTTGTTGAGGTATTTTCCCTAGTTTTTGAAAGTAGAGGCGAACCTTCTTCATTGAAGAGACTGTTTTGAATTTATTATTTCAAAGTGAGGTTTCTCGGGTAGCAGTGCTACTAGGCATGTAGCTGTTTTTCTTTCCATTCCTCCCTCTGCTTAAGACCAGGCACCCAATTCAGATCCTACGAAAACCAGCTTGAAATCCTGGCCTCTTGGTGCCCCTCAGTAGCTGTGCTGCCAACCGGCAGAGACCGCACGACTTCTTACTTTGATTGGCCACCACAAGAGAACACAATTAAAACAAAGAGCGCGCCTCCCCAGCGCCTGCCTGCCGGCAGCTGAAACAGACAGCTCGGGGCTGAAGGCGGCTCAGCCTCCGCTGGGGGGGCTCCTTTGTGTGCGGCTCCTTCAGTGGCCTGGGTCTCGCTGTCCGCCCGCCCGCAGGCTCCGCTGCGTCTGCTGTCAGTCTGCATGGGGCCCCGCTCTCTGTGCGCTTCCTGCAGAGCCGCTGCTTTCCCCCAGTCCCCGTCCCCGGGCTGCCCTCTGGGGACCCGTGTCTCACTCTGAGGAAGGAACCTCTGAGCGAGGAGGGCTGTCCTGGTCAGTGTCACGTTTTTCCTGCGTGCACGGCATGGGACTGGGCCGCGCGTTCCTGTGCTGGTGACAGATCAGAGATGGCTGTCGTCCCACTGCGGGGCGATCTTGCCGCTTCGCCCAGAAGGTCTCGGAAGGGGGACAGGATCCCGTTTGGTGGATGCTGGCTTTTTGTCCTGATGCGGTGACCTTTCCCCCGTGGGACACTGAGCTCAGTGTCCAGAGGAGGGGAAAGGCGTGTTGCCTCTTGCTCTGAATTTCTGTGCTCGAGGCTGGGACCACAGCGATGTAGGTCTAGATTGGAGCCTTGCCTTGTAACAGCAGGTGAACGGAACAACTTCCGTCCAAGGCACGTAAGGGCAAGGGGGACTATCCAGACAGTCCGGTTTTCAGTGTTGTTATTTTTGTGGCGTGTGAGCGGTGAAGCAGGTGAAGGTTTTGTTTAAACAGTCCACGGTGACCTCTACCTGCTTCTCAGGCAGAGTGGGCTCTGGAATGCAGGTGGCATCCTCAGAGCAAAGACGTTTATAACGTAACACGTTCCACCTTCTGCCGAAGCTCCGCACGACCTTTGTTACCTTGTTTAGAGCTTGTTGTCATTTTCTCATTGTCCATAATGGCCCAGACTGATAGATCTGACCAGTTAGAACCACAAAATGTTTAAGTTAATACAAGTGACTAGAAGCTTCTGGGAATAGCTCTCTCAATAGTTTCATGAGTTGATTATGCTGAACCTCTCGGGTAGGAGAGTCGAGTGGGGAAGAGGTACATTCAGATTGATACTGAGTTCGTTTGATTAAGATTCTGCTGCCCTTAAACCTGTTTCGAAGAAATCCCCTTCTTGGGTTCTCCATCCGGTCACGGCTGAGCGAGTGACGATGGGGAGGCTCAGAGGGTGTGAAACACGGGAGGTCACACTGGCGCCTTTGCCGCGAGTCCCCGTTTCTCGCCTCGGAGCTCACAGGGAGGGACTGCCTCTTCAGGGCAAGACCGCGAGCCCAGCTCTGGGCAGACTTTCCTCCAGCTCTGAGCCTCAGGGATGGCGGCTCTGGAACATAATTATTAAACTTTCTTTTCGTGAATCTAATTTCCTTTTTTTTTTTTGCCCTGCTGGTGACAAGTGGCTTTTAGAAAAGCCACTGTTGGAAAGAAAGCAGAGCTTGAACGGCTCTCGCCCGCCGGGTGTGCGGTGTCGCTCAGCACGTGCGGTGCCCCTCCCTCTCGCAGAGGCTGCTGGGGTGACCTCCTCAGCTCTGGTTTCGAGGTTCCCTTCGTGAGGTGTCGTGCTCACCCTTGGTCACATCAAATTTACGCCAGAGTACAAGGACCTGCTCAGGGGCTTTATCGAACACCCACAGGGGACAACGATCATTTCGAGGGTCAGTTCCCCTTTTAAAGTGACCAAGTCAGTTACAGACACATTAGTGTCAAAGAGCTGTTGTGGGGAGGAGGGGAGCCCGATAGCTTAGAGGAGTATTAACTGTTCTAATTGTGCTGATGAACTTCACTTATCAATATAACTTGTATTTGCTGCATGCCTCTGACACCTTCTCATCTTGCCTCGTGTGGTTTCCATTTTCCTCTCCGTAGACTAGCTCACGCCCCGCCCCCATCCCCGTTGGTAGTGTCCATCCTCGCCCCCGCCGCCCGTCTCACCTCGCCCCCCCCCCCCCCCGTTCGTTCACCCGTGGCGGCCGGTACTGGTGGCTCGGCCTGCATGCCGCTGTCTCTCCTCTCGTGCTGGCATGTCATGGTGGCACTGTTGTGTTCTCTTCCTCTTCCTTTTTACTAACAGACGCAGACCAAACTGGAGCATGCCCGCATTAAGGAGCTTGAACAGAGCCTGCTCTTTGAAAAGACCAAAGCTGACAAACTCCAGAGGGAGTTAGAAGACACTAGGGTAATGGTTTCCACTGTTTGACGAAGCAGAGCCGCGTGCGCGAGTGGCGGGCGCCTTGGGCGGCGCACCCGGCCGCTGGCCTGAGCCCTGACCCAGTGGTTCAACCTGAGTTTGGTCTCGATGCCGTTCATGAGCTTAGATGGATGGGTAGGCACAGGAGTTTCATGTCAAATCGTTTGTCCAAGGTAAAGACCCGTCCCTTTGCTTAACTCAACCAAAATCAAGATCGGAAACTCCGCAGCCTCCTGCGCTGCGTGGGCGTCCACAGCCGCCTTGGCGACTCTTGGCACGGCGCCTTGAAACACGTCTCTGGAGGTTGCCACGCGCAGTCAATTGTCCTCTTACTCTCACCTTCCTGGGTCCCGGGTGTCTTTGGCAAATTTTTGTCACTGCTGTTTTACTGGAGCTCTCTTCTCCTGCCTTCCTCCCCGGCCTCCTGGGGGAAGGGAGTTCTTTTTGATGAAAGTTAAGGACTTCACCGCCCTTATCTTCCTTTCTTGAGAACTAGGTCTCTCTCTGCACTTCCCTCCTTTCGGTCACCGGTCACCGGAGGCTGAAATCTCAGTTGTCAGGGAGGAAAAGCGGGCTGGGAGCCGGATGGCTTCTTACCACCCCCACGCCCCTGGGGGCCATCACCTTTGTCGTGTTTCCGCTCGCAGATTTATTAAAGCGCCCCTGTGGTGCCTGCTTCCGGCCGGGCGCGGTTCCGAGCGCTTCGCTAGTGTTAACTTGGTCTCACCACAACCGCAGGAGGGAGCTGGTAGTGTCATCCCTGTTTTACCGATGAGGATGTGGAGGCGCAGGGAGGTTAAGTAATTTGCCTAAGGTCACACAGCTAACAGTAAGGTGGAGCCAAGATTTGTGTCTAGGCCTTTTAGCCCCAGAGTCTGTGCCCTTAACCACATGGAGTCTGTCTGTCATGGAAATAGTTTGTGCTGAAACATTTAAGGAATAATCCGAGTCATTTACATGGAAGAAGATGTGTATGTATATATACCTTTTTAAATCATGCATTTGACTGTTGATGGCTGAATTGCCTAGATCCTTAAATTTAAAATATCAAAAATTTCTCTGATCAAATATTGGTACTCTGATTTTTTTCTTTTGAATTATTAGTATTTTTAGAAATTTCTCCTCTTGGGAAATCATTGGCTGATCTAAAAATCTAGATAATTGAGTGATTTTTCTTCCCTAAATCATGCTTTTATTTTTTAAGAAAAAAGAAAATGGTCTCTCAGTCAGCCTCAAAACTAAAGCTATCTCCTGTGTATTTGGTAAGAAAAATGTCCTGGTTGCTTTGCGTTCTTTCTTCATTACTTGAGAGCCAGACTTGACCTGGGAAATAGAAGTGACTAAAAATAAGATTGTTGAAGTAGGATATTTGTTTACTTCTGAACTTCTCTCCCAAATTGCTTTGTCGGCAAATAACTGATCCTTTTTTTTTTTTTTTTTTTTTTTTTTTTTTTTGTGGCTGTGGCTAAGAAGCCATCCGTTCACAGCAGGGCTTATTCATGTGTTCCAGATTCAAGGGGTCATTTTTCGATAACAGGTCGTGTCTTCTGCTGATCCTCACTCTGGGTTGGTCAAGCATGAAACTAACGAGTGGCCCTTGTAGGTTACACACCACCTGCGTTCCTTTCAGGGGGGCACTTTAGAACCCCTCTGAGCCACCACATCCAGTCCATGAACAGTGCGCCCAGCGCTGCAGAGACAGCAGCCAGAGTAAGAATGGACCTTGACTTGCCCGGTCTCAGGCTACCGAGAGGCAGGTACAGAGACAGCTTCGCCTGAGGAAGGCAGGCTCTGGGAAATGAAATAAAAAACACAAGTGCTGGGAAAATGCCACATAAAGTGAAATCACACTGTTTATTACTTCCACTTGTTTTTTTCACTTGGCATTTCCTCACTTTGACTGTTTTGTTCTCACTGATTCCCAGCCATTGCCCCGTTGCACTTGTTGATGTCACAGACCTTGTCGCAGTGGGGTTTGTTAACGTTGTACCTTATGCGATAACAAACTCTTGAACTGCCCCATCCTGCACCCCTGAAAAAGCATTTAATGAACTACCATCCTTCGCCTGAAGCAGCCGTAGCCCTGGGGACACAGTGGTCACCGTCCGCTCGGAAATACGGAACCACCCACTTGTGCAGCTTTGGGGACCTGTGTTTTGTGCTTTTCCCATCTTTTTGTGGACATGTTAGTCGTTATCCCTGTCACAGCCTGGAGGTGGACAGAGGACTTGCTGTCCCAACAAAGGCAGTGAGGGAGGGGTCATCCTCTGGAGGAGTTTTGATCCTGGGAGTCCGGGACTCCCTGGCGTGTATAAATCACTCACGTTCCCTTCTATTTCCCAGGTTAGTCGAGTAAATTGTATTCCTGAGGCTGCCATTTCCCACACGTTTCGTGTTCTAATCTGACCGCCTCCGGGTAGCAGAGGGAGAGAATCTCCCAAGAAAAAAAGGGCACAGGTTATGGAAGTGTTTTTCTTAGCCCTGGGGTGTTTGTGTAACAGAAGCAGGTTCCTGGGTCCCATCCCAGAGCCGAAATAGAACCAAAATAGGAGGGAGTGGCCAGGGACCTGCTGGGCAGACCTGCCTCCCAGGTGACCCGTGTGCACCCGGGGCCTGAGAACCACTGGGTTAGGGAACCAGAGATGCACGTCAACAAGCTGACAGAATTAGAAAACCCAAGGGGGGTGCTGTGTAGGATGCTTATGTATCGTTGCAGGTAAGTAACAGCCTTTCGTTGTCGTTTCTTTTAAACGGTTAGTCAATTAAACTCCCCATCCAGTTGAGGCTTTCACTCTGCGGTTGATGGGATAGTCATTGACACACTCGATAGGTAACTTCACACCTTTCATGCCAGCGCTGTTCCAGACACGTATCATACAAGCCGCCCATATATAAACATAATCGAACGCGTTCTACTGCTCACAGTAGCATACTTTTTTAAAAGATAAAAAGAAACGGGTGAAATTAATAATATATTTTATTTATACAAATATATCCAAGATATTATCATTTCATCCTGCAATGAATACAAAATCCTTCACAAGATAATTTGTTTTCCTCTCTGAGCCTTTGAAATCCAATGCGTGTGTCACGCTGACAGCCCGTGTCACGTGAGACGGGACCCGTTTCTGGTGCCCGGCAGCCGTCCGTGCTCCCGGCCACTGCAGCAGACAGCACGGCCGCAAACCCTCCCTATCCGCTCGCGCAGCACCTACGCGTGCTGAGTGAAGTGGGGTAGAAAACACAGGCAAAACAGGGAAGCCCCTTTCTTCCAGCAGGCAGATACATTCGAGAACTTTGAAAGTTACTGTTTCCGTTAACTTCTTATCCATTAATGGGTACTTCCCCAGTCAGTTTCTTTGGAGGAAAAAGAAATATTTTTGTTGAAGTTAAACTCAACATCAAGTTTAGATTCCTTTTAGCATCTCAAAATGGTGGAAGTTTGCCAAAAATTGTAGTTTTGAATTGGAGCGATCAGAATTGGGCGTAAGCCGTGACTGCAGTTAGAGATTGGTTAACATGTAGACATTCGGGGTAGTTTGGCTGCTGCCTTCAGATGGGGTAGTGATTTAAGATCTTCATGGTTAAAGAAAACTATCAGTGACTTGTCATTTAAATGATCTCTTTTTCTTTGGACTGCTGTCAATAGGTGGCCACAGTGTCAGAAAAGTCTCGTATAATGGAGCTAGAAAAAGACCTAGCATTGAGAGTGCAGGAAGTAGCTGAGCTGCGAAGAAGGCTAGAGTCCAGTAAGCCTGCTGGGGACGTTGACATGTCACTGTCCCTTTTGCAAGAGATAAGCTCTTTGCAAGAAAAATTAGAAGCCACCCACACCGACCACCAAAGAGAAATCACCTCTCTGAAGGAGCAGTTTGGAGCCCGGGATGAAGCCCATCAGAAGGAGGTGAAGTCCCTCCAGGCCGCCACAGAGAAGCTTTCCAAAGAGAACGAGTCGTTGAGAAGCAAGCTGGAGCACGCCAACAAGGAGAACGCGGACGTGATCGCCCTGTGGAAGTCCAAGCTGGAGACTGCCATTGCGTCCCACCAGCAGGCGATGGAGGAGCTGAAGGCAACCTTCAGCAAGGGCGTTGGCGTGGAGACGGCAGAGCTTGCTGAGTTAAAAACCCAGATAGAGAAGGTGAGACTAGATTACCAGCACGAAATAGAAAGTCTGCAGAATAAACAAGACTCCGAACGGTCTGCTCACGCCAAAGAGATGGAAGCCGTCAAGGCCAAGCTGATGAAGGTCATTAAAGAGAAAGAGAACAGCCTAGAAGCTGTCAAGTCGAAACTGGACAAAGCTGAAGAGCAGCATCTAGTAGAAATGGAAGACACCTTGAACAAACTGCAGGAGGCTGAGATAAAGGTAAAGGAGCTAGAGGCGCTGCAGGCCAAATGCAGTGAACAGACCAAGGTCATTGATAATTTTACATCCCAGCTCAAGGCTGCTGAGGAAAAGCTCTTGGACCTCGATGTGCTTCAGAGAGCCAGGTCCGAAGGTAAATCGGAAATCGAGAAGCTTAGACAGCAGCTTGAGGCAGCGGAGGGACAGATTAAAAGTTTAGAGGTTGAAAAGAAGGCTGAGAGTGGCAAGGTTTGTATTGACATCCTCCATCTTTTTATTTTCCATTTGTCATTCTTACTTTGCATTGCACCTTATTTTTGAGTTGAGATAACTCATCGTCCAAGTTCCTGATTTAATTAGAACAAATCGCTTGGTGCCAACGCATTTCCCAGTTGAGAATAGTATCTTCTGAGTGTCTTGAGGCTGGTTTCATCTGAGGAGATTTGAGAAAATAATGGCTCAATTATGTGAATTTGTTTCAGTTTCCTGTTACCTGGATAGTGTATTACTTTAGCTCCGCTGTTCTGTGATCTGCTGTTTAAGCGTGGCTCCAGTCCAGAATCTCTTTCTAAAATAGAGAACTCCCTAAGTTGATGACATTAAGGTGAATGAATGAATGAATTAGCTAGAAGCTTAGAAGGTCCTCTCGTTCCCCAGCTCCACGATTGCCTCACCTGTGAGGTCACATGTGGGAACAGAGCATGAGCTCCAGGTGCCACTCGACTGTCATATGTGAGCATGCTGTGGTGAGCAACAGTCCCGGCAGAGTTGGGGCCAAGGGCCTGAGCCCCCCGCGCCGCGGTGCATGCCTCTTTGGGGTTTCTCCTGTGCCATGAGAACACAGTCTCTTTCCTGCTGTGGGAGGAAAGACTAGGAGGATACGCTTCCTTGCGGTCAAGGCAGAGGACGCTATATGAAACCGGCGCTGGCTACATTTCTTACGGCGACGGGTGGTGCTCTCTGCTCCCCTGTCCCCACCGCTAGGTGAGACGCTGGCCCCGATGCCAAACATCCTGAGCTTTTTGCAGGAGAAGCTGCTGTATTGGCAGCGAAGGAAGGGTTGTGGGGGTTCAATGGGGAGGACAAACAGCAAAAATTGCTCAGTAGCCTTAGTTGAAGACAATAAACTATTTACAGGAAATTTTTCTCAAATCTCCTCATTTGGTTCCAAAATACCAATCAAAATCCAAAAATTAATTAGTGGAGAATACGTAGCTAGCTAATGGTTGGTCCACTTTTTTTACATCAAGATTTAATGAAAGCCTGTTTCTGACGACTGTCATCAGTGCCTCTTTAAAGTTTCAGTTTTCTGCTGGGTTGGAATACTGTAGGCATATCAAGAAACAGAAAATGGGAGCATGGACCCCCTTGTCCATCATTTCTACCTTAAGGTTTTTAAAGTCCAGGAAACGAAATTGCTGAACTTGTATAGAAAGTAAGCATCTGTACTGTCTGCTTTAAATCATGCTGATATTCCAAATTTAAGTACAGAAAATTACTTTATTTTGATTATCCTAAAATAGTCATTGGACAATCGTATGTAAAACTGTATGAAAAGTCATTGGCTTCTTAGAGTTAAAAAAACAAAATGATTTCTTATCCACGCCTTTGTCCCTTTCAGTTATGTTTGGTTGTGTTTGTTTCTCATCATTTTTGTATTTGTTTTTTGTTTCTCATTCTTTTTTGTTTCTGTTCATTTGCTTTTGTACCATGTAACCGTGTGGTAGGCCAATAGCATCACCAAAGAGCTGCAGGGGAAAGAGCTAACCCTTAGTAAACTTCAGGGACACTTGGGTGAAGTCAGTCAAGAGAAAGAGGCTCTGGAGAGAGAACTTCAGACTTTGGTGAGTACCTGTTGTGAACCTCAGTCTTAGCATTTCTGGCCACTTGAATTGTCCTGTTTAAAAACAAAACTCCATAAAGAAGCAGCATTGCGCCCATTTCTCTCCTCTTTCAAAGTATTGATTTAAATTGAGTATATTAGTCATTGGCTGATAAATATCTTGAGGGGAATCAGATCAAACCCAAACGAGGAATAAAAGTAGGTATCACAGCCATGCCCCCTAATCTGCAGGGGACACATTCCAAGACCCCCAGTGGACGCCTGGCATTGCAGATAGTACCGAGCCCTGTTCATACTGTGCTTTTTCCTGTACGTACGTACCGAGGTAAAATGTATGAGGCACAGTAAGGGATGAACAATGGTGATAACGAAATAGAGCAATTAGAACAATGTACCATGATAAGAGTTACGTGAACGTGGTCCCTGGTTTCAGCGGGCCCTTCGCGGAAGCCCTCAGGTGGGCTTGGTGCTTCCCGGCGCGGAACGTGACCGTCAGGTGGGACGTGTTTTCTACCAGCACATGTAACACTCTTCCCATCTTAACCGAGCACTTAGTAGGCGCGGTGTCCGTAACTTTGGGAGTTTGAGGTACGACAGCAAGACTAGCAGGAGTTTCTTTATCCTTCACAGCCTCACAGATAGAAATTTCTTTTTCTCCTCAGCGGGCTTTTTTCCCCTCTTAAGTTGGGAACTTTCGCCTTCTCCCTGTAAGGAGGCGCTTTACACTCATCCCGGCGCGTCTGAGTTGCCAGTGCCGCTGCTCATGCACTTAGCGGCCTTATGAAGTCAAATTAGGGTGGCGAGACCACAAGCCCTGCGGTCCGTGACAGGCGACCTGGTGACCGACGGCTACCGAGTGACTCACGGGCGGGTCGAGTGTGTGGTGTGGAGGGGGCGGAGGATGAGTCACACCTGGGCTGGGTGGAGCGGGATAGCATGAGATTTCATCACCTGCTCAGGGCAGCACACCATTTAAAACATGAATCATTTCTTTCTGGAATTCCCCATTTCATACTTTCAGACCCTGGTTAACCAGGGTTGGGGAAACCACAGAAAGCGAAACCCTGAATAAGCGGGGCTGGGGTACTTCCCATAAGTACTCTGTCCTTCGCCTCTGGCAGTGCTTTGCTTTGGTGCGTCAGTGGCCACGCAGGTTGATGGGCACAGGGACCTTCCCAGCCGCCCAGTGGCTCGCTCAGGGCCGTGCAGAGCGAGGCCGGGCACTGTGCCTCCTCTGCCTGCGCGGCGTGGCAGGCGGCACCGCCCTGGCCACCGGCACCCTCCATCAGCTGTGCCAGTGCGACAGACTCTCAGACAGTTCTCTCTCCCAACGCAGCCCGTGCACATCAGGGAACTGCTTTTCCTTTCATATGTCCTTCTTCCTTAATCCCAAGTTGTGAGACACTTTCTTCTTAGCTTTTCTCAACTGCCCTCCCTCTCACTGGCCTCCTGCATCGAACGCTTCGGTTCAGTCGAGGCTGGTGGCCACGAGCAGTGCCAGGGGTGCCCGCCGTGTTGGGAGGCCAAGTTGTAGGCTCACAGAGAAACTAGGGAAGAGAAACATGCACCGCACGTGTATGCACTCACATGCACACAGGTGTGTCCGTACCCAGGCACGCACACACGCATGCAGACCTCACTCACTGGTGTGTGTGCCTGCACAGTATGCGCACTGTAGTGGCCGGTGCCAACACATCTTAAGTGTAAGTTGGTTCTAATGAAACAAAACCAGCCACAAAAGTCGATGGCATAGTGCTACCTGACTGAAACTTGGCAGCTTTTATAATTTGAAAGGTTTCTATTCTGAATACCCAATTCTTTTTCTTTAGAGAGAAAAGTTTGCTGATGCTTCAGAGGAGGCGGTCTCTGTTCAGAGAAGTATGCAAGGTATGTGTCTCTGATGCATCTGCGACCATGTCAGAGGGTGTTGCGTTCTGTTCTCCCGTGGAGCGCGACGCCCTCGCCTCAGAGCCGCGCCCCCCACCCCACCCCCCCGCCCCCGCCGGCATGTGGAGCCCACGCCACCCAGAGTCAGCTCACACATCCTGCCGGGGCCCCCGCTGCACCCAGGGGCACTGCGTTCTTGGCCTCCTGAAGCCTCCAGCTGCCGTTCGTGTTTCTCTTCTCTTAACTTTGAGTGCGTTTCATATGAAAATGCGAGTATACGTGCGCGGGCAGAGTGTTCTCTCACCTGAGCCTTTGTCAGTCACAACTCGCTGAGTTTTAAGTCGGGGGGAAGGCGCTGCCAGGTCCCTGCCGCGCCTGCAGGTCTGGGCGCCGAGGAGAGTGTGTGCTTGTTGCCCCTGCAGGCTCCCTGCCCAGTGTTTGGGTTGTGACGGGCTGCTTAGTGTTCCCGAGAGTGCAGATCGCAAGCCTGTGATTGATTTGATTGTAAGACAGCCTCGATGGCTTATTAAATGTGACATACATTAAACTTTAACTTTATCCTAAATAGAAACTGTAAATAAGTTACACCAAAAAGAGGAGCAGTTTAATACGCTGTCTTCTGAACTGGAGAAGCTGAGAGAAAATTTAACAGGTAAGATGATGTCTCTGATTACTAGACATTAAATATAGTAGGCTTCCTGGGATTTGAGCTAACTATAGTACGTTACAGTAACATATCTACCACCCAGGCGTCACTTCTTCACTCATTATGCTGATGTGATGGGATAAAATACTGGTTTGAGGTCTGTAACCTTCAGCAAATGCTCTCTGCCCTGTTTTCAAACACGTCAATGTGGGCCCCGTCTGTCCGCTCACTGCTGTCCTTGCCCCAGGCCGGCCCCCTTCCATCTGAGCCGCTGCAACGGCCGGCCTCCTGGTCTGCCCGCCTCTGCCCTCGCCCCCTCAGCCTGTCCTCTGCCAGCAGCCGGCGCGATCCTTCAGCACCGGGGCAGCTCTCGGCAGCTCACGGCACCTCCCGGCTCAGGATCGCTGGCGGCCGCGGCCTCCCACAGAGGAAAGCTGTGGTCCTGACTCTCACCAGGCCCTGCTTCCTCTCTGATTTCACCCTGTGCTGCTCTCTGCGCCAGCCCGCGCAGCCTCCTTGGTGGCACCGGTGTGTCAGGCACGTTCCTGCCCCAGGACCTCGGCACTTGCATTCCCCGCCGCCACAGGCCTCCTCCCTCACGCCTTCACTGAAATGTCACGTCTCACAGGCCCTATCTAAGATTTAACCCCCCAACTTCTTTCTGGCTCCTTTCTCTGCTTGTATTTTTTTCTTCTTAGCAATATAATTGTACCGTTCATTTTCTCGATCGATCTCGCTTAGTGTCTTTTTTACTGGAATATAATATTCGCAGGGATTGCTATAGGCATATATTCCTAGAGCAAGGCTTGGCAGACAGGATGCAGGCGATACATTTTTGTTGATTGTAACACCACAGTGTTATTTGTTTCTATATATATTCAGACATGGAGGCAAAATTTAGAGAGAGAGATGAAAGAGAAGAGCAGCTGATAAAGGCGAAAGGAAAGCTGGAAAACGACATTGCAGAAATAATGAAAATGTCAGGAGATAATTCTTCTCAGTTGACAAAAATGAATGATGAGCTGCGTCTGAAGGAAAGGTACGTGCGAGCGTCAGCGAGAGCCGGTGGCAGGTCCTGCTCTGACGCGGGGCCCGGTAGGGGAGCCCAGGTCTTCGGGGTGGTGTGTTCTGCTTCTTGCCTCTTCCTCCTGTCACCTCAGCATATCCTGGAATCTACCATTTCACCTCTAAGGGGTACAATATTGTAGACCTTTGCTGACTTGAGAAAAGTTACCAGTTGGTGACTTGTTCACCAATGTCAGTAGTATCTTTTCCAGATGAAAGTATTTTCACCCTATTTCACGCCATTTCAATGTAACAATAGGTAACATTTATTAAGGGCTGGCAGTGTGTCATGCACTATGCTAACAGCTCTATTCAGAGAGTATATTCTCTAACTCTCCTAAGGATCCTACGAGGTGAGCATATTATTGACCCGTCTGAAAGGAAAAGAAAGGGAGGCTCGGCAAGACTCCGTCGCTTGCCCAAGGCTCCAGCTCCGGGCAGCCCGGCCGGGCCTGCTGCCGCCCTTGCTCCGTCGGCTTCCTCGGTGCTCGGGCTTCTGTTTCCTGACTCTCTGTTCCTCTTCATTCTGCGGCCTTGTCGCTTTGGGTGTTTTTCTCCCTTTGAGAGCTGCCGTATCAAAACCAAATGTTTCATAAGGCAAAAACTTCAGAGGACATTTTAGGACCATTAGCTGTCTGATTCTGAAAGTGTCACCACTCGGCAAGCTTATGTTTCCACCCGGCACGCACACGCACAGCCAGACAGGCGGCGGCCCCGCTGGGCCGGCTTTGGTCCGACGTGGTGTGAGGCGGGCGCCTGGGGCCAGCGCAGTGTCTTGGAGAAGCTCGTTCCTGTGGGTGCGTCGCAGGCATAACGCCCGGGGCTCCACCCCGCTTCCCTCCTCTGTCCTCTAGGGGGTTGCCCCGCGTTTTTTGTGCGTCTCTGTTTGACGACATGGTTGTCTTTAATCTGGAACTTCAAGTTATTGTCATTTTTATACCTTATCTTCTCAAGCATCACTAGAATGAGTTTTTGATGCCCTAGTTTGTTAACGTTTTGAAACTTTGTAAATATCCAATATGTTTACTTTTCACTTATTTTTTAAATAGACTTATTGACATGAAATAACCTTAACAATGATAGTAGTTGTTACTCTGAATAATGTATTTATAACTAAGACAACTGTTGAAATTATTCTTCAGTGCAAGTCAAATTTTTTTTGTTATTGCTTATTCCAGATGTTATTAACTACTCTTAGTATTTGTAATCGTTAATACACTTATTAATGTAGTACCTTTATAGTGGGACTCTAGAATTGAAAGCGTTCTTTTGAAAAGCCTGACACACCCCATACTGAACTCGCTCTAGAAACATAGAAGAACTGCAGCGAAAGCTCAGCCAGGCTCACGAAAACGCGAGCCTGCTGCAGAGGCGCATGGGAGAGGCGGCCCTGAGTGCGGCGCAGGGCCAGCAGGAGGCGGCACGGAGGCACGAGGAGGAAAAGCAGGGGCTGCTGACGCAGCTGCGGGACCTGGTAAGGAGGGGCTGGGGGGCTGCTTGCCGGCGGCGGGCTCTCGCACAGCGAGGTGACTCCCGCCCTCTCTCGCGTCCCGCAGGAAAAGAAGATGGAAGTGAGCCACAACCAGTGCCAGGACCTGAAAGCCAGGTACGAGGAGGCCAGCGCCGCGGCTAAGGCAAAGCACGAGGAGGCGGTGCAGAAGCTACAGAAGGCGCTGTCGGACACAGAGGAGAGGCTGAAGGCAGCGCAGGAGCAGCACAGGGACTTGTTGCAGGAAACGGCGGAACTGAAAAAGCAGGCGGACAAAGCCAGAGTACGTGGCGGAGAGAACCGTGTTGCGTGGGTCCAGCAGTCCCGCTTCCGGCCGCAAGGGCTCTGAGCTCGCGGCCGCGGACGGGATGAGCTCAGTTGGCCTTTGGGCGCGCTCGCCCTCCGAGTGCGCATGACCCAGTAGAGAGTCCGACACCCCGTGGCCTCAGGTGTTCTGTGCCAGCGCCGTCCTTCTCGGGGACGGCGGTGGCTGCAGGTCTCCCTTCTGAGTGTCCCGAGTAGCCAATCCCCCCCGCACCCGCCCCCCCTGCTGCTGCTTGTCCCAGCTGTCACAGTCTTCCGTTGCCTGCTTACGTAACAGATCTTTGTTGCTCCAAGATTAGAGGAAGGCTCGTTCCTCTAATCTTGGCCCTCTCGCTGCCGCCTTGCGCTAGGGCGAGGAGAGCCCTGTTGCAGGAAAGCCAGAGGCGAGGCCAGGCCAGGCGAAGAGGTGAGCAGGGAACGGAGCCCGGCTGGAGGAGCGGAGCCCCCGGGGGGGCTGACGAGCGAGGACTCCAGAGAGCACGGTGTCCCCAGGAAGACACCGGGCACGTGCGCGCGAGGAAGCCGGGCTCAGGGGCTGCGAGGACGTGCCCTGTCGCTCAGTGTGGCGTCAGGATGGTGCCCGTGCCCCAACAGGCTTTTTTGACTGGTAATTTAATGCAGTTTAACCCCTCTACCAGTATTGAACATTTTTCTGTTACTATTTAACTTCCTCAAAGACAAGGAAATGCTTGTCTTTGTTTTTAATGTGTCAGAGAAATGTTTACAGAGGAGGCGTTTACTAGAAGGAAGATACAAAAAGAGCCTATGAAGGCCTGAAACAGACCCCATTGAAACTTGCGAATGAAGTGGACCGTGATGCGATACGTGTCCTGCATGAGATGCCTTGGTTCCTCTCTCCTGCACGCTGGCCGTGGGGGCCTTCTCGTCTCCCCGTGAGGCAGCTAAAATTTTATGAGCCATTTAACACTGGAGGTAATTTCCAGATCTTTCGTCTTTGTGGTTCCCTTTATCTGGACAGACTCCAGTTTTTTAGTGTTTCCCTTAAAATCCTCTCTGTAATATTGGGACTAAATGTGTGTCAGGCCGGTGATTGTCCTTTAGTGAGTAAGGTCCTGCAGTGACCTGAAAACCAACATTTTTTTTTTCCTCACCCTCCCACCCTTTTTTTTTTTTTTTTTAAATATGCTCACTTTTTATAGTTCATTCAATTTTTTAAAGATTTTTTTTAATGCTTTTTTCCTATGATAGAAATTATTGGATATTTAGAATGGCAGGGAAGAATCTTATGCCCTGATGTCAAAATCACACTGTTGTTTTTATCTTCTGGGTAGCTATCGGGAATAATTTCAAAAGTTTTTTCAAAGATAAAATAAACTAATAGCAACAGCAGCACTTTGCAGAACCGTTCCTGCTTTATATTATTTTGGGGGGGGGGGCTGTGTTCATCTAGATTCTTTCCCTTGTTATCCAGATAGTTTCTATGACATTTATTGTAAAGAAAAATTAATTTTTATGATTTAGGTTACATTAAGTTATTTGGGCTTGCATTTGTCTGCTTGATTTCATTTTGTTTCCATTCTTTCCATCTTTTGTTTCTGTAGTCGCTAACTTATTTGTTAACATCAGCCAGAAAAGAAATTGAGCTCATGTCAGAAGAGCTGAGGGGTCTGAAATCAGAGAAGCAGCTTCTCGCGCAGGAGGGAAATGCTTTAAAGTTAGAGAAAGGTTCGCTTTTATCAAAACTTGTCGAGGTGGAGGCCAAAGTAACTTTACTGCAGGAAGACCAACAGAAACTGTGGTCAATCAATGAAGCGCTTAACCTAGAAAAGGAGAAAGTCTTAGTAGAAAAGCAAGATGCTGAAAGGCTGTATCAGCAGGAACAGCTCTGTAGTGAAGCGCTGGCTTCTGAGAGAGAGAAGCTGCTTAAAGAGGTCACCGTTGTGCAGGAGGAGCTCTTGAAGATAAATACAGAAAATGACTCTTTGCAGGCTTCCAAAGCGACTTTGCAGGCTCTCGTCGAAGAACTCCAGTTCAGCAAAGACAATCTGATTGCTGAGTGTAAGAAGAATTGGGAAGAAAAAGACCTCCTGGAGAATCATGTGAAGAAGCTTGTTACCGAGCACCTTGTCTTGGCTCAAGATAAAGATGAAATGATTCAGAAGCTTCAGAGCTCCTACGAGGAGCTGGCCAAAGATCAGAAGAGCCTGGTGCAGGAGATCAAAGATCTCACCGCCGAGAAACAGTCAGTCTTGGAGAAACAGGCCGGCCTTGAAAACATGTGCCTAGCCTTAAAGGTAGAAAGAGACGCTCTTCTTCAGAACAGCAAAGACCTGCAGCTCGAGAAGGACACACTGCGCCAAGAGCAGGAGAAGCTGAACGTCAGCCTGGCGGCTGCCCTGCAGCTCAAGCAGCTGCTCAGCACCGAGGCCAGCGGGCTCCGCACGCAGCTGGACGACACCAGCAAAGCCCTGCGGAAGGCCGAGCTGGAGACCTTGCAGCTTCAGGCCACCAAGGGCAGCCTCACGAAGCTCCTGGAAGAAATTCAGGCCAGCCGGGCGGTGACGGACACCGAGTGCATCCAGCTCCTGCACGAGAAGGAGACCTTGGCCTCATTGGAGAGAAGGCTCATGGCTGAAAACGAGGATCTTCTGCGGGAAAACAGGCTCCTCACCGAAAAGCTCAGTAAGTGCTCAGACGAGGCTGCCCGCACTGAGATGAGCCTGAACGAGCAGCTCGCTTATGTGACTTCTGAGAAGGACGTGGTTTGCCAGAAAATCTCTAAGATCAAAAGGCAGCTTGACGGCGTCTTGAAAGAAAAATCTGTGCTGGAAATGCAAAATGGGGATTTGCTTGCAGAAAGAGAAAATTCCATCAATGCCATAGGAGAGCTTAAGCGGAAATATGATGAGGAGTCTGCAAACCGGAGGATTGTTGTGCAAGAGAAGATGAAACTACTTGGTAACCTCGATGCCCTGAAGAAGGAGCTCCAAGAGAGAAAAAAAGAAAACCAAGAACTGGCAGCTGCCAAGTGCGAGCTCTCTTTGATGCTGAAAGAGGCTCAAAACGCCAAACAGCATCTAGAAAAAGAGCACACGAACATACAGCAAGCCAAGGAGAGCTTGAATGCAGAACTTGAGACTTGCTGGTCCGAAAAGGACTTGTTGCAGGAGGAATGTCAGAAGCTGAATGAGGAGGTGCAGACCGCGCAGCAGTCCTTGCTCCTGGAAAAAGAGGCCCGGGCCAAGGACGGCGAGTCCTGCCTGCAGGAGAGCGGCAAGCTCCGCGGGCGGGTGGCGCGCCTGCAGCAGGAGCTGGAGGAGGCGCGAGCGTGCACCGAGGCGCTGCAGTCTGAGAACTGTGCGCTGGTCCAAGAGAAGACCCAGTCGGAGCAACACGTGGTGCAGATACTGAAGGAGAAGGAGCTGCTGGCCGCGGAGACTGCGCGCCTCGCCGCCAACATAGAGGCCCTGAAGAGTGACTTCACCTCCTTGTCCAAGTCCAAGTCCGAGCTGCAGGAGCTGCACAGCTGCCTCACCACCATCCTGGATGGCCTCCGGCTGGACCACGAGGTGACCCTGGCCGACCGGGCCAAGGTGCTGCAGGACAACAAGAGCCTGCTGGCGGAGAAGAGAGAGCTGACGCTGAAAAGGGACGAGCTCCTGAAGGAGAAGGACAAGCTGGCTGAGAGCTACTTTGTCCTTCAGAAAGAGGTCAGCCAGCTGGCCAAAACCAACAGCCACATTTCGGCCAACCTCCTAGAGTCCCAAAACGAAAACCATATTTTGAGGAAAGACAAGAGCAAGCTCACTCTTAAAATTAGAGAGCTCGAGACGCTTCACTCGCTGACGGTAAAGTGGGAGGTTCCAGCGCTGAGCCCCGGACTACTAACCCTGTGCACTAACTCATTAGTGGCTTAGGGGGCTGTGCCCGGTTCCATGTAAGGCGACCCGCCCCGCTGAGTCAGTTGCTTCTACACCTCAAGCTGCTTGTTGGCACCTGAAAGGGCGATTCTTTACTAAACGTCTAATTGCAGTAGTCTCTCTCCGGTAGAACAAAATGTCATCTGTGAATAACAAGGATACATGTTTAATTTAGGGGGAAATTTTTGTGAAAAAGTCAAATGTGGTGCCTAAAGGCGTCCAGTAGTAAAGGAGGCATACATGAAAATATAAACTGTCTTCTCTTTGGCTTGCAGCTGTTTCTGGTGTCTGCCCACCTGGAGTGGGGAGACTCCAGTGAACCCTCCGCGACCTTTTGGCTGGTCGCGGGGACAGCAGAGCGCACAAGCCCCGTAAGCTCTCTCAGACCACGTGAGGTGTGAGCAAGTACCTAAAAAGACTTTCATTCATTTTATGATTATTTTTAATATATTGTCAACTAAGGATTTGTTTCCATATTCATACTATCTTTTTTATTCACAGCCACGTTTATATCCATTACCCACACAGCTTCTCATAGACTTTCCCATTCAGTGCTTCTCATTCAACACCTGACCCTTAACACTGTAATTGCCCAAATAATTTTTATTTTTATTTGAAAAATTTCCAGCCTAAATTCTGAGTGATTTCCAAAACCCCAGATTCGAAAGAACAACAGTAATTTAGACTTCTAGCAGTAAATGTGACTAAGAGAAAATTCAGCTGTACGAAGACGTTACCGTTTGTCATTACTGAACGTTTCTCTCACACGTGAGCCAGGATGACGAGCATGACTGTCGGTGTGACTCAGAGCTGGCTCTGGGGTCTGAGATTAATGCAGGCTACGTACGACACTGGGCTCCTTGACAAACGCCTGAAGAGGGTGGTCCCAGTCGGGAGTGGAGACCTTCACGTCTCGGTGAGGCGGTGGGTGACGCGAGGCTGGCTCGTCCTGCCCGTGTGGTCCCACAGCACAGACACGGCACGGCCCGAGCCGCGCCGGCCGGGCGGGTTGGGGGGCGCTGCTCCTCTCACAGTGCGTTCTTGTGTTTAGGCTGCGCAGACCGCCGACGATGCCATGCAGATAATGGAGCAGATGACCAAAGAGAAAACCGCAACGCTGGCCTCCTTGGAGGACACCAAGCAAACCAATGAAAAACTGCAGAATGAAGTAATCAGATTTAAATGGCTTTTTGTACAGAGGACAGCTTATCGACTACATGGGATGTTTGATCACTAACTCAGGATCGTTTATTTTTTGAAGTGTGGCCTCATACAGGTTTGATCTCTGTTAGTGGAGTCGAATGTACACTAGAACCATGATAATATTAAATAAAATGTGGTTACTTCATTACTTACTTAGTAGGATCAACCTTTGAAAATGAGGTGAAAACCCTAATAACATAGCTTTCTACGGTCATTTTTCATTGATAGAATAATGAGAATAATGAGGTACTGATAACGTCCTCTAGTTTTTGTGTCTTTTCTCTTAGATCACATATATTTTTTCCTCAACTTCGAGCCACTAAATTTCATTCCTCAGCCCTGAGTTTGACGTAGGCCTTTTCTTGGCCTAATTTCAGTTCTGGTTCCCAATTGTGTCATCTCGAATTAGTCACTTCTGGGTGTTGGACAAATTTATGGTGTCTAGATAATTTTGATTCTGCCCAAAAGTAGCATTCTTATTCCTACACCCTTTTTTGTTTTCCTTCCTCCACCTTCCCTCCCAACTCATAGCAATCCTTTCTATCTTTGGAAAGCTGTCACTAAATCCGAGGCAGATTGATTCACCACAATAGTTATATAAAATTCTGTCGAAATTGGGGTGCTTTTTAAGCAATGAGCAGGTAAGACGTTAAGGAATTACAACAAGGGAAGGGACCGCCACCTGGAACAGCTGCTGTAAAGACGAGGCTTTCTCATCACGGAAGGTGCAGGATGGAAACTTTCAACAGACGTGAACATTTTGAGATTCTTACAGGGTAAATAAAACTTGACATAGAAGGGAGTATATTTATAGAGCTGACAGTCCTCGGAGAAGACCCAAAGCTAAAAACATAAAAGCATGAAAAAGGCATTGATGATAATCAAAATTAGAAGCTGAAGTAAATGAGAAGATGTTAGGGACGGTCTCCAGCCTCCGAGGACAGAACCGGGAGAACCGTGACTTCCGTAGTAACCCCCCGGGGCCTTTGTTGGAGCCAGAACACAGGCCGGATGACTCATTCTTTGGACCCGCTGTGATTTTTTTTCTGTGCATCCGGGATGTTAGAGGGCATTAAAAGGAAGGTGGTAGTGTAAAAACTAGCAAGACACTTTTTAGGACTCCTGGCTGGTGACATGTGACATAGAAAAGTTCTCTCTGGCTGTGGGAGGTAACTACCCAAGCCCCAGAAAGCCAGCCCGGCACTGGGCCGCCCCGCTGTGTGATGGGTGGTGATGGCGGGCCCGTGATGAGTTCCCCGTCCTTGGTGGGGGCTCCGCACCTAGAACTCCAGCCTCTGCCGGAGCCTGCAGTGGTCACGTGCGCGCTCATGGCTGTAACACATCCTAAGCTGGCTGCGTCCCGCTGCAGACAGGTGATGGGGCTGAGTGTGTGTGCGGGCCTTTCAGTCCTCTTTTTCTTTTTTAAATTAGATTTTATTTATTTATTTTTAGAGGGGGGGAAGGGAAGGAGAAGGGAGAGAAACATTGATGTGCGAGAGATACATTGCTCAGTTGCCTCTCGCACGCCCCCCACTGGGGACCTGGCCTGCAGCCCAGGCGTGCGTCCTGACCGGGAATGGACCAGGGCCCCCTTGGTGTGCAGGATGGTGACGGCCAGCCCACTGAGCCACACCAGCCGGGGCGCCTTTCCGTCCTCCTGGATGATTTTTTCCTTTTCAGATTGAAGTTCAGATGGAGAACTAATTTTTTCCCCATCTACAAATATTTTCATTCAAGTAATTTTTAAACGAGGGCTGTGTAAATTTGGTACGGGTGTTGAAAAATGCCATATCCAGACTCGCTCGTCTGTGGGGAAGGGAAGGGTTTTGTTTTCATGACAGAGAATAACCCTTACTGATGTCACTGCTTTGCAATTTACTTCTTGTTTTTTACTTTTTGAGATGGTTCATACTTGAATAGCAAGTTCACTAATAAACATTGGTCATTGTACACAAGGTGAAAGGAAACTTGTTTTAACTTAGGAAGCAATTTAGTTCGGCATTTTGGCAAGATGTACAGGGAATGTCCGACTAAATGTAAGGAGAGGTTTGCAGTTTATCAAGACTTGTTCATTTGTAATCTCTTCACCCAGCTGACCTTTTTTTTAACAAATGACTAATTTCACCTGTTTTGTAATGCACATTTTCATGAATAATGTCATTATTCAGTCATGTTGTTGAAAAATGAAAAGAATCTCACCAAGCTTTTTTCTCTTGGTCTTTAAGTTGGATACACTTAAAGAAAACAACTTGAAAAACGTGGAGGAGCTGAACAAATCAAAAGAACTTCTGACTGTAGAGAATCAAAAAATGGAAGAATTCAGGAAAGAAATGTAAGTTTATCTCTTTTGAGAGAAGCTGTGGAATTTATTTAAAATCACAAAAGTGAAAACAATGCTATGTATTTTTTAAAAAAAACTTGACAAGTACATGAAGTAAAAAATAGTCACGTGACCCCCTTGCACCTGAGAGGTAGGCGCCCCACCCACTGCCACAAGTTAGAGCCACGGTAAAGGTGCAGGTGGCACGCCTGCTGGCTGATGGCAGGGATGCCTGGCATTCACATGTGGCTTTGTGGAGCCTTCTGGAGATCCAAGTGGACTCGGAGCTGCCTGAAGTAGGGTAGTTCCCCGGTAACCAATCCTAACGTCTGCCCACATCAGATCTTTGATCAATAAATCCCTCAAAACCCGTTCTACAGGGAAAAGAAAAGCATTACTGAGATTATCAGTCGTCTTGATTTTTAAGAGTAATCAGATCTTCTGGCATGGAAATGAAATGGGAAGAATGTTGCAAGACTTCTCCGATCAGGGTTTGCCCGTGAGACAGTTGCCTCGATGGCGGGCAGGCAGGCCGTGCTGCCCGGTCAGCGCTGCCGTCCCAGTTCGGTTTCTGTAATCATGCGCACGGTCACTGAGCTGGCATTTTTAATCACAGGTAGGATATGGATTTCACTTTGTTCTCCTGAGAACTACACAGTATCAAGTTGTGAAACTAAAAATTTGGGGCTGCCGAATGTGGTGAGCGTTTGAGCATGTCCGTCAGGCGCGGCGCCGTGAAGCAAGGCGGGGCGCAGAGACAAAGCCTGTGTGGTCCCGGCCCCCCCACAGGTTTATATTATTGATTTACAGCTCTGATCAAACAAATAGATGAGATTCAAACGAAAACAGAAGCATCCTTAGAAACTGCTATTCTGGGTTGCCATCCTCCATGCTATTTGTTGGTCAAGACTGAATTAAACTGGTGTGTCTAGTTCTTCTGAGGGTTCTGAAAATCCTCCTAGAAATAACCTCACCTGAGCGACTCAGGACGCTGACGCTCGATCCCTCCCCCAGCACGCACGATGCTTCCCTGGACGGTGGGGGGGGGGCGGTCCTGACGATCGCATGCACCCAGATCGGTAAATTTACGACCGAGATCGTGGTCGGCAGGAGAGGCTTCCACCTCACCTGCCAAAGCCCAGTGACAGAGCAGCCACCGTGAAGGGGGAAATGACCGCACGATTCGGAGGGGGCGTCAGTACAGCTCAGGATCCCCCCACCCGCCGTGACACCAGCGTCACGCTCACCGGGAGCGTTGGGCACTGAGTTTCTGTTAGTTCACTTGTGCCACCCAGGCAGCTGGCGAGCGAGGGTCCGAGCCACAGGAGGGGGTCCCCAGACTGGCCCCCCACTGCCCGGGTCCCGCCTCTGGGCTTGGTGATGGTGACGAGGTGCAGGGGGAGGTGGCCCAGCCCAGAGAGCTTGCGCGTTAGATGGAATCCCCATTGCTGCTGCAATGAGTCTCTTGGGGTCATTCCATTGGTGTCGTGTGTAAGTGGTCAGCGTCCTCACCGAGCCGTTTGTCGTGTCATATGCCCCCAGAGTGTGGGGTGGTGTCACCTCTCATTAGAGACAAACTGTTTCTGTGTTCCCTTCCTGAACCGTCCCCTTGAGTAATGAGAGCTCAGCCTCCTGCCGGTGGAAGCGAAGGAGCAACCGCAGACGACGCCCCCGTGACTGCCCCTCCAACCTTGGACTGTCTTCCCCCCGCCCGTGGCCGTGCTCCCCAGGTTTCTGGTCCTTAAGGGGGGTGGCCCAGGTGAGGAGCCCAACCACAGGGTGGACAGAGCCCGGCTATTCCTGATCTTATCTTGTTTTCTGGTCCATCGGGCCTGTGGGAATCACGTCTTCTGTCAGCAGATGCCCAGGATTCTTAGCAGGAGGCGGGCATCGGGGGCACCCCACTGACACACACCAGGGGCTGGTGGCGGGAGGTATGAAGAGTAGGTTGAGAGAGCCACTGGCCCCAGAGACTCACTGTTCCCTGCCCTAAGCTTGGCCGCACGTCAAGGACCATCTGATAGGAATGTACAGTGTGAGGGGAAGAGTGCTTCTTAAAAACCAAACCAAATCCCAGCCACGTGGCTGCCCCTTCGGTCCTCAGGGCTGAAAGCTAGAGCGCGGGCTCAGGTTGCTCTTCTGTGGTTCAGCAGGGGCGGGGGCTTCTCGCGGTCTCCAGAGCCGTTCTGGGGTTTCCCTGCCCCTCCTGGACCTGGTTCCTCGGGGAAAGGGACACCAACAGACACCTGGGAGGCCTGCAGGACGTTGCACTCGGCACCAGGACGCCTCGCGGGGAACTACGGCTTTTCTCTGAGCTGCCGCCTGGACTGGTTTTAGGAAAACTCGATTTGGGTTAGCCAGCTCGTTTTCAGATGTAGGAAAAGAATAAAATGGTGTTTGTCTGCTGTGTAATATTGAACCTTAGGGAAGACGACAGGAGCACTCTAATTTTCACCTTTACTCACCCGGGGCAGTGAGAGATCTAGGCTGTATTTAGCGTGGCCATTAACAGATTTACGATCAATTCATAAGGTGAGCGTTTACAAGTCAATATTAACAATGTTTATTTCGCCTCAGTTTTAAAACTGACTCCTTTTTTGTGTTTAGATACAGTGCCATGTAAAAGAAAAGTAACCCTGAAAACCATAAGAAGAGTAACTGTAGGTATTGCAGTCCCAGGAGTCGGGTTGCGAGAGGCCCCCTCCCCTATGAAGCTGGGGGGCCGGCGGGAGGGAGGGAGGGGGAAGGTGCTGCTGCTCTCCGGCCAGGCCCGTGTGCTGGCGTTAGGTCCCGTGTTCTTGCTTCTGTGACTTTACCGACTTCATGATTTGGGGCAAATCTCTTCAGTTCTCTGAGCCTCGGTGTTTTCATGATGAACCTTCTTAAGGTTTGAGGATTAAATGAGAAAATGTATATGAAAGCATTTTATAGATTTTAAAAATATATTTATTTATTCATTTTTAGAGAGAGTGGAAGAGAGGGAGAAAGAGGGAAACATCCATGTGTGGTTGCCTCGTGTGCGCCCCCTACAGGGGACCTGGCCCACAACCCAGGCCTGTGCCCTGACTGGGAGTTGAACCCGTGACCCTTTGGTTCGCAGGCCAGTGCTCAATCCACTGAGCCCCACCAACCAAGGTGGCATTTTGTAGATTATAAAACATTAAACAAATCCTTACGACATTTTGATATTTCTTAGACTCTTTTTGTTAATTCTCTCTCCTGTGGGCTCTTAATAAACACCAGGGATTTAAACAATTTCACAAGGTGAAGATCTCTAATAAAGAAAGCACAGGGTCATAACCCCAGTCGCAGGCCACACTGACACTGGGACCAGATGCCCCCTGGAGAAGGGTCTCGCCTGGCCGCGACAGCTTCGGCTCCTGGCGACTGCATCGCAAACAAAATCTTTCGTTTTGTCAAGAATTAGTGATATGAGATAGAGGGTGAACTTTAGCTGCTGCGTGCGCGCGCGTGTGTGTGAATTTTGATCCGTAGCTAAAATCAAGCCTCCCAGGTTTTGAATGACTAATTACCTGAGGCTCAAAGTCCCTCAATCCCAGTTTTTCTTCACTTGCTAAATAAACATCTCTGTAAAACACCAAATTTAATGTGCAAAGAGAATTGTTCTGTAAATTTATTCCCCTAAACCTTCATGAGCTCATCCCTGTGTGCACATCATGGGAGGATGGAGAATTAAAAATCAAGAAAATTGAGATGCCAAGCACCGCCACCCATTAGACAATCGAAGTTAAAAATAGATGTGTTCATGCGTCAGCAGACGGATTCGTTCCCCGGTGACTGGACTCGGAATTCAGCCGTGTGTGCCAGCGCACCCCATGGAGTGGAGCCGGCACAGACTTCAAATCCGTGCCTGCATCGGCACCTGCCGTGGCATAGAGCTAGAATCCAGTGATCAAATACAATATTTTGAACGCCCACATGTAAAGGATAACAATTGGGGATGTATATTTTGGATTAATTTTAATCTTGGAAAGGTGTTTAGTAAATATACTTATCCTGCTTGTATGTTATATGCTGATATTCATGAGACAAGTGAGCAGGCTGTATTTTTATTTACTTCTTTTAATTACACATTAGCATTATGGAAAGAATATAGTTGACATGAAACACCTGTTATGTAACTAGAGAACTGCATTTCCTTTGGAAATACCCCTCTCGTTGACCCAAAAATATACTGAGATTCAGGCTGGCACTTGATGGTAACAGACACCAACGAATGAGACCATTAGATTTTTATTTCTGCCAGAAAAAGACCCAGATTACAGATTTGTGCAGTTAGAACAGTACCTTGGCAGCGAAGTAAATCTCTTTATCAACATAGTAGGTTTTTGTATAATTTTCTAGCGGACAGAGTCCTGAAGACAAGAGGGCCACTGACCGTTCGTTTGTCCTTTATTTCATAGCTCTGTGTGGGGAGGGTTCAGAAGTAAAGTGAATGTGGGTGGTGAGAGGCTGGATGTGGTGTTCAGTCAGTTCTTTTTAAAAAAATGTAACAATTGGGGGTGGCAGTCTTCCTCCTGAGAGGTTAGTAGCGCCACTTAGCCCCTCCTGCGCGGAGGTCACCCTGCCTCCTGTTATTACAGATCCTATCAGGCACGTGACCCAGATATATTTTCCCCGGTGCTGTGAAGCCGGTTGTCTCCCACAGCTTCCTTGCCTGTCTTGTTTCTATGGTAACCCCGCACCCACTGTCCTTGCAGAGAAACCCTGAAGCAGGCAGCGGCGCAGAAGTCCCAGCAGCTCTCAGCCCTGAAGGAGGAGAACGTGAAACTTGCCGAGGAGCTGGGGAGAAGAAGGGACGAAGTCACAACTCACCAGAAGGTCAGGGGGCCCTGGGTGGGCGTAGCTGGCTCTGCCGTCTGCTGCCTGCAGGGCTGGCGGGCGTCGCGTGGAGGCCGTGCCGATGGGGGCCCCAGGTGGCCGGGTGTTCCACGTGGGACACCCCTCGCCAGTGTTCGGTGTCTCCTGTTTGCATGTGCCGCTGCCTCTGGGGAGCCCAGGGTCGGAGTCATGGACAGGCCCTTCAAAACCCAGACCAGCAGTGCGAACTTGCAAGCAAGCAGGAACTGGGGTTTTGTCAGGGGGTCTCAGAGCAAGGCATTTGCATGGAGGGGGACAGCGCTCCTTCCTGCCGCTGCTTGGATTTTAAAATGATTTTCTCTGAAGACTGTGTTTTTGCTTTCATCAGCATTGATTTTAAGGAAACAGACTCCAAGAATATGGTTTTGGTGTGAGGGTGGGCAGCTGTTTTTAGGTAGAACTCTGCTTTTCTTTACATTGAAAAAAGAAACACTCAACAGACCAGCGGTGCTGCATGTGGATGTGCACCCGTGTGCTGCGGGCCAGGGAGTGTGCCCGACACCCGAGCCGACGCGCGCGGCCCGTCCGCGTCTGCGTTTGAATCGCGGAGGTTTCTGACAAGTTCCGGTTAGACACCGACGCCAAGCTGAGTTTGAGGAACGCTGGCCCAGCCGGGGTGGCTCGGTTGGTCGTAGCATTGTCCTGCACAGCAAAAGGTCGAGGGTTCGAGTAAAAAAACAGAAGAACACTGTATTCTGCTTTTTATTCTTTAACAGTGGAATCAAAGTGCTGGGTTGTTAGTGGCATCTCATGCCAGAGCAGGAGCCCAAAATGACATTCTGAAGAGAATGTTACTGTGTAGTAGTTCTTGCTTTGCACGTCAAGGGAAAAAGGCGCCCCGCGCCCACTTTACGCACATCGGCTCCCAGGTGGGACGGAGGAGCTGGGGGCCACCGTGTGGAGTCTCCGTGCCCACTGCGCCTTCCACAGTGGGAGCACTTTTTGAAGCATTGGTTTCAGACTTTCCACAAGTATTGACTTCGCAGAAGAGGGGCTACATCTCCAGCCCCGGTCTCTCACCTCTGTGGCGTCCCACCGTGTGACAGGCACAAACAAGTGACAGCTGTCATCTCTGCAGCGATCCTAGGAGGCGGCACTGCCATTTTCCCTGTGTGTCCAAGGGGAAGCAGGAGCCCAGGGAGGGCAGCCCCCTGCTCAGCCCGGTCCAGCCCACGGGCTCGGGGTGCAGAGCTGTCCCCTGCTCTGGGCTGGGACGAGAACCGGGCGGCTGCGCTCGCTGCAGTCCGTGTGTGTGGGGCCAGGGCGGGGGGGAACTAGGGAAGAGAAGTGGCCCTTCGACCACACGAGGCTGCCCCCCACCCCAGCACAGACCAGAGCAATGGACATGCTGGGTAGCCCTGACATCCGCGCACCTGTGAGGCCTCGCGGGGGGTAGGGGTGGGGGTCCTGGCCTGGGGCTGGGCCTGGGCCTGCTCCCGTCTCCTCTCTCATTTTCACCTTCTGGTAGAGAGGGTGGGTTCCATACAGGGAAGGGAAGCAGAGGCCATCCCCTCGCCTCATGTTGTGACTGTCACTGGACTGTTGGTTCCCTCTTCGTTTCCGCCTCTGGAAGCAGATGGTCTGGGCAGGGTCGGGAGGAATGGCAAAGGGTCCGGCTCCTCCACGCCCTCCAGCTCGCCGCCTTTTGCTTATTGGGATCTGAATGAGCTTCCTTTAGAAAAGGCTTTGTGACAAAAAATTTGAAAATCAGTGACTTGAAAGGGATTTAGAAAACAGTGCCTGCAAAGGAACAACTAAGCAAGTAACTTCTCCTAAGGATTGGGACCATTTGGCCTTGGCAGTTTTCTGCATCCTGCTTGGGAGAGGGAGACATGTAGGTGTGAACTCAAGCATCATAGGCCAGAGATCGTTAACAATGTTGCTTACCAAGAGAGGTTACAGATAATTCTTCCCTTGCTATGTATCTGATTTATATATAGACATATATATGTTTTGAAAAAGTCGAGAGAAGCACACATTTAAAACACCGTAGAAGAAGCCTCAGTCTGAAGAAGGCTGGTTAATTTCTTGCCTCTATTACTCTGTGTTGTCTCCAGTAATCCAGAGTACTGCTTACTTAAGTGTTAATTCCAAGTATTTACTTTGTTACTTTTCCATAGTGGAACCAAGCTATTGATCTGCTCTGTTCGGAAACATACAGAGCCAGTGTTTGGCAAAAAACCCTATTTAAAAAAAGAAAAAGAAAGAAAGAAAGACTTTTACTTGTAGCACTAACAGAAAAGTTTAGTGTTCCCTCTGAAACTTCAGAGTGGCAAAGACTAGGCCGGCGTGGGACAGGACCGGAGCCCCCGGCCCTGACGCCCGGCGCCGAGGCTCGCCGAGCGGCCCCCGCGTCCTCGCAGTGCGCCGCTGCGGTGGCGGCTCACTTGGTGGGCAAGGAAGCTGGGGCTCAGGAGTGAAGCAAGCCTCGTGCGGACTCAGTAGGGCCAAGATCCAAGCCCGTGTCTGACTAACTTGGAAGCCCGTTCCCTCCGCTGCCCGCTACTGGGAACGAATCTGACTTCTATTCACCTTCATCGCTGTTAAGGTTTTTTAAAAAGTACCCATGAGCTGGGTCAGGGAGGTGGGTCACATGGTGCTCTAAAATGCCTTTCCATTCCCTTTCCCAAATGGGACTCTACGTTTTCGGGGGTGAGGAGCGGCAGCCAGGATCGTTAGGATCAGGAGAGGCCGATGCGCTTGATTGATCGTCACCGCCCGCGGCAGAGGCCTTTGTGAAAGGCCACCTGAGACGCCTGGTCTTTTATGAGATTGAACCATATGCACGTGCTGTTGTCCTGCAGTTTCATGTGGTTCAGCTAACAGTTACCGTCACTCCACTGCATCGGGGACGTTGTCGTCGTCCTTGCTGTGGGCTCCTCACTCTCCCCGGGGCTCCTGCTGCGGCAGCTGCTTGCGTGCGTGTGTGTGAACACACAGGACACAGAGCGCGCTGCTGTAACTGGCTTACAGGGTGCCAATGGTGGCGTCCAGTGCGCGCCCAGCGCTGTGAATGGTGTCGGCAGAGCCCGCTGTGCACCTGCCGCTGCTCCAGGTTGGCGGGCCAGCAGCGAGCCAGGCGGGAAAGGACATGGCTACCCCTCGCGAAGTCTGTACTCCGGTGGCGTTCCTGAGCCTGCTGTGTCCGTAAAGACTTTGAACTTCAACATGTCCTTCATGTCACACAACCTACTATTTTTTGTGGCTTAAATGATAGAGAAAAAGGAAATTACCCACCACATTTATCTATAAAAGTTTTGTGGGTAAACTCTTTTGAGACTAGAATTGTTTGCCCACTATTTTCTTGATATATTTTTTAAAATGAACCCTCCCTTTTAGTTAAACTTCTATTATGAAAAATGCCAGCCCCTCCGCCCCCGAAGCAGGGCGAGCGGGGCAGCACCGCGTGGGCCCCGCGTCCGGCCTGGGCTCCGGCTGCTCCGGCTGCTCTCGCGCCTGCTGTGCTCCCACGCACCCTTCACCCTTCACCCTCCCGGGGCGACTTGGAAGCAAACCCCGGATTTCCTGTCACTTCATCTGTAAGCATATATATATTTTTAAAATACGGTCATTGGGTTGTTTTATATTTTTTTAAAGATTTTATTTATTTTTAGAGAGAGGAGAAGGGAGGGAGGAAGATAGGGAGAGGAACGTCAGTGTGCAAGAGAAACATTGATCGGTGGCCTCTTGTATGTGCCCTGATCGGGGACCAAACTCACAACCCAGGCATGTGCCCTGACTGGGAATCAAATCAGCGACCTTTTGCTTTGCAGGACGACGCCCAACCCACTGAGCCACACTGGTCAGGGCTGCTACTTAATATTTTTAACTCTCAAGTCCATGAGGAAGGGAAGTCACTCAGGTCATAAATGATTTGTAAACGAATAACCGGACATCCTGGGAGGCAGGGACAGCTGCTTTTGTGGACCCGGAGCCTGGGAACCTGAGCTGCGGCGTGAGAAGCAGGCCGCTCTGCGGGCTGGTGAGGGACTGAGCTTCCTGGTATTTGCTTTTTTCCAGGTGGAAGAAGAGAGATCTGCCCTCAATAATCAGTTGTTAGAAATGAAAAAGAGGTAGGTTTTCTTTGTCTGGTTATTGTTGGCATGTGTGTGAGCATGTGTGCTTAATAAGGAAAATGTTAGGACATGAGGTGTATGGTGACTAGTAGAAAACACGTGACCTCCTTATTCAGAAAAGTGCCTTGTGACATTTCTGTACCCATAACTGACAAATTAAGAAACTCCCCCTGCAAGAGTTTCGTATGAGTGACTGGAACGGGGAAGAGTTGACTGTGTAGGCCACGTTCAGCTGTGTGTGTCCAGAAGTGTTCTCATGTTGGACTGCCTCATGTTACGCTGCCGCTGCCGCTCAGTTGCAGTAACTAAAGATACTCGCATTTTACGTGGAGTGGTTGATCTGCATACATATACAGATTTCAGTCATAAAAATTTTAACTTCTCAATACTAAGGGATAACCCAGTTACAAATGTTTCTGTTTATTCTCTGAAAAAGAGCTTTATTTTTTCATGACAGTCAAATGATATTCAAATAGAAGCCTGCCAGGACTTTTGAGTGAGGATAGGCAGGCGCACAGAAAAAGCCATTCAGAAGCTTGATGCGTATACATCTTGATGGTCTGTCTGCTCTTTTCAAATGTGCAGTTTTTGTCCAGAGAAATTAAACGTAATGATAAAATCGTAAAAAAAAAAAAGAGCTCCACGCTCGTGCCCAGCGTGCTGTCCTCCCGTGGGGCAGAGGCGCCGCCCTCCCCGGCTGCCAGCGCACACGCTCTCCGCAACAGCGCCCACTCTGGCCAGTGGGCCGGTGGCTCAGGCGCCGAGGGCTTTATTGAGCCCACCACACTGTTTGGGCTCCTCCGCTCCAGCCTAAGGGACGGTAGGCCTCGGTCCAGGGGCGCCTCTCCTTCCTTAACTAAGAAATACTGAGCTTCGTCCCTCTGTAAAAGTCTGACACCAGAATGCGCGTGTCGGCTGCTGCCGCCCTGGTCCGGCCAGGTAGCCCGCAGGCAGCCAGGCTCCACCCACGTGGGCCTTGTTCCAGGTGATTCTTTTTACAGTGTTACAGCTTGTTTCTTTAAAAAAGTACCTCATATACGCAGCCACCCAGGCTCTGTGAAAAAATTCGTAGGGCTGCTCCTGTGGCTCTCTGGCCGGCGGATGTGTAAAATTGGGCTGATGGGAATGCTGGCGTGTCCCCTTGTGTTTATGTAGCGTTTCATAATTCCCAAGTTTATCTAATCTCAGAGCAGCCCAGTGATGTGCATGGTGGGGCAGGCATTTAAAGGTAACGACACGAAAGCCCAAAGAACGAGGTGCCTCGGCCAGGAGCTCAGAGGCGGGCGCAAGACCCAGGTCCTCAAGTTTTTACGCAGGTTCTTGTCTCGCTGTACGTTTATGATTGCTTTAAAAAAGAAAGAAGCCATGCTTCGTTAGTCCTCACCATGTGACTGTAACTAAATCAGAGGCCTTTCACAATGTGACTGGGCATGCGCCTTCCTTCGTGGCTTCTGAGGGAGGGACAGAATGGGGGCCGGTCCACTCCTGGCCTCACGTCACACCCCCCCTGCTCCGGTGTTAGGTGCTGGCTGTGTTTAGGAGACTGTCTCTGGAAAATTACTCTTTGTTATCAGTAAATGCAAGTAAAGATGACAGTTACTTCTGGGAGGGAGAAGTGTTTAAATCTAGTTTCTCACATTTACAACTCCTTTTTTTGTCGAATTGTTCATTAACCCTCATGGAAAGTTAGGTCTGTTTCAGAAATCTGAATGCAAGTATATATTTGAGCTAATAATTTGGGCCCTTAAATGCCTCCCAAAGTCCGTCTGGTAAAGGATCCGTATGTAGGTCTGTGTGTGTAATAGTTAAGTCAATTTAGCATAGAGTGCTGAAAAGAATTTGGTATGCTCTTAATTTAAAAGTCTAGAAAGCACTTAAATCATAAAGATACTCGAAATGTAGTTGTGTAAACAAGAACTGAGATTTTAGTTGACAGTTCAATTTAGAAGCAATAATTGAGTATACATAATCAAGAGAACATATAGTTAATTGCGTATTCAAATAGCCATTATATTGATGTGCAGAACTTACTCCTAAAATGAAACTACTTACTGTTAAGAAATTAATAACTTCCCCTGGTATTGCTATGGCTTTTTGGTATCTAAACATTGAATTGCAAGCAATAGGTGATAAAGGTTTTCCTCTTAAAAATATAATCATTTCTTTGGAAAACTGGCCTCCAGGTTAAACAGACCTCCTTCAGAGCAGCTTCCGAGATGTCAGATTAGGCAGAGCCCCCGGCGCAGCTGCCGCCGACTTGGCGGAGGGGCGTGTCCCCGTGCCCAACACCTGCGGCAGATTGGGAACTCGTTGGGCTTCCCCCTCCCCCAGGCTTTTTGATGTCAGAGAAGGGACTTCAGAGGCACACATCTTAGGTGTGGACTTTCTGGAGTCAGAATTAATTCGGTTAGTGCTAACGCAGGACCACGGCCCCCCCACCCCCCGAAGGCTGGGTGGCGGCTCCACCCCGAGCCTGCAGAGGCCCGCGCGCCCCGCTCCTAGGCTCGCAGCGGGTGGCTGACTGTCTGAGTGTCTCGAGCTTTCGCTGCTTACCGATGCTCATCTCACCCCTCTCTTTTCCCTTCCCACTCTTGCTTCCTTTGCTATATCTGTGTGTCTTTCATGGTAAGGCTAAAGAAAGTCTATCCACGTTATAATAAATAAATTTCATATATTTTTAGTAAACCAAGTTGTTTATACTTTTTGGCTGCCTTTGTCCCTCTGTGTCTTGCTTTTGTTTTGTAAAATATTCTCAGCAGTATATACATATATGTGCGCGCGCACACGCACACACACACACACATGTATTATCTTTTGATACCTATATACAACAAAGATCTTCAGTGCAAACTTAGTTCTCCTGACAGATTTGCATTTCTCTCGTGTTTCTGATATTCGGTTCTTGTTACCTTGCATTTTTAAAGCTTGCCCAGTGGCACTGTAAGGTATTTGCTTCATCGCTCGAGTTTCTTCCCATGTAAGTAGTAAGGAAAGAACCTTGGCAGTGCGTGCCCTTGGGGAAGGGTTGCTGGCCACGCGGCCTGCTTTCCAGTGACGTGTAGCTTCCCTTTTTGGTATTTTGAGTAACACCAGTCATTCTAGTCAGAGTGGCTGCAAAGCGCCACGGGCCCCCGTCTGTGTGGTTTATGACTCGGGTTTCAGTGCCTTTGGCATAAATGGTTTAACTTAGCCCCTCGTGGTTTGCACAGTGGGATTAGGGCTTAGAAACTGCCCCAGAAGCCCACAGTGATGAGTTGCCACCGTACTTGTCCAGGCATTTGCCGCAGGTCAGAGCCTTCTCCCAGCCACGCACCTTCTGATAACTTGTATGAGAAGCGCTCTGCCGGCCCTCGTCTCGGAAGCGGCCGTGCTGGGAGGTTTGTGTGTACGTGATGATCAGCAGGTGGGGAGGCCCAGACCCCGCCGCCCCCTGCCGGCCGGGCGTCCCTAACACAGGGCTGTGTGGCACGGTGGCTGACTAGAGCCCTGATGATGGAGGAACCCAAGTCTGTTCAGCGATCCCCAAATCCTGGTATTTTCCAGTAAAAACATTTAAAATAACTTTCAAATCTGAGTGGGGTTGATCACAGTTGAAGCTCCTGAAAAAGGATTTACAATAAACTACCAAATAAGTTCAGTAGAAGCTTAAGGAGCCCAAGCTTTATTGGATGTTTGGATAACGTCAGATGCTTACTTTCCAGGTGGAAGAAGTGTTTGTAAAATATTCTTCCGTCAAAATCTTTGTTTTGTCCCAACCTAAGCAAGACCCTGTCGCATAGCGAGGTGTCACTCCCTCAGGGACTCAGCATCAGCAGTGCCCGCCCCCTTCTCGGGCGCAAATGATGCTTGGGTGTTGAACTCAGGAAATTTCTGTAAGTCTTGGATTCTTTTCTTACTACTTATCGTCCTGGAGTGTGAGTGTAAGCCACACAACGAGATAAATACAACACTTATATTCTATCTTTGTGTAGAATTTCAATGCACCGTAAATCATGAGAATTCTGTAGTTCGTGTGCCGGATATCTTGGGTCTCACTAACCAGACATACTTTCTGTCATTTCTAACCTGGGCCTCAGTTTCCGATTCTTCCGGTCGGTCCTGGAACAGAGCAAAGCGCGAGGTGTTCCGCACTCACCCACGTCTCGCTGAGCCGGGAGCAATTGGCTCCTCGTCTAAGTTACGAATTCTCACCAATGACCAATGACCGGCTGCCTTAATGAAGGGTCCAGGTTCTATGGCCTGAGGGCTAGTGAAGAAAATTCCCTCCAGTTTTGTTTTTCCCAAAATATTTTTGTTATACAAGGTCTTTTTCCTATTATTTCACACTGCATGTAATTAAAAAAGAAAAAACCCACTTTATTTTAAAATTAGAGATTCATAAAAGTAGTTCAGAGTGGTCCCACATGCCCCTCCTTCAGAGCCCCCCCGAATGTGAACATCTTATGTTCCCTGGTACCTTTGTCAGAACTTGGAAAGGGACGTCGGTACGTAGTCCTACAAGGCGAGACACTGCACGTCACTCCAATTCCTGGTTTTCCCACGGACGTCCTATTCCTCGCCCGGGATCCAGCCTAGGGAGCCACAGTGCCTTGTTGTCATACTCCGTAGTCTCTCCCGCTCTGTGGCAGTTCTCAGTCTTTCCTCCTCACTGGTGACCGTGGCCGTGGCACTTTGGCATGCGTGTAATTTTTACACTGAAAATTTAAATGCACACACACCCACACTCAGTAGCCAGCCCTTCCGGGTCGTGCCTGTGGTGCCTTGCCACCTGCCTGCCTTCCCTTCCTCTTTCCTGTTCCTTCCCACTCCCTGGCCTCCAAGAGAAGTGCTTCCCTCTCGGCGAGGGCCCAGTCCCTCCCTCTGCTGATAGAAAGCTCTGCCGCCGAGAGTGGACCCAGAGCACGGACCCGCCCCTGCAAACGCCCCGCGCTTCCATCCTGTGCCTGGAATCCACTTTAACATTTCCATTCGGGCTTTTCATCTATATGAGCAATTTAACGTTCTCTTCAGGTTCCATGGACAAAAAGTAAGAGTCCTTCCGTCCGAATAGTATGAATATTTGGTACTGTTTTGGCCCAAAAGATCTCAAAAACACATTCTTGGAACTTGCTAAAAGTTACTGAACTTAGTGAGAACCAATCGATACTTCCAGCATAAAACTGCTCTGCATGACATCCGTATAATCGCTTTGCATGTGTGTATTTTAATTGTTGTTACTGCTTGGTAAGAACTTATTCAAGAAGTAACAGAATTCAGCTGGGTAGATATTTAAAAGAATTCTTTGGGGGTGCAACAGTCTTGTTTTTTGTTTTTTGTTTTTTAATTGTACGTCTTCCAGTTATTAACTTGTTCCTTTAAATTCAAATGGATACAATGATATGCAGATTCTGGCATGTCTATGCATAGTAAACTTTTTCTGCCTTCACAGTAAGTAAAATTTCAAGTCACATGTAGAAGCATAATATAGCCTTGGCCCCTGTCAAGCTTCCCTGTGATACGCTTTTATTCTTCACACGAACCGAAGTGAATCGCGTGTCTGTTCTGAGACAGGTGTACACCGGCTGCGCGCTCGGTTAACTTCTGGAATGTTTAACTCTTTGGTCTTTTAGAGAATCCAAGTTAATAAAAGACACAGATGAAGAAAAAGCTTCCTTGCAGAAATCCATCAGTATCACTAGTGCCTTACTCACAGAAAAGGACGCCGAGCTGGAAAAGCTGAGGAACGAGGTAAAGCGCCTCCGTAGGCGGACCGCGCGCCCCTGTCGCGGGCCACCCCGGGCCGCTCAGCCACACCGCTGTGTTTCAGGTGACGGTGCTCCGGGGGGAGAACGCCTCTGCCAAGTCCCTGCACTCCGTGGTCCAGTCTCTGGAGTCCGATAAGGTGAAGCTTGAGCTCAAGGTAAAGAACTTGGAACTTCAACTCAAAGAAAACAAGAGGCAGCTCAACAGCTCTTCAGGTAAAACGTGCACCGCAGGGCGCTCCTTCCCGACCCCCGAAACCCACCCTCCACCACCCCGCCCCCCACCCCCCTCAGGGGGCATTTCTGGTCCAGACGAAAGGTAGCTGACGCACTGTCCCTCGTGGCCCTTCCCTCCTGAATCAGATGAGGGCTGGGCACGACCCAGGTCCACGCACAGGAGCGCGTTGGTACCCCCTTGCTGGGCCTCCCCGTGGGCTTGAGTGTTGGCAGAAACGAAAAATGGCAGATGCTGGCTGCCTGCACCCGGCACGACTGGGCTCCAAAGGTGCGCCAGGGGAGGAGGGCGGGCGGTCCCTGCTGTTCTCCACGCCGTTGGCCAGGACAGCCAGGACAGCTGGCCGGCGCCCGCAGCAGAGAGCCTGCCAGCGGGGGCGCCGGCAGGGCCCTCGGGGCCCGGGTTGGGGACAGACAGGGACTCAAAGAGGCGCCGCTGGGAATGCCACAGAAAATGAGTGTCTAACACTGGCCCTTTCATTGCAATAACAAGGAAAAGCAGCTCGCAGGCTTTTAAAAGTCCCCTCCTCTTCTTTCTTTTCCTTTTCTAACATAAGGCAACGCTGACACTCAGGCAGAAGAGGACGAAAGGGCGCAGGAGAGCCAGGTGAGATGCCCTCCTCCTGCTCTGCTCCCTTGTGTATTCATAGAAACCATTCAGTCTTTTGAACAGGTAATGCATTCGTGTGGTCTGACTATTACGCAGTGTCAGAGATAGCAACGGTACACAGTCTCCCTCCAGACCTTTCTCTTCCTGTCAGTCCCTGGCCCTCCCAGCAGGTCATCACTGTTAGTAGTGTCTTTTTAAAAAACCTTTTCAGGAATTTTTTAAAATGGCACGTGTCAGCCAAGACTAACGCAGTCTGTGCCCTCTCGTTTCCTTACGGAAGTGGTGGCCTGTTGCAAACAGGGACGCGCATGGATCTTTTGTGTAGCTGTAGAGCGTTCCATTCTGTGGACACACCCGAAATGTAATTGGTTTTCTCCCCATTGACGTGACATTCGGGATGTTTCCGAGCCCCTCGGGGGATGGTAAACAGTGCTGAGGTGACTTAACCTGGGCAGCTGTCATCTTGCATATATACTAGTATTTCTTTGGGATAAATTTCTACAAGTAGACTTGCTCTGTCACCTCTACCTTAAAAATACAGGATTCTGGAAAACTTGCCTAAAGCCAAAATTAACAAAACAGCTTTAGTTTTAAAAATGGGATCATATGGAGACAAAGTATTCTCTGTTTGGAAATAAAACAGCACATAGGCAACAGGCATCTATCTTCAGTTTTAATAATGTATTTTGGATATGTTTATCCTGGTCAAAACTCACAGGCACAAAAGCCACCTTTCATTTGTAAATAAAAGCTCAGGGAGTTTGCTGTCTGTCTGACGTCCTCTTTGCAAGGCATGAGAGGATTTGGCAGACTACCAACTTACCCTGGTTCGGCCTGTCTGCTCAGTGTGTATGTCTAATAAACGTCAGTTAATTAACAGTGTTTTCTCTTTCTCCCCCTTTCCTTTCTGCTTCCGTTTGCTTCATCTGCCGCTGCCAACACTTTTCTTCCAATCAGCAAATGGTTTGTTTTACATTTCCTAATTTGCGAGCACGTGGTGTGTGTGTGCGTGTGTGCGTGTGTGTGCGCGCGCACATGTTTTCCCACTCTGCTTATATCCTTTTGTGCCTTTTTCTCCTTCCGGAAATGGAGCTCCCAACACGATAAGCAAACGCTGTCTCAGAAGTGAGGCTGTGCAGCCGGTGGGTCTGCCCCCAGTGGGGGAGGGACGCTCTGCTCCACGGAGAGCCACACAGCCGCTGACCGCGCCCTGTGTTTCAGAATGCGCCCCCGCAGGAGGCGGCGGCCTGCAGTTCTTTAAAAATTGACCTGCCTCTGTATGTGTAGTTCAGGTTTTAAACTGAACTGCTCATACACAGTTTACTTATTTTTAGAGAGAAGGGAAGGGAGGAAGGAGCCTGGTGGGGAGGTCGCCTCTCCTGCACCCCTGCTGGGGACCTGGCCCGCAGCCCGGGCCTGCGCTTTAGTCTTGTAAAGTGGGATAATTTCATGGGCTATTTAGAGAAATGAGACTTTTTATTATCGGTGGAAGAGGAAAGAAACTTTTTGTTTTTATATGCAGTTGCCTTTGGTGTGAAAGCAAATGTCAGGACAAGAGCCGTTCCTCTCGCTGGTTGTCCAATCATCCCTCTGCCAGGGACTCTGGACATGGCTCCTCCCGCCGTGGCGCCGGGCGTGGGCAGAGCGTCTCCTCGGCTCAAAGGGAGCTCCAGCCTTCTCTCTCAAGGCCTCCCTTTGTCTCCGAAGGCTCACTTACCGTCCCACCCTGACCAGCCAGTGACTGGTGTGAGGAGAATTTCCCTGCCCTGTGTCCCCTCGGCGCACCGCACGTGGCGGGTGGCCGTGCAGGGCAGTGAACAACTCCCTGGTTTTGCTTTTTGTAAAATTCTCTGTGTGTATCAAACTCAGGCTCAGTAACGGCCACTGCGGGCCCCCCCGCCCCCGGGCCGCCCAGCACACTGTGCTGCCAGAGTGGGCAGTCTGCGTCCGTGCCTCTAGCTAGTCCACTGTACACACGTTAGACATCTCACACGCCTGTTTCTTTTTTCTCCGGAACAAATTAGATTGATTTCCTGAATTCAGTAATCGTGGACCTTCAGAGGAAGAACCAAGACCTCAAGATGAAGGTGGAGATGATGTCAGAAGCAGCCCTTAATGGGAACGGTGATGACCTAAACAATTATGACAGGTATTTCACATAAAGCGGTGTTGATCGGAACCTTCGTTCCACCCAGATAAACTGTGTGTTTAAAGTCAGGTTCTCCGGTGGGTGGGAGAAACCACTGCTCGGTGGTTCACTGGCCATAAATCCATTTCCATAAATCTGGCAAGAGAGTGGTATGCACTACGGAGGGGCTTGACCTGAACATTTCAGTGCAGCTGGTAGCAGTAACGCTTGAGGCTGCCAGACTTGGCCATAACTCTCGCTTACGTTTTAGTCTTTACGAGTGATGCTGTCTCTAGAATGTCTGTAGTGATGGGTTTCTGACTGCACACGTTCACGTCTGCAGTGACGACCCGGAGAAGCAGTCCAAGAAGCCCCCTCGCCTCTTCTGTGACATATGCGACTGCTTTGATCTCCACGACACCGAGGACTGTCCCACCCAGGCCCAGATGTCTGAGGACCCCCCTCACTCCACACACCACGGCAGCCGCGGCGAGGAGCGCCCGTACTGCGACATCTGCGAGGTGTTTGGGCACTGGGCAGCCAACTGCCACGACGACGAGACCTTCTGACGAAGCCGCGAGGCTTCCGCAGGCGTGCGGCAGCCGCACACCAGCGTGGCGAGCAGACTTCAGGAGGACGCGCGTGATCTTTGACCCCCATCAACAAACCCAAGAAAATATTTTGATCTTCAACAAATCGCTCTTTTAGTTTCCCCTTATAAGTTAGGATAATAAATACTAAATACTTAGTAGGGGAGTTGTCACCTCTAACTTGCCCTCCTGACCTATGAGTGTGAACAAAGTGTTGCGGGGGATGGGGGGGCGTTCGCGCGCCGCCCCCAGGGAGCCTCGCAGGCCGTCCTGCCTTCCCGCACCTTGTTTAAGGGGGTTATGCCGTTACTTCTCACCTTTGCACTAAGATCTTTCCAGGCTGCATTGGTATATTTAGATCTTTTGGTTAAGCTTTGACACTGGAATGAGTTGAAAAAATGTGCCATTTTGCATTTTCATCTACTCATTTATAGTATTTTATTCTTAACTGAAAAAATACCTGAGCTCTTTGCACGACCTGCTGTCAGTGGTGCCTTTGTTTCAGGCGCGGTGACACTTGGTGTGGTCATGAAATCACGGAGCGGGAGGGGGAGGCCCCCCGCACCGCTGCGGGCCGTTTTATAATCCATATGCTGCACCCACTTACTCTACTGGGGCGTTTTATTGGTTTTTGCATAATTTCAGCTTCTATATATTATATGTATATATTTTTAAAAAATCTCTATTTTGGGAAAAAGCATACACAATGTGTCTTTCTTTTCAGATTTTTACTGTTATGAAAAAGAAAACACTTAGAATGTTCATCAGGACACAATGAGCTAGGCCAGAAAGAGCATCACACAGCTTTGGAAGTATCTTTTCTTTTGTTTTCATTTTGTTTCTTTGTCAAAGTACAATTTTTTTCCCCTCTCCAGCAGATATCCCCAGCAGTCAATTAATTAGACAATAAGCCACTATACAACACCTACATAACCAATCTAGTCTTTACAAGTTGTTTTTACTGTGTTTTTAGATGAATGTATGATGAGAAATTCAACATTTTAATAATCTTGGATTTTCTTGTCACAAAAAATTAAATGAAGGACCTCAGCCTCCAGAAGTTTTATCAGCCAATTTGGATCTATTTATCTTGATTTGAATGTCTTCTAGAAGATGTAAAAAGTAATAAATGTATCTTCCATGCTACATGTATAATAAGAACTTCTATAATTGTATATATGCCTTTGATGTATTTTCCCCTCAAGATTATTGACTGTGTGTTTGACAAGTGAAAAATCTGTAATCAGTTGAAATTTTTTGGTTATAAACATAATAGGAATTGTTTCCCAAACAATATGTAAATCAGTATTAAAATTTTAATGAGCAAACAGATGTTCTGTACCTACTTTAATAAATGGTTATTCTCTTTTGCCCAGTGGTAGTAACTGGTATTATTCTCAGGTGTGTTTGTCATAATGGTTTTTCTTCCAATGAGCCAGTGCTATAAATCCAAATAGTAATTTCTACTCCAGTCTTCCTGATAAACAACTTTAAGAAATTGGTTTATTCTTATCTCAAAGTATTCTGTGAATCATTTAGCATAAAATAAATACCTATGGTGGTTCATCGTTGCTGTCTCACTGTATTACCAGACAGAAATGAGTGGCACCATGTAGTACCAACTGTTAATCCATGAAGTTTGAAAAAGCAACTCTGAAAGTTGCTGTAATATTTACCTAAATGATTACTGAACCAAACATTGTTTTATGGGCACAGGTAGATATTTCCAAAGCAGAGTTACTAGGTGAGCAAGAACATGACTTCCACCTATATGACATCCTGACAGTAGTCCTTGCCTTTAGCATTGATATCGGGGGATTAAAAGACTCAAATTACTAATTAAACTTACTGTGATTATTTCACATCACATATATAAATCATGCACCTAAACAATTGTTACATGTCAATGATAGCTCAGGAAAAAAATACAAAGACTCAACAAGTATGCAATATTTATGGGGCAAATACATCAGGACAGCAAACTCCACTCATGGTACACAAGCAAAACCTCTCTGCTGACCGTCTAGCACCCTGGTGCCTGTCTGAGGGGAATAGTTTGTGATCCTGGTCTCGCTCGCTCACACTGGCCGCTGTGATTTCAAGAGTCTGGGGCACGTTTCCTCTCCGAGGAAGCAGCGTCCTCGTTCAACCCTCAGGACCCGGCCTGCTTCGCTCAGCATTTGTTCTTACAGGCGGTGCTAAAATAATACACATTCGCGGTAGAGCAAAAACTCCGCACAGGTAAGAAGAATTTGGCATACAGGTTGAGAAGCGGCATGGAACAGTCTGCATGAGTGGAAACAAGTTATTTTAAAACCTAAATGCCTTGGATGGCATCATGCAGTTGACAGTGGAAGTACGTGTACACGTACGGTGGTTTTTTTAACTACCCCCCAAGTCCACTCTTGGTTTCCTGAGACTCCACGGGAATTGCTCAGCGAGTCTTCATAACAGAGCACAAAAGACAGAGGGGACCTGGCACTCCCAAGACCAAACGTTTTCACTCCTCTCACCAGATCCTAAATAGCCGATTTCTACCCCCAAGTATTGAAATGCACAGATCATCCTAAAACAATCAGTATTCACTGAGCAATTAAGTCCCAGACACCCTGATAAGCTCTAGGTGTGAATTACAGGTCCTGCGATACCCACAACTCACAAGGTAACACGCGAATTTTACTGATGAAGCAAATGGGGGACCCGGAGTCCACATCGGATAGTATTTGCGTGAAATACAGTAGAAGTCTACTAGGAAGAGCTAAACAAGTCACTGAAGGTTCCTTCAGACTGGCCATTTTTGTAAATTTTAGCCCACAAACCACAAGAGCAAAGCGAAGGACCTTCTGATTGCTATAATTTAAAAGGTTTCCATTCACGCTTAGCTTCAAATTACCATTTTACAGCGAGTACGCCTGCTGTTAAGACAGTGACGGTTTTTAAAATCTAAACGGGGCGAGCAGGATCCTTCCCCGCCTTTAAATTAAACTCAATTCTTAGCGCCCAACGACTCCAGGACAGAAGTAACTTCAGTGGAAGAAGAGGCGGCGCTAGGGCCCGGGAGAGTAGCGGACGCGGGTCCCTTCGGGTTTCCGCGTTTCCGCGCCGGCGGCGGCCGTGGCCACGTGAACGCACCGTCACATGACTGCGTCTGTTAGCCTCGGCTAGAAGCAGAAGGGACGCGTTTGGATTGGGGGGGAAAGGGTGGGCAGTGGGGCAAGATGGCGGCGCACCTGTCCTATGGCCGAGTTAACCTGAACGTGCTGCGCGAGGCGGTGCGTCGGGAGCTGCGCGAATTCCTGGATAAGTGCGCGGGGAGCAAGGTGAGGCCGGAGGTGGCGACAGCGCCCTCGAGCCCCGTCCGGCCTGACCTCACCCGGTGCGACCCTCGGAGCACCAGGTGTCTGAGGTTCCCGGAGCAGGCGGGGCGGGGAGTGGGGCCCGCTGGTGGGCCCTGGGGCAGACAGCCCGCAGTCCGCGTGGCATCGCATAGTATTGTGGCAGCCGAGTCACCACCGTGCTATCTCAGCTCCTGTGGACCATTTTATGTCCGATGCTCTTCAGGTCCAGAGGGGCAGGGCCGCCGCCCCCTGGGACAGCGGGCCCGGATGGGGGGATGATGTCATTCATTGCGGCACTCCTACGGGTCGTTACAAATCGTACCGTGGGAAGTCCCCGAAGCACCAACACCTGACAGCCTGCTGCTCACACGGATTGTGAGAGATGTTGTAGTTACTTGAGGTTTTAACGTGACCTTCCTAAAGTAAGATTGTTTCTCCTGTTAGACCTTTATTACCCCCAGCTCACCAAGGAATCAGAAACGGCGGATCGGGGACTTAGAGAATTTCTTTTGAGTGACAGTACCTCTCCCCTTAGGATATCTTAGTCCCCCTAAATCACTGGCAGTACAGCTCTGAACAGAAAAGGAGAACTGAGGAAGCTCAGGAATCGGCCTTAGAACGACTGGAAACCCAAGAGGTAGAGTGGGCGCTAGCAGCCGTTGAGATAAGAGGAAAGCAGGCTCATCCCAGTTCAAGCTCAAGAAATGATGCGGAAGTACAAATAAGATCATGGGCTGGATCGGTGTCAACACCCCGGCTGCAATACTGTCGCACAGTTTTGCCAAGCATTACCATGGAGCCGAGTCTCCCAGTGCTTGCTCTCAGTTATTCCTCGTAACGAAATGCCACCTGCAGTTACCGCAGTACAAACTTCCGTTAAAAGAAAAAGAAATGATCCTGGGATTTAGCAGGACACAGGCTCACAGGGGCTCAGAGCAATGACCTGTGGGCTTGTTAAGTCTTAGGTTGGAGTCCTGGCTCCCTTATGCTATACGTGGACATGTTACTTAAATTTTACGAGCCTTTTAAAATTTTTTTTCTGTTAAAGTGAGATTTGTAATATCTACATTAGAGGATTTAATTCTATGTGATTAGATTATATGATACTTATATAGGTCATTGCCAATGGCAGTTTCCAAATGGTTCAATCTAATCATAGATACACAACAAACTGTAGTTGCTTCTCTCTGTTGAGGTTAGTGATTAAGCGTGAACTTTCCCTTGACCAACAGTAGCATCACTTGTCCTTGCAGTTTTTCTTTAGACCCGCAGGATATGAATGTGGTTGGCGCCTATTTTAAAATTTTTGTTAATTCGGAGCTTAAAGCAGATAGTCCTGCTGTGTGTGGCTACTGTTTTCTGTTGCCATTGTTGAAATTCCTGATATTAACTGTAATAAGAAAACGTTTCTCCCCACTTATAGGCAATAGTTTGGGATGAGAACCTCACGGGACCATTTGGCCTGATTGCACAGTATTCACTACTGAAGGTAAATGAGCTATTTGGATTTTATCCGGGGATTAGTAATTCTGCACTTTAGCAATAATGATAGGACTTTTACATTTCCTTCTGTTTGGTCTTTATAAACGCTGGCAGGAATCTGTGACTAACATTTTGCACACAGCGGTCCTTTGGCCTGGGATGCTATCCCGACTCTAATCTTAGGGAGATTACTAGCCTTGCATTATGTGACCGCGACCTGGTGGCTTTGATAGTTCATCATGTGAGAGTCATTTGAATTCTGATGCAATAGCAGTGGCTTCATCTTGACACTTGGTGCTTTATACAGCTCACTTTGGGGACTCTAAGTTTGGATAATTCAGTATTAAGTGCATTTGACTGGGAGCGTATGACGTCTGAGCCTGGATAAGACAGGCAAAGACGGGCTTCCTGTTGACCTTCCGTGTACGTGTTTTCCTAGGAGCATGAAGTGGAGAAAATGTTCACCCTGAAGGGAAGCCGTTTGCCAGCAGCTGATGTCAAGAACATTATTTTTTTTGTCAGACCCAGGCTAGAATTGATGGATATAATCGCTGAAAATGTACTCAGGTATTTCTCAGAGCTCAAGTTTGGTCCGGAAGAGGTCCTTCAGGTGGTCGTAACGTACCAAGCTCCTCATTGCAACTCCTTTCTCTTGCCAGAGCATTGGAGGGTGGTCTTTTGGAAAAGTGGGAGAGGCGGGAAAGGATCGGGGGGGATGAGAAACGTGAAATGGTTCACACAGTTGGAAAGGGTTCATCATATAACCCTGTTCTTTTAGGGCAGTGGGATATTTGCACCTTTATCAGTACAAGGGACCCTAATTAAAAAGGAAAAAAAGCAAAAACCTCCGATGATTGTTTTTCAATATACTGAATATAGCGTGCTTGACTCTCAAGCAGAATAAGTCAGAGCTGATTAAAATTTCATGCAGTGTCCCTCGACGGAGGATGTTGCCCCAGCCCTGTCTGCACTCTGTGGTATACTTGATTGATGTGGCCCCAAACACCTTAAAAGCAAGTGGGCTATTTTGGGAAGTTCACTGTTCGGGAGAGTAGAGGTGGGAGTCAAGAGCGATCTTTCATTTTAATTTAAGACCTCATATTGCTGCATTGGTTTGGTTTAAAGGGCCATTTGTTTTCAGGAAGACACAGATATCCTGTTCCGATGAGCCTGAGAGCTTTAATGCCCCATAAATAGTTTAAGAGGAAGCTGGAAAATGCATTACGAAGTCGTCTGTGGATCGATGCTGCTTTCCCGTCAAGGAGAAAAAAAAGAGCAGCTACAACAACTGGGGTCTAAAAGTCAACATTTGGTATATGTATCCAGTCAGCATTTATTTAGTGCCTGCTGTGTACATGGCATAGGACCAGGCTCTGGAAGTAACAGAAGCAACAACAGAGCCTGTGACCCTAAAGAGCTCCCGAGCAAGCAACGAGCTAACCAATGGCACTTCTTTCGCAGCGAAGACAGACGCGGCCCGGCAAGGGACTTCCACATCCTGTTCGTGCCCCGGCGAAGCTTGCTGTGCGAGCAGCGGCTGAAGGATCTGGGCGTTCTGGGCTCCTTCATCCACAGGGAGGAGTACAGCCTGGACCTCATTCCCTTCGACGGGGATCTCCTGTCCATGGAGTCAGAGGGCGCCTTCAAAGTGAGTTTGGTATTTTCTTTCTTAACTTGAGGCTTGAACTTTTGCTAAATTTATGAAGCTGACAATGTCAAGACTATTGTTTTAGTTTGCATTTCCTCGGTTACTGGGAAGCAGAGCTTTTCCAGAGGTATACTGACGTTTAAGGTTTTTTTTTTTAGATTCTATCTTATTATTTTCTATGTTTAGAGAGAGGGAAAGGGAAGGAGCAAAAGAAGGAGGGAAACATCAATGTGCAAGAGAAACATCAATCGCTTGCCTCTCGCGCACCCCCAAATGGGGACCTGGCTCGCAACCCAGGCACGTGTCCCGACGGGGAATCCAACCGGCGACTTTTCAGTTCCCAGGCCGGCACTCAATCCACTGAGCCACACCAGCCAGGCCTAAGATTTTTCATTTTAGCAAATTGCAAAGTGCTTATTCATTTTCTTTGCCCATTTTTTCTTTTTGATACTTATCATTGGTTATAAAGCTCTGCGCATATCTCCTCCCAGTGTGCGGCTTGTTTTCTACCTTTAATTGTAATACCTCTTATCATATAAACATTGCCAATGGTAAGGTAGTTAAATCCTTTAATAATAGTTTTATTAAGATAGGATTCACATTGCAAAAATTCACCCTTGTTAGGTATGCAATTCAGCGGTTCTTAGTATCCTCACAGAATTGTGCAACTATCAGCACTGTCTAATTTTAGGACATTTTTGTCACCCTTGAAGAAACCCACTGCCGTTAGCAGCCACTCCCTACCCCCAGCTCCAGCCAGCAGCAACACTCGTCTGTTGCGGTCTGTATGGATCTGCCAATTCTAGAGATCTCTTATCAGAGGACCTTATAATATGTGTTTTTTTGTGTCTGGCTTCCTTGTTAGCCTCATGTTTTCCAGCTTCACTATGTTATAGCGTGTATCAGTACTTCATTGATTTTTATTGACAAATAGTATTCTACTATAATGATACCCAGCATTTTGTCTGTCACTTACCTGTGATGGACAACTGACAACTTTTTGTCTGTGATGATGCTGTGAACAGTCACACAAGGTTTGTGCCATGTTTTCATTTCCCTTAGAGATTCCCACGAGCGCAGTTGCTCGGTGAGGTGGTTTAACTCCGGGTTCAACATTGGGAGGAGCTGCCAGACTGTTCTCCAGCCACTGAGAGCTCTAACGCCCCATCAATAGCTCATGCAGCTGCAGCTCATACCCTCCTCCTTTTTAAAAAAAAGATTTTTTACATTTATTTTTAGAGGGTGGGTAAGGGAGGGAGAAAGCGGGAGAGAAACATCGATGTGCGGGAGAAACATCAATCGGTTGCCTCTCACGCGCCCCGATGGGGGACCCGGTCCGCGGCCCAGGCACATGCCCTGACCGGGAACCAAACCCGTGACCGCCCCGTCTGTGGGGTGACGCCCAACCACAGCGGTCAGGGCTGGAGACGAGAACTTTTGAGAACCGCTGGCGTCCTACCAAAAAAATCCCATGAAACCTTTTGTCCGCTAGCGTGTGGTTACAGTGATCACGACCTTTGGAGTTCACTTGGACGGAACTCAGTGGCTCGAGAGGTTCATTTGGTAACAAGGAGCGTTTCTGAGCGCTTCTGTGTTCCCTGTGGACTTGATTACACGGACGCTCATTCAGCGACAGTGCAGATTTTCCCTCAATGTGTTTTGTAAGACATTTCAAACATACAAAAAGTTGGAAGGATTGTACAGGGAGCACCACATACCCGTCCCCCAGGTTCTGACATTAACAGTTGGCTGTGTTCACCTCATCGTGTGTCTGTAGCGTTGTCCTCGCATGTAATTAGCGCACCTCTGTGTAATTAACGTGCAGTGGTAGCAGCTGAGGAAAGCTTGCCCCGGCCCGACGAACCTGCCCAGGACAGAGCTCCTGTCAGTTGAGGCGGGACTGGCAAAGGAGGACAGAGGAACTCCCTGCTGCGGGCTTCAAGCCCTGGGCTTTGAGCCTTCACTTAGGGATTTTGCCTGGATGGTAAAGCCAAGAGTTCGACCAAGTATTCGATTCACACCCGATTTCTCATGGAGCTGCGTTCTACCCAGTTCCGTGGCTTTTAACCAGTGAGCGTGATTCAGCGCCCCTGGGCAGCCGGGGGTGCTCTGGGTCCCTCTGTGCTTTCGGGACGCGGCTCGGGTCGTCCCCACCCGTGTGCTGCACAGCGCTGGGCGGTCAGAGGGCCGCCCCGCTTGGCGTTCCGCGGCAGCGCTCAACGAGGTGCGCGCTCGATTCTTATATATAAAAATCAGCACACACAAAGTCTATTGCCTTTGTAAAAACAAGTTTAAAAAGAAATTTGGCAAGGTCAAAAAATACGTGTATTTAAGTATTAGTTGGTATTAGCTTTTGGCCCTCCCAAAATATTCTCATGGCTTGAAATACCACATGCAGTTTTGCATGTGCCAAATTGATATGCAAGTGTACACTTTGTATATTTTATAAAGTAAAATATAGTTTCTAAAAATAAGGTCATACTTTAAAGATTGTTCAGCCGTCCCTTTTCCTTTCTCACGATGTTAGGGCTGTCGGTCCACGTGAAAACCTGCCTCAGGTCTGTGAAAGCTGCAGAGCTTCCCTTTGTGTGGCCGCTTGGGCCTGTGGGGGTCAGAGGACACACACATTTGTGCGTATTAGTGTGTGGCCCTCCCAAGGGGCCCTCCCAAAGTTTGCACTCACCGCAGCGAATGAGAGAACCCGCATTAAGTCTTTATTCATCAGTAACGTAGGCAGGAGCCAATAAACTAAGAGCCGGCATGCCTGGTGAACACTTTTCTTCTAGAAGGTTCTGCCCCAGGAGAATTGCTGCCACGGAGATACCCTGATCGCTAGGCCGTTGGACTCATGGTGTAAAGTGTCAAACAGCACCTTTCAAAAGGGACTTGGGTCCCGTCTCCTGCTTCCCCAGCAAAGTAGAAACGGCCTTAGCCGCTGCCAAATCCCGGCGCCAGACGGACGCGGGCGCCCCAATGGCCGGGGCCTGACAGTAGCCGGCCCTTCCCCCTGCAGGAGTGCTACCTGGAGAGCGACCAGACCAGCCTCTACCACGCAGCCAAGGGGCTGATGACCCTGCAGGCCCTGTACGGGACGATCCCCCAGATCTTCGGGAAAGGAGAGTGCGCGCGGGTGAGAAACGCGGCATCTGGGGCCGGGGTCGGGGGGGCAGGGGGCCGGCACGCAAAAAATGGGGAGGGGTGGGAGGCCATTTGCAAACAAGCCACACCAGCCCTTATTTGGGAGCTCGCCTGCTTGCTAACACGTATTCATAGTGCCAGCCTCGATATGCAGTGCTCGGTGGCCGTGCCCGGGTGGCAAGGAATGGGTGGCAAGGAATGGGCGTGCGCGTTGGCAGCTGACGTGGGGCAAAATGACGCCCTCCTTGTGCCAGCTCCCGCTGTACGGGTATCCTTTCTGCCCCTAAATGGGGCCGGGCTCTACTTGACGACACACTCTCTGGCATTTTTGTGTTTGTTGGTGGCGGTTTGCTGTTGTAAGAGCCCTCAGGCTCAGTGCTGCGGTGCTGTCTAGGGTCCCTGAGTGCGGGGTTAGCTCCATTCAGCCTGAGGGCCGGCGCCCTTGGCTGTGGGTTCAGTGTTAGTGAGTCAACAGTATCTACTCAACAGAGTCTTTAAACAGAAATGTGTTAAACAAGGTTCTGACCAGTCGACAAAAGTGTTGTGACTGGAGCTCGCAGGGAGCTTGGGGGAACCTCGCCCGTGTCCCCCTGACCCCACCCCGGAGCAGAGGCTCGGCATTTGCTAACTCGGGGTCATGGCGGCCCCCTAGAACAGAAAGACCAGGAATGACAACAACAGGCTGGGATAGAAGCCCTGGGATCGCAGTCTCGGTGCGGGAACCGGCAGCCGACAGCGCGTGCTTTTCTGTGGCTGCTTATTTCTTACCAGCCTCTCTAGGCCATGGTTTTTCTCCTTTTTTACTGTTCTGATTGCCTTTTCGTTTTTAGCTGAATTTTAAAATCTGCTAATTCCCAGGAGGGTCCTACTTGATCCCATGTTTTGTTTCCAGCAAGTGGCCAATATGATGATCAGGATGAAGAGAGAGTTTACGGGAAGCCAAAATTCAATATTTCCTGTTTTTGATAATCTCCTGCTGCTCGATCGAAACGTGGACTTACTAACGCCTCTTGCCACTCAGCTTACGTACGAAGGACTCATTGATGAAATCTATGGCATTCAGAACAGTGAGTAAAGTACCGTCTATTTTTACTAATAGGTCGCCTGATAAAAGCATCCAGAAGATCCTTTTTTTTAAGGTACTTTCTTTGCATCATAAATCAGAGAATAATTGAAAATGTAAAAAGACTGCTTTTGAGTTTTAGACACTGGAGGTAAACAGCGTCCAAGCGGCGGCCGGTCACACAAGGGCTGGCAGGGGGTGTGGCGGGACGGCTCTGCTTGTGCCCTGTGGGCAGAGGCCCAGGGCCAGCTCAAGGGGCACTGCAGTTTGAAGAGGGCAGGTCCTCGTGGCCGGCAGTCGGGCGGGGAAGCTGTGGCCTTGGGGCGGGCTTGGAAAGGGGGTGCGGGCGAGGGGCGGGCAGCCAGGCAGAGCAGGGAGTGGAGGCGCCCAGCTGGCTGACGCCGGGAGCGTGGCAGGGACGGGATTCCAGGGGCGCGGCTGACCCGCAAGGTCGGCCAGGACCCTCGATGGAGGACGGAGGCCTGCATGGGTTTCGGGTCCACAGATCGTTAGTTCAGGGCTCACAGCATGTGGTTTTGTTTTGGCCCACGTGGTGTTCATTTGTTTCTGTCAGCATTTAAAACTGGAGGAAATTTTCATGATACTCCTGATTTATTTACGATCAGTGTACTTTGATCAGGGGAAATCAAAACCTCGGCTCCGGGCACCATTTCTTGGTGAAGGTGGCTCACGTCCCTCCTGAGAGGGGAAGTTCTGCCTTGTGCCCGGCGCCGGAAGCCTCTTCCAGGAGGTGCACACGGCACCCATCCCCTTCCACGCTGCCCAGGTTACGTGAAGTTGCCTCCAGAGAAATTTGCACCCAAGAAGCAGGGTGACGGCAGCAAGGACCTTCCCACGGAAGCCAAGAAGCTCCAGCTGAATTCCGCGGAGGAGCTGTATGCCGAGATCCGCGACAAGAACTTCAACGCCGTGGGCTCCGTGCTGAGCAAGAAGGCCAAGGTGATCTCGGCAGCGTTCGAGGTGAGCGTGCGCAGCCGGCGGGAGTGGCCGGCGTCCTGCTCCGCCCGCGGCCGCCGGGGGCCGGGGCTGCCCACAGGTCCAGCCCTCCCAACAGGGCCTCGGTGGGGCGGCCGCTTCGCCGCCTTGGAAACCGCCCTGCCCACCCCCTGGAGGACCCAGTTTTTCCTCAGCTTTTCCCAGGCCCAAGAGAAGAGGTATTTTTAAGTTTTTCTCCCTCCCCCATTTGGGCGGGGAGGGGGGGGCAGGACAGTGCTTGTAGTTTACCAGCTTCTGTCCAGAACATTTGTTTTCCCTTCTTTTTGTTTATTTCCTGCCTCCCTTAAGAGGAAGCCAGCTGTACTATAAATAAAAGATCCTCTGTGATAGAACTTGCAGTTTGGGGTGAGAACTCCAAGTTTGGCCAAGGTGCCTGTGACAGGGGACCCCTGTGGACCTGCTGGGCGATAATGAGAGTGAAGCCCCAGCTGTTAGGCGGGTGGCTTCATTATCGCCTCGGCGCTGCCGCCGCCCGGCCCGCTCAGTCCTAGCGTGGCTCGCTTTTGAGGCAGGGAATCAGTGAGATGGCAGCTGAATACTTGGACTTCACAGACGGAAATTGGGAGAGCTTTTTAGAAAGCTAATTTTCCACTGGGTATTTCTAGATTTCTTCTTTCTTAGGAATTATATTCATAGTTGATTTTCCTATTTCTTCAGTTATTTTTGGTTTAAATGATTCAGTTTTGTTGGGTGGGGAAGCATTTTCTCTTCCCTAAGTGAGGTTTGCTTTGTTCACGGACAGTATTCAAGTTTGAGGTTCAGTAGGAAGAATGGGTTTTTTCTTCCTATTATAGAGGGAACTTCCTGGTGTTTGTGTTCCCCTCTTAACACACTGTCTTCAGTTGTGTTTTCCTCCCGAATGTTTGCGGTTTACCCAGAACTGACCCCCACAAGTACTCAGATGCCCACAAAGTACTGTTCGCAGCATGAGTCGGGGCCTCGGAAGAGAAGGCCGCAGACACGCACTCTCTGCGGAAAGACTAAGGCCGTTCACGGGCACCGCAAACTTGCCTTTTCTGTGTTTCTGTGTGATGTTGGTGCTGGGTTTGGCCTAATTTATTTGTATCCATTCTTTCTGTCACAATAAAATAAACCAAACAACCTCTGAGCGAAACGAAGAACGGAGCGCCTAACGTACGTTCCCTTCTGACGTTCTGCCCGCTGCAGGAGAGGCACAACGCCAAGACGGTGGGGGAGATCAAGCAGTTCGTGTCGCAGCTGCCCCACATGCAGGCGGCGAGGGGCTCGCTCGCAAACCACACCTCCATCGCGGAGTTAATCAAAGACGTCACGAGTGAGTGTCGCTGGGTCGTGAGGTTCGTCAGTCCTTGGTGCCACTCCGATTCTCCATGTTAATTGGGTGCACAGAGGTCCATAGTTAGAAGTGTGCCATTTGTGGTTAACACGTTTCTTTTTATTATTAAAGTAAGGTAATCATATGATAAAGTCTTTGGAATATCAAGAAGAGAGAAAAAATTCTTCTATAAGTTTGCCACCATAATATGAGTTGATTAATGTTTTTTGTCTAGTATTTTTTCCCCTGTTGTTAAGGATTATTTAATTAGAGCAGTGTGATGTTTCTGTTTTTGTTTTTCCCTTGAACTTTCTGTAGAATTGGCAGATAGCATTTGGTGAGTGTTTTGAAAGAGCTTGGATGGTGTCTGTTAAACCAAAGCCAAGTTTACTCATTAAAACGCAGGCTGTAAACGCTGCCTAGGGCTTGGCCAGGGCCCGGCACTGTGAAGTGTGCGCCGGACCTCACGTGCAGCACAGTCCCAGGAAGTCGGCTCTTCCCTTGTTAATAGAAATCAGCTGAAACTGGGTTGCATCTGATGATGAAATGCTCTGGGGAAATTCGCTTTCTCTGATATTGAGGCAAAATTTTTGAGGTGTGTTTGAGCCGTAAGGCTAGCCCCGGGGCCGGGATCGGCCGCGACTCGGCATGGCTTCGGGTGCAGGGTGGCAGGGTTTCCGTGCCGTTCGACGGTTCTCGTCCGCTGAGGGTGTCAGCCGTGGTTGTGCCTGCTTTTTGGCATGTCTTGTTCCTTTCATTGTGCTCTGTTCATACAAGCACACCGCTCAAATAAAGGGACATTTATTTAATTTCTGAGTCGCAAATTTCCGAATTACATTTCAGCTTCCGAAGACTTCTTCGACAAGCTGACAGTGGAGCAGGAGTTCATGTCTGGAGTAGACACCGACAAGGTACGTGAAGGACAGAGCTGTCAGACAAATAGCGGCCACTTGCGCAGCACGAGGTGGCAGCCCGCACCGCAGCGCTTTGACTCCAGCGCGTTGCGTCGAGATTTTTCAGCGCGAATGCAAAACGTGAAGACGCACATTTTGCCAAGTGACAGGTACCTCACAGCACTCTGCGGAGGGCGCAGGGTGTCACATCAACCTAGGGTGTTTGCTTTCAGAGAGAATTGGTTATAGAATTTCTTTACATATTCGCCTCTCTTAACACATTTAAAATGATTTAAGTTTTGAAAATTTCCATCGTCTAGAAATAGCCCTGTGACTGATCAGTTGCTGCTGTACTGGGATAGACTAGTCTGCACACTCCTCTCGGGAGGTGGCCTGTGGAGACAGGCGAGCCCAGACGGGCATTGAGGCCGCCCAGCGTGTCCGCGCGGCCTTGTGCTCCCGGCGGCTGGGGGTGGGTGCCAGGGGCTGGAGGGCACAGGGGAGGCGGGACGCGGGGGCCGTTCTCCCACGGAGCTCCTTTAGCTGACTTTGAAGAAGAACAGTGCATATCAAGTCCTCGAGGCCCCCGAAGCAGGTGCGCATATATGTCTGTCTGTACTTTGCTTCCAGGTCAACAGTTACATTGAGGATTGCATTGCCCAAAAACATCCTCTGATCAAGGTGCTAAGACTGATTTGCCTCCAATCTGTGTGCAACAGTGGACTCAAACAAAAAGTTCTGGATTACTACAAGAGAGAAATTCTCCAGGTCAGTATGTTGTGAAATTACTAATTTGCCAAGGGAGAAAACAATTTTTTATAAAAAGACTTCCCAAATCTGTCGTTTTGGTATATTATGTCCACTATCTTTTAAATTTTTTAACACCTGCAGGGATTGTCCTTGGTGTCAGTCATTGTTTACTGTGTTTGCGTAACAGTGATGATTATAATAATAACAACAATAGCCAAAGTCTACTGAGCAGTTATGCCAGGCGCTCTTGGAAGAACTTTGTCAGCATTCATTTGTTTAATCCCCCTGTTTAATTCCTCCCTGTGGGTCTCCCTGCTTTGTGGGTGGTGAAACTGAGGCCCTCGGTGGTCACCCAACTTGCCCGAGGTCACTCAGCCGTAAGTGGGCTCTAAAACCTGGCATCTAGTGCCCGTCCTCCCAACCAGTGTTCAGAGGAGGAAAGGAACTCTGCAAAGCTCTGGTAGTTCCTTAGCAGACTTGCTTAAACCAAGCCTGTGTTACTTTACAATAAAGGAAAGCCCGCCAGTATTTGTTTTTAAAATTACCCCCTCGGTGTGCAGATACCTCAGGCAGTATTTATTTGCTATTACCAGTCACAGTTAAGTGCATTATTGTGAAAGCTAAATGCCCATTCAGTTTTTTCTTTTGTCCTTTTAAAAATTACGCATACAACACATGCGTCCTTGTCACGTAATGCAGAAGAGTACGGAGCAAACTGTGACCGTCCCTGTGCCTGCCTCCCGCCCCGCTCCCCCCCGCCTCCCTGCCCAGATGGGTCCAGGGTCCGCGCTTGCCTTGTCTGCTTCCAGGTTGCCTTCTTTCTTTGTATAAAAGAACGTTCACATGCACAGTCTGGGCGGTGAGACTGGCCACATCCAAGTCCCAGCTCTGCTACTATTCGCTGTGTGACCTTGGGCAAGTTATTTACACTTCTCTGTAAGAGAGAGACAATAATGCCTACCTCGTGGGGTTATCTATAATAAGGAAGACTGAGTTAATGTATGTAAAGCCCTTAGAACAGAATAGGGCTCCCCACAGAGAAAATAGTATAGAAATGTTGACTCTTATTATTTACTAGTAATTTTTAACAGAAATAAAATTCTACTATATACATAATATTTTATTATTACATTTTTTGTCCTTAAGAATATATCCAAGATATTTTTAAGTTCAATATACTGGGATGACATTGGTTAATGAGAACATACAGGTTTCAGGTGCACCATGCTGCAGCACACCCCTGTATATTGTATTGTGTGTTCACCACCCCAAATCAAGTCTCCTTCCATCATTGTTTGTCCCCCCTTTACCCTCTTCTGCCTCCGCCCACGTCCCTCCAAGACCTTTCCTATCAGGATGTAGAGGTCTGCCTCGTTCCTTTTTATAGCTAATTATGTCCCATATAGATATATACTGTACAGCTGACCCTTGAGCAACGCAGGTGTTGAAAATTCGCATAAGACTTTGGACTCTCCCATAACTTGACTACGAACAGCCCAGTGTTGATGGGAAGCCTTACCGATACCATCAACAGTTAACATGTTTTGTATGTTTTATGTATTATATGCTGTGTTCTCACAATGAACTAAACTAGAGAAGAGAAAATGTTATTGAAATCAGAAGGAGGTGCCCTGCCCGGTGTGGCTCAGTGGACTCCGCGCTGGCCTGCGACCAAAGGGTCGCCGGTCTGAGTCCCTGTCAGGGCACAGGCCTGGGCACAGGCCTGGGCGCAGGCCAGGTCCCCAGCAGGGGGCGCATGAGAGGCAACCACACAGTGATGTTTCTCTCCCTCTCTTCCTCCCTCCCTTTCCCTTTCTAGAAATAAATAAATAATTTTAATTTAAAAAATCAGAAGAAGAAAATACATTTATTGCACTGAAAGTATTTAGTGAAAATAGTGCTTGTGGAAGCGGACCGGTGAGGTTCCAGGCTGCGCTGTTGAAGGGTCAGCGGTAATTGAGTTGATGCTCACTTAGGCTGGGCCCATAAACGTTTATTCCAAGCATGTTAAGTTCCTCTCTGAAATAAGGAACTGGGTTAGCTGTGATGGACAAGCAGGTTTAGGGCGGGTCCCGGCAGGCCCCACCCATCCTTTCCCTGTGCCATGGTCGGTCATCTCCCGGACCTTGGCGACATGCCCCGGAGCGCAGGCCAGACCGAGGTACTGGAAGCTCCCTCATTTGAAAGCCGCAGGCACCCTTTTCCCGGTCTGACGCCCCGGCCAAATGGCCTCTCCTGCAGACATATGGCTACGAGCACCTCCTGACGCTGCACAGCCTGGAGAAGGCCGGCCTGCTGAGGCCACAGCCAGGGGGCCGGAACAACTACCCAACCATCCGCAAAACCCTGCGCCTCTGGATGGACGATGTGAACGAACAGGTAAGGCGCCAGCCTGGTACCGGTGAACGGGCTGCGGGGCAACGTATGCTGCTCCTTCCACGCCTTGCTTCCTAAAAACAACTTTCTAATGTTGTGAAGAAGTAATGCGTTTGTGTTATATCTGTCAGAATCCCAGCAGGAAGCGGGGCGCCCTGACCCGGGTGGGGGTGGGGGACCAGCGAGAGGCCCTGCGGTGGGCGGCCCTCCCAGCCCGGGCCTGAGGACGAGGTGAGGGGCTGCTCCACCCCGGCGAGAAGAGCTGCAGCAGAAGAGCTGCAGGGGGCCTCCTGACAACCGGGGGTGGGGGGGGCGGGGGCGCGCGGGAGGCCTGCGGTACAGGGACTCAGCCGGCCTCCAGCCGAGTCCCGAGGCTGCCCAGCCGCCTGCTTTTATCTGGCACCTCCCAATGGGAAACCCAAACAGAGGGCATGGAGCGCGTGGTCCAGAGCCTGTAAGCCCCCCAGCCCTGGCCCCGGGCTCAGCGGGCCGAGGGGAAGGGCAGAGAGGACTGGGAGATACAGCACAGCAGTGAAAAGTCCACTCGGGCAAAAGTAAGGCGGACAGTGAGCCGCACGTCCCCTGCCCACCCGAGCCCCGCTGCCCCTCCGGGGCATCCGCCCTTAGCCCCAGCCCATTTTTCATCTTCCAGGAAGATTCTGTGTGCACACAGACACGCCTACGTAAACGGCGCGCGTTCTCTGCCAGTGGCCTACAAAGCAGGGTGTGCTTTGCCCTACGGCGTTGGATATTCCAGTCTTCCTCAATTTCTTTATTTTCTAATTTTTCATAAAGGACTTTATTAGGCTGTCTCATGCAGCGAAAGCTAATAATTAAACTGTCTCCTCTATCAGTAGCAAAATTGGATTATTTTTTCCCAGCTGGAATATAGAGACTCTTAATTTCTGTGTTGTACGATGCCAATAATACATTAGTTTGACTCTCTTCTCTGGTCTGGCCTGCGGCTCCCTGTGCCTCTCTCTGCAGGCTCCGTCCTGAAGATCCTTCTGCAATTGACCTCATGTTTCAAAGTTCTCTGTGGTAGCTGCATAGCGGTTTTGCAGATACACCTATTTCTGGTTTAACAGATTTCTATTGATAGCGATTCGGGTTGCTGCGGGCCCTTTACTGGTACAGACGATGTGGCAGCCAGTGTTAGTGCCTTGGCCTGGCCTCCCGGCGCTCCAGCCCCTCTGTAGGATGAATGCCTACAAGTAGAATTGCCAAGTTACCCTCCAAGAAGTTTCTTGCCAAACTAAGCAACACATTTTCATCTTAGTATCCAGAGTCAGTTTGCGTGGCTTTTCAAGATGTAAGTTAACAGTGAACCTCTGGCTGCTAAGATACGGGGGCTTGTTTGGGGTTAGGCCTTCCAAGAAGAAGCACATCATTTGGGGGTACCCGGAAGGCCCCATTCAGGCGGCTGAGCCTCGGTACCTACGGGCTTTTTCCCTTTACTCACCGGACAGAACCCCACGGACATCTCCTACGTGTACAGCGGCTACGCCCCGCTGAGCGTGCGGCTGGCGCAGCTGCTCGCCCGGCCCGGCTGGCGCAGCATCGAGGAGGTCCTCCGCATCCTCCCGGGGCCGCACTTCGAGGAACGGCAGCCCCTGCCCACGGGGCTGCAGAAGAAACGTGAGTCTGCGGCCGGGGTCCGAGGCCGCCGTGTGCCGTTATCGCGGGTTTCACGTATTACGCAGGTGCGCTGTGAGATGCATTTGTAAAGCCCTTGGGAGTCCGCGTCCAGTGCACCCCTTTTGTCAGTTGCTGATGTTCTTGTAAGCACAGGGACCCGTCGCTCCCTCGGGGGTAGCAGCTTTCAGCCTCGGGTGGACGCTCTCAGTGGTTAGAAAACACGAGAGAAAATAGAGTTTCAGGTGAACTGTCGGGCCCAGACACGTGTGGCTTTCTTTCCTCTTAGGAATGATGCAGTTTTTTTAAGAGGTGGCAAGAGAAGCTAATAAATATTCTTAATTCTGAAATGTTTCCGTTCTAGGTCAGCCTGGAGAAAACCGAGTCACCCTGGTCTTTTTCCTCGGGGGGGTGACCTTCGCTGAAATCGCCGCCCTGCGCTTTCTCTCCCAGTTGGAAGATGGGGGCACAGAGTATGTCATCGCCACCACCAAACTCATGAACGGGACCACCTGGATAGAGTCGCTGATGGAGAAGCCCCTGTAGGCGTTCAGGGCTGGCCGAAGTGCTCACCGGAGTAAACCGCGCTGGCAAAGACGTTGCTGGGAGGAAGTGCAGCCCCGCCGAGGAATCACACAGGAGGACAGGGTTACTTCGGGGTCAGCCTCTTAAATTATGCTGGCCTCTCCTTTTACTTCCCTTTTGTGCTCCTAACTCCTCAAAGAAAGAACAGAAGAGAACAGCCTGGGTAAAGAAATACCCATTTTTAACGTTCTAAGCTTAGGATCTTTGTTAGAGACCTCTGCAAATACATTAAGGACGGTGGGGATGGCTAATCTATTCAGCCACACAGATGGGGTCAGTCCATCAAATAAGCAAGCAGGGCCCAAGCGGCTAGAAATGAAAATAAAACTGGACAGTCCAACCCCTGCTGAGTGGAGCTGAGATTCTTGGACTCACATTCAGGGCAGTGGTAGGCGCTGGGGGCCAGAGACAGTGTGGCCGCCGAGGGGAGCCTTCTTTTTCCTGCACAGTGTGGCGCGTCATATTCACTGTCACCCGTCTCTGCCTCGCCTGATTGTTAAGACAAGTTTGGATTCCTTGTGCTTTTGATTTATTTGATTCTATAAAGCGAGAGATTTCCCCAAAACCAAGTTTATGATCTGTCTGATCAGCTGCATCGGTAGTTCTGACCCAGGGCTTTTCACATGGAGGAAGACATTTGGGGAGCAGCTTCCTGAGAGTTGAACCTTCAAAGAGACTTCCTCAGCCCACACCTTAGTAACTCCAAGACATTTCAGCGGTGGACACGTCCGCCGAGGTTTCGGTTTCCCTCCCCGCCCGTCACAGGCCCAGCACCCAGCAGGCCCCGCCATGAGCAGCAGCACCCTCGCTGCTTCCGCATCCTGCAGCTCTGTCTCCCTGGTAACCGCCGCGTGGCCTTCTGAAGCGGCCTGTGGCCTCTCACACTCAGCCTCGTGTTTGCTTTATTTGAAAACACCCAGTTCTGTTTCAGTCCCTGGTCTGGGGGCCTTGGCCTCCTCTGACACAGCTCGTGGTTGAATTTGGCGTCTGGCGGCCACAGCGGCCATTCCTCACACAGGGACGGCCAGGCCACGGAGACACGGGACGGGTGTGCGTGCTTCCTCCCAGCCTCTGGAGGAGTTAAGGCTAAACTGACGGCTTCAGAGGCCAAGTCTCCGTCAAAATTAGCTGGTCTCCCTCTTTGCTGGGGGACCAAGTCAGCGTCCCTCCCCAGGTGTGGTTTCCATTGTTAATTAGGAGCCATATATGTTTTTCCTGACTTTTTTTTATTAGTGGAATTCTGTTAGGCACATTGTATGTTATGAAGTAAAAGAGAGATTATATATATTTAAATATTTATTTTTAGAAGGGAAAGGAAGGAAATGGGAGTGAGAAACATTGATCAGCTGCCTCTTGCACGCATCCCAACCAAGGACCGAACCCACAACCCAGGCCTGTGCCCCAATTGGGAATCAATCTGGCGACCCTTCACTTGGCCGGAGGACTCCCAACGAACTGAGCCACACAGAGAAAAATTCTGTATTTTTAAAATCTCGAATATAAGAATGGGGGGTAGAAGAGGTAATATTTAAAAGATTTCTTTGTCCTTTATTGGCCTTGGCATTCAGTATTTAGAAAAGGTCTTAATGAAAACAATTCCTGTTTTAGAAAATCCTTTCCCAGATCCTTGTTATCCCAGGGAGATTGGTTTATACCTTCCAGCCCCGCAGCTGTCAGCCCCAGCTGCCTTGCAGAAATGAAATGCACCTTGTCCCTCAGCGCTTGGGGCTCCTGGGATTCAATTCAAGTCCGGCCAGGTCTCCTTGGCTGGGGTTTCTCGCCCATGAACAGATACTCAGTTGTGTCTCATGTGTCTGCATTCACTCGTGGGCCTCCACTCACCTGCTCAGAGCATAGTTAGGTCAGCTCCTAAAAACACATTCCTCAGAAGACTTAAAAACATCAATTGCTTCATTTGTATGCAAATAGAAAGTGGTGGATAATTATATATGATACACTTTTGTGTCAGTTCACTTAATACTTGAAGCCGTCTTTGTCTCAAGGGAGTGTGGCCTTACTGAGAAAGGATATGTGAATGGTACAGTTATTCCTGGACAGGGTGGATTGTTTACATCATGTCTGGACTTTTGTCTAGTTGGTAGACAGTTCTGCTATACCAGCAGTCCCCTAAAAAAGGCTTCTGCGGAGATAAAGAAGTCTACATAGGCACTGTTTTGTGTCTTACTATACACTGTGGAATTTTAGCCAACAGAAAAAAAGTACTTGAGCTGTAGTTCGTGGACAAGAGCATAATGGTTAAAAGGGGGCAGATTAAAACCAGCACTAGTATTGAGTTCTTGGGGGGAAGTGGGAAGGGAATAGCCTACGTGAGTTCCAGCTCGTTCTAGCTCTGCCCTCGGTGGAAACAGGTTATGCTTGATCGTGATGGGCCGATTTGTTTCTTGTTCTCAGTTGTATGTTAAAGACTGGCCTGTCCCCAGAAGGAAGTGCTTGTACTCAGCAGAGCTGAATTCAAGAAGCGATACTTCACAATAGCAAAGTGAACTGAGTGCAGACAGGGAGGTGCAGGGCTGTGGGAGCGGCGGCAGGAAGAGAAACGCAGGCATCGCGTAGTCCGCGAATTTTACTCCAGAGCCAGATGCATTAAATTGTTGTGTGGGTTAATATGGTGGCATTCTATAGGGAACAGGACGCCTTTCTAACAATCGAAGGAAAAGGGAGTAATGTAAAATTTCTCAGATTCTCATATTTCTAAATGAGTGCATACCAACTTGAAGCCACACACTGTTCCTTAGTTGGTTCCTCCGTTGCCGTAAAACACCCAGAACCAGGTGGTGACTTAGAGGCTGCAAAGGCTAGAATGTGTAACTGCCTGGGGACATCCGTTCGAAGAGTGTGAGAGGTAAAAGAGAAGAGAATCGGCCTATTTTTTTAATTTGTATTCATTTTTTAGAGAGAGGGAGAGAAACATAGACTGGTTGCTTCTTTTATTTGTCCTGACTGGGGACTGAACCTGCAACCTCAGGCCTGTGCCCTGACCAGTAATCAAACCGGTGACCTTTTACTTTGCAGGACGACATGCAACCAACTAACACCACCAGTCTGAGCAAAGTCGGCCTTTTTTTTTTAACAGCCTCTCTTTGCATCTGTTACTTTGGTGAGGGGTGAGGGTATAACCTTAGCCATACTTTCCTTCCTGTGACTGCACAGGACACAGAAGCCCTTAAGGCGACCCATTCTCCGGGGGAGCAATTACCGACTGACTTCCTGAGCAGCCCGCTGATGATCTGCTCTGGGTTTCAGCTGAGCTGCGGCCGGGCAATGATTTCATAATAAGAGAGCTGATCCAATTAAAGAGCCATTTGCTTCTGGATGATGATGTTGATAAAAGGGTGGGTGTGCGCACTGCCTGCTGCTTTTTTTAGGTCAAGAAAACAGTGATGGCAAACTAATGCAAAAGCAAAAAATTCAGAGGCAGCAGAGTCTGTGTTTCCTGTCACCATTACATCTGGGAAGGGGTCTGTTCTGTGTTTGCTACAGTCCTGACCGGCTCTTTTTTGCCTCTTACATGGAGGACTTGTAATTGGGAGCAGCCACATTGGGAAGGTGACTGTGATGAGTCTGTAACCTGCTCAACCCTGTGAATTAGAGCCACTTGGGAGCCCTTGGTCCCCCACTCCTGGTCCTTACACACTTGCATGCTCACATTTGCATGTTTTTTTTAAAGACAGCAGCGTATGCTTAGCAGGGCGGTAACAGTGAATGTCGTTTGTGCCGTGGTTCTCATCTGAGAGTAGGATGGGGTTGCTCTCCATGTGAGTGTGAGAAAAGGATTTGGACTAAATCCCACCCGCAGTGTTTAGAAGGGCAGACAAGAAAGGGCATGAAATACCCCCTAGGGTACTGTCTGCTCAGCACATCTAAGCCAGGAGCTTTTGCAGGCAACCTGGGAGCCAGTGGGCAGGGGTGGTGACCCAGGCAGAGAAGGCGGGCAGAGTTGCTAAGGCCCCGCCTGGTCTGGGACCGCCTGTGCACAGCTCCCTGGGAGCTCAGGGACCCCGTGGAGATTGTGATTGGTCTCTAGGCCACACCTAGTTGGTGATTGCAGCTGCTGCCTGAGAATCCCTCAGCTCTGCCAAGATCACTGGAGTGCGCACAAGCTACCTTCGAACTCTGCATCGGGAGGAAGCCCGGAGCTGCACAGAGCGGGAGTCCTGGAAACTTAGCTGAGTGAGTGAAACGGGGAGAGGGCAGCCCGTGGCTGGGCTGAGGGGAGTTCCTGGGCAGCGCAGCGATGCAGGTGGAGCGCTGGTTTGTGATGGTCACCATCTGACTCCGTCGGTGGAAGAGCAGCGGGGTTGGAGCAGGCGGACAGGAGCAGGATACCGAAGCAGATAAGCCCAAGATCAAATCGAGACCCACCTCTTGGCACCCCTGCCATCCTGGCGGGCCAGCAGGGCCAGCACGCCGGACCACAAAGCAAAGACCCTCCAGCTCTGCTACTGACAAGCCTGGGGGCCAGGGGAATTGCAGCGAAGGCCGCTGCCTTCCCCTACCTGAGTGGGGGTCTCTTCTCTTCCCCTCCCAAGCAGCAGACAGCTGGGGCTGCAGCTAGCGGTGGGGAAAGAAGGCTTGACTCCACTAGCCCATTAGCAGCACTCATGGCATTAAAAATGCAGGAGGTGGGTGGGAGGAGAGGGCCGGGATGAAGACTAACGCGGCAGCCGGCCTGTCCTCCGAGCCCGGATCCAGACCGGAGCCCAAGAACGAGGGGGAACTTTTGGTTTAAAAGAATCCTATAGTGAAAACGCAAACGGCGTCCAGGTGGGTGTTATGGAGAAAATCAGCACTTTGGGCTTCCTTAAAGCCTTAGGAAAGTGTTACTTTTTAGAGGGCTGGGACCTAACCCAACCGCTTGCTTCCACGGTGCACCGAGCAGGGCTGGCTCAGGGGCCCTGCTGTGTGCGATGGAGGCGGGGCATGCGCGGGAACCGTCCTCTGCCCCGCAGGTCCTCGGGCCTTCGGCACAGGGCGATGCCGGCCTCGTCCACCATCCACGTGCTGCAACTGCTGCGGGAGCTGCTGGCTTTCGTGCTCCTCAGCTACACAGTGCTCATCGGGGCGCTGCTGCTGGCCGGCTGGACCACCTACTTCCTGGTGCTGAAGTGACAGCGCCTCCGCCCTGGCTCCCCGCCCCTCCCGCCCTCCACGCGCCGGGGCCGGGCCTGGCTCGCGAGGCGCGGCCCCCCACCCGGGCACCAGTCCAACCAGCCCTCACGACGGCGGACTTTCGCTCCGCCCACCCCGCGCCCTCAGGCCCAGGGCCCGCCCCACCCCGCGTGAACGCTGCGGCGGTTGGGTACCCTGCGCGGCCGTTACAGCCGTTTCCTTCAGCTCCGCCCCTCCCTCCTCGCCTGTCCAATAGCGGCTGCTCCCTTGGCAAGGGCGTGGTCATGGGGCCAGGCCCTCTTGACTGGAGGCCGCGCCCTGCCCCCCGCCCACGAAGCTACGCCACTTCCGGCGTGTACGTCTGGCGTCCGTCCGTCGCGGGATGGCGGCTCTGAGGAGCTGGTTGTCGCGGGGCGTGTCGTCCTTCTTCAGGTACCGCTGCGGTTGTGTAGGAGGGCTGGATGGGAGTAGGCAGGCGACGCAGAGAGCGCCCGGCCGGGTCGCGGAGCCGGCCTTGCTGGCGCGCGCTTCCCTCCTCGGCCGAGCGGGCCGCGGCGTCCAGCCTCTCCGCGGTCAGAGGGTGCCTCTGCCCCGGCCCGAGGCCTCCCTCCCCATCGGCCAGGGCCGGGTCCGTTCCTTCCTGACGGCTCTTCCGTTATTCCATCTGCCGAGAGCCAGTCCCCGCGACCTCCGGCTGTCCTCCAGGGGCAGCTCGGGCTGCGCGCGAGTTCCCGCCGCCCTTCGAAGCCCGGGCGGGCGGCGGGCTGATGAAGTCTCCCCCGAGGGCGGGAGGGCCCGGGAACTCGCCGGCCCCCTCGCGGCACCTGCGGGCTCCAGGCGCCTGGCGGGGGCTCTCAGACACCTTGCAGAGGTCCAGAGCTAAACCGCGCCTGCGGAAGCGTTTGTTTGGGCTTGCGGTTTTTAAAAAGCTCGGGGACCCCCTCTTTAACGTCCACACCGGGCCCCGGTGGAACTGCAGCGCCCGTGCGCCCGCCTTCCCGCACGGCGGCGGCGCGCGGGAGCGCGGGGGCGGGGCCCCGGCGGCGAGGCCGGACTTTGCGGCGCGCCTCGCTGCCCTGGAGCCCTGCCGTCGGGCCCGCGCCGCCCTGCGGGTGCCCCCCGCCCCCGCGGATACGCCGAGGGGACTTTGACAGACTGGTGGCTGTGCCTCGTTAAATTCGACTTCGGTGTCCAGGTACAGACGGTGTGTTCCCGTCGCGGCGAACCTGAAGAAGCGCGGTTTCTCGGACTTGGTGAGACCATGGCGCGGAACCGCGGCCGTTGGATTTGGGGTGGCCCTGTGTGCGGTCCCGATCGCCCAGGTGAGTACCGCGGCGGCGCGTCCTCCCCGAGTCTCGCCTGGAAAACGGAGCGCCCGGCAGCGTCACGGCTTCACCCCGAGCCCGGCCCGCCCCGCCCCCGGGGCAGCTGCCGGCCGTGCCGGCCGCTCTTCCCCGTGTTGACGGCCTCTTTTGGTGGGAACAGCACGTCAAGCTGGCGAAACTGTAGAGGGGCGAGCGAAATAAGGAGCGTGTGTTAGAGCTGAGAGCGCCCTTTCTCCGTCCTCCTCGCCCACGCGTGCGTGGTGGCTGCCTGGCTGTGGCCGGTGTTGGGTCGCCACTCCTTGGGGTTTTCACGTGCGCCTCCTCTGCAGCGGGCGATGTTGAGCTCTTCTGTGGGGGGGTGCGCACGCCGCCTCTGTCCCGGGAAGAATGTTCGGGTCCTCTGACGTTTTAATTGTTTAATTATTTTTCATTTTTTTAATTTATTGATTCGAGAGGGAGAGAAACATCAATTGTTGTTCCACTCGCGGACGCATGCATTGGATGATTCTTGTAGGTGCCCCGGCTGGGGATCAAACCGCAACCTTGGCTGTCGGGGCGGGGCTCTGACCGGCTGGGCCGGCCGGGGCCCTCTGGTTCTTCTGAATGGGGGGGGGGGGATGAATTTCTTAAATAGTTCGGATATTAACCCCTTGTTGGATGTGTCGTTTGCGACAATCATCTCCCATTCGGTAGATTGTCTTTATTTTGATGATTGCTTCCTTTGCCGTAAAAACACTTTATAGTTCGATATAACCCCACTTGTTTATTTTTTTCCTTGGGTTTCCCTTGCTCAGGGAGATATCTCAAAAAAGATGTTGCTAAGGGCAATGTCAGAGCTTACTGCCTATGTTTTCTTCTGAAAGTTTAATGGCTTCAGGTCCAACACTTAAGTCTTTAATCCATTTTGAGTTTATTTTTGTGTATTTTATAAGTGGCCCATCTTCATTTTTTGGCACGTACCTGTCCAGTTTTGCGAACACCACTCACTGAAGAGATTGTATATCCCTGCCTTCTTTGTCGCAGATTAATTGACCATATAAGCAAGGATTTATTTCTGGGCTCTGTATTCTGCCCCACTTTGGTTGGTTGGTTGGTTGGTTGGTTTTTTGCCAGTCCTATACCGTGTGATTATTGTAGATTTGTAGTATAATTTGGTATCAGGGAGAGTGATACCTCCCACTTTGTTCTTCCTCAAGATTTATTTGGTTATATGGGGTCTTTTATGGTTTCGTATAAATTTAAGGATTAGTTCTAATTCTGAGAAGAACACCATTGATATTTTAGTAGGGATTGCAGTCAGTCTGTGTATTACTCTAAGTAGTAGGGACATTTTAACAATGTTAACCCTTCCAGTCCATGAGTTAGATATATTCTTCCATTTATTAGTATTTTGTTCAGTTTCTTTCTTCAGTGTCTTACAGTTTTCAGAGTGCAGGTCTTTCACCTCTTCAGTTAAAATTTATTCCTAGGTATCTCATACATCTTATGCAATTGTAAATGGGTTTTTCCCTTAATTTCTCTTCTGATCATTTGTTATTGGTGTATAGAAATGCGATAGAGTTCCGTATGTTGATTCTGTATCCTGCAACTTGACTGAATTCGTGTATTAGTTCTAATAGTTTTTTTGTGGCGTCTTTGGGGTTTTCCATATACAGTAGCATGTCATCTGCTGGCGTGACTTTTTAAAAGTGTGTGTGGAACTAGGAGGACCGAGAGGAGTCCAGGCGTGAGGTGACAATGCACTTGGTCTATGTGGGCAGCGGTGGCGGCTGGGAGAGGTGGGCCGCGTGTGGTCAGCAGGGGTTGCTGGTGGGTTAGTCTGGAACTGGATCCCAGTGATTTTAAAGGCCTGAGCAACTGAGAGAATGGCGATGCCGTGTGCTGTGCGGGCTCGATACTGGGGAATAGGGTACAGAGAGGAACAGGTGTGAGGGGGAAGACGTGAAAGGTCAGTTTGGGGAATGACGGTCTGAGGTGTCTGTTGGACGTCTAAGTGGAGCTGTCAGGAGATAGTTGATGTGAAAGTGGTGCCTGCTTTATCAGGAAGAACTAAACAGGAAACCAGCAAATCCCATTTTAGCAAAACTTGCAGGAGGGGGGCCAAGAAAACCCTGGAATTATATTCTGCAGGGCAGGCACCTTGTAGGACAGGCCCCCGCCCCCCGCCAAGTGTCAGGGCACCAAGGCTGTTTCAGTGCGGTTGCCCATTTCATGTGGGCGATTTACGAATGCACCTGCCCACACTGTGCTGCGTGTTCAGCAGTTTTTGACCAAAAACGTCATGACCCCCATGCCCCACCCTTCATATTCACCCAGTCTTGCCCCCAGCAACTTAACCCGGATGAAAAAAGTCCTCAGAGGGAAATGTTTTGCTGGTGCAGAGGAGGTGAAACAAAAAATAGAAGCATCAAAAGGCTTCAAAATTGACGAGTTCCAAAACTGTTTTCAGCATTGGAAAAATGATCTCGACAGGTGTATTGCGTCAAATGGAGAGTACTCTGAAGGTGACTGAAGTTTAAACATGTTAGAATACACAATTTTTTATAAGTTTCGGGTTTTTGGGGCGGTACCCCTGTCTGTGCATCACGAGGTTAATTCCACTTATTGCAAGTACTGTCAGCACCCGCTGAGGGAGCCCTCACCTTTTTGTGCCTCACTTTGACCCACGTTGCTGCGCACCGACGACTCTTTCAACCCTAAAGCTCTTACTTGAGCAGCACGCCACTTGCAGCCGCAACTCACGCTTTGTGGGGTCTGCCCTTTCTCAGCTCACGTACAATCCTTAAGCCCTGTTTACTTCTGCCTCTGGGCCACGTGGCAGCAGCCTGTAGCCGTCCTCCTGTAGGAGCAGTGGTTCTGTTCTGCAGAACCTGCAGTGGCTCTCCTTCGTGCGAGAGAACTTCAGGGCAAGTCACTGTGCCTGCACTCCATCCTCGTCTCCTTGTGCCACCCACCCCAGCCCGGCTCGGCCCCTGAACCCCCTGCACGCAGGCACTCTTGTCCTCTTTGTGTCGTCTAACCCAGAGACCCGGCCATTCTAATCCAAGTTCTCTTTCTTCAGGCCCAAGTCCTGCCTCACTTTAGAGCCTTGCCTGGTCCCTGGCCTGGCCGGCCGCTTCCCCTTCCGATCACCTAGCGTTGCGTAGTTTGGTATTTGATGATAGTCCATTTGGTACTCTCCTGAGCAAGCCAGCAGAGCACAAGGGAAACCTGGGAGCCGGGAGATTCAGTGTGAGACCTAGACGTGCGGCTTCCCAGTGAAGTTACTTTGCTGCTCTGAGCTTCCACTTCCTCGTCTGTTAAAAGGAAGTGATGACGCCTGGGCTGCTGGGAGGAACAGGTGAAAATGCACATAAAACTCAGGGCGTCGTGAAGACCTGCCTTATCAGAGTATGTAAAAATGAGCTTCTCATAAGCACAGAGAACGCCATTCCTTCCTTGATAGCCCCTCAGTGCACAGTACATAGTGAATACATATTTGAACAAAATAGAAATATGGTAAATTCTTGATTCGTTTGTGTGTCAAAGATACTTCTTGACTCCTGCAGCAAGAACAAGACAATAGGCGATAGAGGGATTGGTTTCTTTGTTAGTTCTCGTACAATAAATGCTCTGCTGAGGAAGTAAAAGGCACAGTCAGACACTTATAATGGCCTTTTTTATTAAGCCTAGTAGCTGAGGTCAGAGTGAGGAGTCTCTGACCGAGACCCCACAGCTCACTCCGCTCGGAGTCGCCCTCCCCCACCCCCACCCGCCCATTTGCTTTCTTCTGCTCGGCTTAGTCCTCGCCTCTGTGAAGCCTTTTCTGAGCCGCTCACATTCAGCAGAGGAGCAGTTGCTGCCCCATGCGGGCCCTGCTGCAGCCCACGCACACTCCTGCCACAGCTCCCGTGACACTCGAGTGCATTAATTGTTCAAGTTCTCTGTAAGCTCCAGCCAGTCTGAAATCTTCAAGGGCAGAGAATGTAGTTTTTTTATCTTTATATCCCGAGCACCTAGCACTGCGGTAATGAATGAATCATAACTTAATGAAATTTGTTGGTTATAATTACTGGCCTTTTACATGTACATTGCTTTTTAGAGTAGAGATTAAATAAAAGTAGGTAGAAAGCATACTCTGAAATTATTTCTGCTGGTTGTCTTAAATAACCAAGCTAAAGCTTTAAAAGAAACAGCTGATACAAACAAGCACAGTGCACCTGCGGCACGAGAGTTATGTTTTCACCTGCCTGGCGATGGCGACCTCCGCCACTCGAGCTTGGGGAGCTGAGCGAAAACGTGTGTGTCTTTCAGAAAGCAGAGCCTCATTCTCTCAGTAACGACGCACTGATGAGGAGAGCCGTGTCTCTGGTAACAGACAGCACCTCCACCTTCCTCTCGCAGACCACCTATGCGCTGATTGAAGCCATCACCGAGTACACGAAGGTGAGTGGTCGCCTGTCCGGCCCCGGTCACCTAGACCAGTGGTTAGCAGACTGGCTCACAGCCCGTGTCCAGTCTAACGCCTGCTTCTGTTAGTTAATGGTTGCCACAGGCTATTACAGGGCCCACAAAGCCTAAACTTTTTACTCCCACCCTGATCTAAATCTCTGGTTTTTAAAAGAAAAATCTTAACTATAGTAGCCCAGTTTATAAGACAGGGATCCAAGATGACCCGGTTCAGTTAGGGGTAGAAAGGGCCCAAAGTGCATTACCACCAGCAGTACCAGGGGCTTCTCTGTGAGGACAGTTTGAAAACCATTGACCTGAGCTAATAGCGTAAATGGACAATCAAAATCATTTAATGTTGGGCAACGCCCGGCCTGGTTTCAGAAGCTGTAACCCTGCCAACAGGCTGGAGGGCCCCAAGGCTGGAAATAATCAGGAGGCCTTGGAGAAACAGGCTCCTGAGGAGACTTGGCCTGTCCTCCCCTGGCTGCCTCTCTGCTTTTGCCATGGATGGTCAAATTGCCAATGACGGGTAAGTGACCTTGCGCTGAGGTTAACAACCTAAGACAGGCGTTGGCTGATTTTGGCAGCAGACAAATTGGGGGACACGGAGAAGTGGCAAAAAGGCCCCCTGCACCCCTTGGCTTGGACACGGCCGGACTCCTCACTGCAGCTGAGAAGCAGTCTCCTTAACCCTTGGTGGCTCCCTCTCCCCATCTGGCTCAGGCTTGAAACAGTGCAGGAAAAACAGCCCTAAATCAGATCTGGCGGGTCCCGGGGTAATCAGGCCTAAAAGTAAATTCTTTAGAGTGCGCTCTGTTCCTCCCTCAGATCTCTGGTTGGCTCATGCTGTGAAGGATCTTTATTTACACCCCTTACCTTGTTAAGACATTTGCCTTATTTACACTCCTTTCCTGGTATCATTAAGACATTTACTTTATTTACAACTTTTACCCTATATCTTTAAGGCGCCTTTAAGTCTGCTTTCCCCTCATCTATAGTCTCTATTATTGATTCTGGTCTCCTCTCGGACCCATGTAAACGAGTGTACTCCTGTCACTGGTCTTGTTAAAAGCATCATATATTCACTGAAACTTACCATACTGATGTACTGAGATAACATATGCATTCCTGTTACATACCCCACGGATAAGATTTTCAATAAAAGCCTTGGAACAAAGGGCAACAGGGCCTTCCCCACCAGTGGGATGTGCCATGGCCTTCTCCAGTAGGAGGGAAGTGCCCCATCTGCTCTCTCGGCAAACAGAGACGTGTTTGCGACATTTTGTGTTTATTCCCCCTTATCCGTGACAAGCCCAGGACGTGCTCTGCGGGTCTCAGAGCCCTGCTCCCCCCTCAGCGGGCCCCCGCCGGTTTCCCGCAGGTTCAGGGAGCGCCGCGCCCTCTGCGGCCCTCGCCCGTGGCGGCGCGCCCCTACAGCCGCGGCGCAGTGCGGCAATTTAAAATTCCCCTGTCTTTATATTACATGTATTTTCCAGCAGCTGTTTTCTCCACTGTCTGGGTACCCCTCTGCATTGTGTTTTATTTTTATGCCTGAATTGCTACCACGCTTTTAAAAACACAAAAATTGACAAGTGGGGCTCCTATCCTGGTGTAAAGCCCCTACTTCACATAGTAACGCGGTGTTTGTGAGGCCGAAGGACTGAAGGTCCAGTGTGCTGTGAAGGGACTTCATCTGCTGGAGGAGTCGGTCTTACTAATCCTACCTAATCTGCCTCACTTATGTCACCGAGACTTATTTATTCTATATTTGTAGGCTGTTTATACCTTAATCTCTCTGTACCGACAATATACAAGTTTACTTGGGAAAATGAACTCACAGGAGGAAGATGAAGTGTGGCAGGTGATCATCGGGGCCAGAGTTGAGGTAGGCCTGGCCGTGGTGTCTGGGCGACTGGGTTACGGTATCTGCCCAGTGGCGGGTCTCTGAGCCCTCCCTTCTGAGGTCTGCTGAAACGTGCGCAGCCTCTTCAGAAGCACTCTGTGTGATCCGCAGATGACTTCCAAGCAGCAGGAGTACCTGAGGCTGGAGAGCACCTGGATGACCGCAGTCGGCCTTTCCGAGATGGCGGCGGAGGCTGCGTACCACACCGGTGGGTCAGAGCTCTCGCCGTGGGGGCGCCGTTTGTGCCTTCTTTTAGCTGTAAGAGGAGGGAGTTGTATTATACGGACTAGAGCCCACTGGGGCCCCCACTTGGTGAGAAACAGTCCCCATTGCCAGGGTATCAGCCAACCTTTTATTTCCACGGTGGGAAGATGAACGCCCCCGCAGACCGGACCAGTAGAAGCGAGGCTGTCAACGTCTAGAAAACAAAAAATAGTGAAATGGTAAATCTTCCACCAATTGGAAAATTTGTCTCCAAATAGTTTTTAAGCATTTTATTTTTTATAACCCATATAATTTATGAACAACTAATATTTGTCTGTTTCAGACTTTGTTGGAAACATTTCATAGGCACTCTTAATTTAACCCCCAAAGTTCCCTTACAGTGGGACCTAGTGTTGTTATTCCCACTTGACAGGTAAAGAAACTGGGGGACAGAGGGGCTCAGTAACTTCCCAGGATGCTGCGGGACACGAGGCAGGCAGCACACAGGCAGGTCAGACCCCCCAGCCTTCACTCCTGGCGGCCTGGGCTCCGTGCTCTGTGCCCTGGTGCCTCGATGTAGGAGGCGCAGTCCCTCCTTCTCCTGGCTGGTTTCGAGCATCGCCAGGCATACACTGGGCTTAAGCAGAACGGCTCTTTAATTAAATGTATTTTGAGGGTAACTCCAGTTTAACATCTTACCTGACTGGTCCCAAAAAGGTCGCTCGCAGAAATTATAGCCCAGGGCCAGCTCTTATTAAGAAACTGGTATGTTAAAACACCAAATCTTAAAAAGAACACAAAAGGCTTCTTTTAAGTAAAAACAAAAGAATTTGAGGAACCAGAGGTGGTGACGACAGGACAGGAGGGAAGAGCGAGGCAGTAGAGGTGGTGAGGGCAGCATGGTGGTGGCGGCCCTGCAGGTGGGCACGCACAGGGAGCCGGGGTGGAGGCCGCGCGGCAGGGCACCCGGGCAGCCCCCGCGCACGAGGCAGGCTTGGAGCTGGCAGAGGGAAGCAGAAGTGTGCATGTAAGCGCTGTTTGAAAAAACAGGCACTTCCCAGAGCTGACTGAAAGGGCTCACAGAAGTTCTGAACAGAATTTTTCTTCCTTTAGAAAGGAAAATGTTGATTTGCTGTTCCAGTTACTTATCCATTCATTGGTTGATTCTCATCCGTGCCCCGGCTGGGTATTGAACCTGTAATGTTGGAATGTCAGGATGACGCTCTAACCAACTGAACTGCCCTACCCGGCCAGGGCCAGAATTAAAAAATAAAAAAAATCAAAAGGCAAAGGGCAAAAAAAAGAAAAAAAAAATATTCAGAATGTAAAATACGCATAGAAAAATCCTAAAAACTATAAGAAAAAAATAGATGTATTTACAAAGGACATATTATCAGACATTGGTATTCTTATCAGCAACCCCAGGTGCAAAACTAATAACCTAGAACTCTATATCCAGCCAAATATCATTAAAATGTAAGAAAGATATTTTCAAACATACAAAGACTCAGAGTTGCCCTGGCTGGTGTTGCTCAGTGGATTGAGTGCTGGCCTGCAAACTAAAGGGTCTCCAATTTGATTCCCGGTCAGGGCACAAGCCTGGGTTGCGGGCCAGGTCCCCAGTGGGGGGTGCGGGAGAGGCAACCACACATTAATGTTTTTCTTCCTCTCTTTCTCCCTCCCTTCCCCTCAGTTAAAAATAAACAAACAAAATCTTTAAATAAATTCTTTTTTTAAAAAAAGTCTAATATTAAGACAATGTGTCTTTTTCTTCACAAACAAGGTAGGGAGCCTTAGCATGTTTTCACTTCTACCCCAAATTTATTTCTTTTACTTTTTAATCCTCACTGGAGGATAGGGTTATTGATTTTAGAGAGGAAGGGAGAGAATCATCAGTCGGTTGCACCCCGTACGTGCCCCAACCAGGCATTAAACCCGCCACCTAGCTCTGTGCCCGCAGCCTTCTGGCGCACAGGACAATGCTCCAGCCGAGGCGCCCTGCCAGGGTCAGATTGATTTATTTTTTAAAAATTTGTTTAATAGAACTTCTCCTGAGAACTTCTACTAAATTTTGTTCATCATTATTGTATCTCAGTTGTTTCTAATTTTTCTTTACAGAGTAGTTTTTCCAGAAAAAAACATGCATTTGGTAAACTTTGAGTTTTTTTATTAAAGATTTTAATAAAATCTTTTTAGAGGGGGAGGGAGAAAGGAAGAGAAACATCGGTGAGTTGCCATTCACACACCCCCAACCAGGGATCTGGCCTGAAACCCAAGCACATGTCATGACTGGGAATTGAACCAACAACCTTTCAGTTTGTGGAACGACGCCCAACCCACTGAGCTATACCAGTCAGTGAGACATTAGACATTGTTGAAAACTGCAAAGAGAATTGGAGAGAAGGGACAAAGAAAAGCCAAAAAGATTAGAAAGAAATGAAATCCTATTAGAAAAGGCAAAGTAAAATAGAGGAACAAGATCAAATATCAGTAATCGCAGTAAGAATAGATTAAATTTACTGTTATTTACTGTTATTAAATACTTTTAGATTGTGTTCAAAAAATAATTCCAGCTACAACTGTTACAGAGGCACACCCCTAAAACAAAAGCATAGGAAGGCTGAAAATTATAAAAAGGAAAACGGAACCATAAACAAAAGAATATTACTCAAGAAAACTGGCATGTAAGAATCAGGAAAAGGATTCAAGGCAAACAGCATTAAAAGGGAGAGGACATCAAGAAGCCATCAATCATGAAATATGTATGTAGGATGCAAAAACTGATAGATTTTTAGAGGAAGAAATTGAGCTTTCTACACATCTCAGACTCATTAGTTAAGACCAAAAAATATTAAAGTGAAAAGTGTTGGAACAGAATGATTTCTAAAAGCTTAACCAAATATATATACTGAAAAGAAAATTTTGTTCCTACTACCCTCCCTCATCAAATACTCTTCAAAAATAAATATAGCATGTACAGAAGTTGATTTTGTGCCAGGTGACAAGCACTTAGCAAATTCCTTCACACCCTTTCCCCACCAAAAATCAAAACTGAAAATTTAAAAATACTTAGAGCTGTGATGACAGGTGCAGTATCCAGCAGACCCAGGGAGTTGTAGACAAAGGAGCTTTACAGAGAAAGTGGCATCTTTGAAGGCATATGTCATAACTACAAAGAACGGCAGCCATGAATGACAGGTCATGTTTACCATACAAGAAGCACTAAGTTACTCTGAACCCAGAACTTAGAAAAAGAAGGAAGTAAATCCAGACAGTGAAAGAATTAAAAAAAGAAAAGGTTTAAGGAAATTAAAAAGAAATAGAAAGACAAAATCTGGTTCCTTGAAAAGAATGAAAAACCTAAGATTTGGCAAGTATGACTTACTGGAGAACAAAAGTAACATCAGAAAGAACTATTATAGTTATGCAGGTTTTTTACATAAAATCCAAAAAGACCAATAACCAAAGAAGCTAACATGGCATTCAGAGGTGCCGTGCCCCAAAAGCGGGCAGCGAGCCCAGGCCGTGTGGCGGGAGGGGCTTTATCGCCTCTCCCGGAGTCACCGTCCCACTGTCACAGAAGGTGCAGGGTGACCACAGCCAGGCCTGATCCCAGCCTAGACTAGGCCAGCTCCAGGACAGAAAGTCATAATCCAGTATCGCGAATGCAGATGTAAACTAAATACAGTCGTTTAGCCTCAAAATACAGTAATTCAGCACTGGAAGAAAACTAGCAGCATAATTCACTACTTGAGGAAAGCCGCCCGTGTAACCCTATCACCATACACCCCCAACGCCTTCAGTAAAATGTAGTGCCCGTTTATGACAGATCCACATACAGTAGTGAGTAGAATTTTCTTACATGATGAAGATTAAGTAAACCTACCTAACAGTGAAATACGAGCAGCTTTTCCATCAAGGTCAGAAACAGCAGGTGGCTGCCTGCTGTTACCTGCTGCACTCAGCACCGAACCGAAGGTTCTCCTGGTGCGGAGAGGCCGCCGCCCCCACGCAGCCTGGGTCACTGGAAAAGACGCCTGTCTAGGTGAAGAACACTAGCCGCAGGCAAAAGAAGGGATAGAGTTCAAAATCATTTTTAAACAAAATTGCGAAAACGTTCAATAAATACCATTTGTGCCATTGTGTAAATTTACAGTAACATTTTCTAAGCATTCCATATGCATATGGTCACATTTAAAAAGATAAGATGCCTTTTAAACTTCCAACAGAAGTTATATCTGAAGATTGGTTTGGATGCGGAAAGAACTCTTTGACAATTTTATCATTGATCTCTTAATCTGTCAAAAAGAAATACATTACTTGAGTTAAAAACTTAAATCCATTAAAAAAACAAATTCATAAAACATCAATATTAGGAGCTAGGTAGCTATAAAGCTTGTGGGAATTGCATTTAATAATTATAATGATAGCTGCTCCTGGCTGGAGAAAAAGGCTCGGATTTTGACAATAAGTGAAACGCAGACCTGCGGCTCTGCAGAGAGAGGGTTGGCGGGGAGGACAGGGAAGGGGGCTCCAAGGGGGGCTCAGGTGACAGCCGTGGAGCCCCCAGCAGCCCCTCCTTGCATCCACTTGCACCTGCCCTGTTGGCCTGCTCAGCTGCTTGTCCCATCTCTTGGCAGGAGCAGATCAGGCCTCTATCACTGCCAGGAATCACATTCAGCTGGTGAAATCGCAGGTGCAGGAGGTGCGCCAGCTCTCCCAGAAAGCAGAAACCAAGCTGGCAGAAGCACAGACGGAAGAACTCCGTCAGAAGACGCAGGAGGGAGACGACAGGGCCGAGCCGGAGCCGGAGGCCTACCTGCGTGAGGACTGAGTGCCCGAGCCGCTGCCCACGTCTCTCCGCTCAGCCTGGGGCCGGCTTGGCTTCCTCTGCACCGAGAGGTAGCGGCAGGCCCTGCCCTGGCCCATCAGGCCTGGGGCCTCCCCTTGGCCTCAGGCTTGTACTGGACCTGTTCTTAGCCCGGGGCGCTGCGCCCCACTCAGCACAGCTGCCCTCTTGCCCCCTGACATTTTACCTCCCACCCAGAGCACCTTACCAACCTGGCCAGAGAAGGGGGGCTTTTTTGTCGTGCCCACAAGTTCAGTAGCTGTTTTAACCTGTTTCCCATCGTATTCACATTTTCAAATAGGATTTAGTATTTGCCTCTCCCTAGGAATGTGAGTTTGGAGGAGAGGGAAGCCTGTCCTGTTTGTAAGACTTCCTTTCAAGTTCCTAACGCCTTTGACCTGGCCCACTGCCCCGTCAAGACAGCTCCGGCCAAAGAGCCAAAAGTCACTTCTTAAGGCACAATGCAGGGTGTTTACCTGGTAGTCTCAACAGGACTTGCTCCAACACTTGCTTCTCGTGTCCTCCTTTCCTTTGCATTTATTGTATATGAAGAATAACTTTTTATTTTTTATTTTTTGCATTTAAGAAGATGTGTGTGTGTGTCTTCTGGGGTCCTCGGCCGCCTCCCGCTTTTGCCCCTCCCCCCAGACTGGCAGAGGACCAAGGGGGGGCCAGGAGTCCCCTGTGGAGATCCGTCTATGATTCAATACGTGTCCGTACAAGTCAGCCAAGTTGCAGTGTTTTTAATCAAAGTTAGAAAAGTGTGGGAAGGGGTTACAAAACCTAAGCATTTTCCATAGACCATCGCAGGTTGTTTCAATTCTGTCCATTTCTCGTGTTGGGAAAATCCACTCAATCCGCTCACTCAGCCCACCCCTCGGAGCTGGGACAAGGGAGTGGCCGTGCACTTGAGCCCCTCGTCTGTCACCAGCGCCCACATGGTCCACATCTCCGGAGGGCTGAGGCGGTGCACCAGGAGGAGCCCTCTGTACAGGCAGGGGTCCAGGGGGTCCAGGGGCCGCCGTATGCCAAACGTCTTGAAGCCAGCGTGGTGCGTGGGGCTCACCCCTAGCTTCCGCAGGCACATGCCCACAAAGACGTCATCGATGGGGAAGAGTTCGGCCTCCTCTACGGCTGCTTGGAGGCGCCGCACGGTGGCTCTGGACATGACATACCCCCCGCCACCGGCATAGGGCGGGTAGTGGCGGGCCCTGTACATGGAGGGCGGGATGAAGTATTTGACCTTGGTGTTCCTGTTGGGCAGAGCCTGGCGGATGACGTCTCCCACCAGGAGGTCCCGGGCTGGGTTCCAGCCGTCCAGGAACTCCAGGACATTGGGGACATGGACAAAGACGTCGTCATCTCCCTTTAGCACAAAGTGTGCCTGGGGACAGGCAGCTGCCACCCAGCGCTGCAGGTGCAGCTCCTTGAGTGTCAGGTTGAAGAAGTCCTCAGCAAAGTCCCATTGTAGGATGTCATCAAACTCCCGACTCTCATAGGCCAGCAGCTGGGCGGGGGGTGCAGGCCCCGACACCCCCAGGAGGAACACCAGCTTCAGCTGCCGGCCCCCCGCCCAGTCCCCCGCCCGGCCCCAAGTGCTGCGGATGGCCGCTCGCCGCTCCACGTGGCCAGGCTGTGACTTGATGGCCAGGAGCAGAAAGATGTCCTTGGCACAGCCTGAAGGCTCCAGCAAGATGGAGAAGTTGCGGCAGTGGCGATAGGTCAAGAAGAGGCGGTGACGGCTAGGCAGGGACAGGGAGGCATTAGCCACTGTGTGGTTGGGTGGACACGGGCTGCGGGGGGGCCCTGGGGGGGCCCAGAAGGGCTGGCGGGCCGCGGGGGCCCCTGCCGGTGTGGCCTCCTTCTTCAGGAAGAGCAGGCAGCTGAGCAGCAGCACAGCGAGGCTGTACAGGACCAGCCAGCCCAGCCTGCGGAACATGGCAGTGCCTGCAAGGAAAGGGCGCATGAGTGGGCGGCCGGTCCCCGCCTCCCCGGCCCCCAGGGCCACAGCTCCCCATGACCCAGCGTCTACGTCCTGGCTGGCCTTGGGGCCTTAGTTACTCATTTCAGCACGACCTCCGGCTCCTCCTGGAGTCCCTCTCCCGGCTGCAGTCGGCCCTCGCCTTCCTCTGCCCTGGTCCCAGGGCTCTCGGGTCAACTTCTTCCCAAAATGACACAGACACTGTAAAACTGAGGTGGGCACCGTGAGTGTTTTCAGCACTTCCCACAAAACTCAAGTACCTACGTGCTTTAGTGGAGCTGGCACAGAGCTAGTTGAGCTGGTAAAATCCATTCTAAGCACCAAAAGTGAGATCCCGGGCTCCTGTGTCTAAAGGCAAACCATTCCCAGAAAGTCTGGGGTCTGGTCTGTTGGTGCAGGCCCTGTGTTGGGGGTCTCAGGTGGCGGCCACCACAGGGCACAGCCTTCGCACCCGCTGAAAGGGCCTGAGTTTCCTGGGAGACAAACGGGGTCAGTGACCAGCCACAGGCGCGGGAGGCGCACGTCTGCGGGTGGGAAGGCTGGAGACGCCCGGGGACGCCCGGCTACCGCCGGGGCCTCCTGGGTGTCCCGTGAGACTCGCAGCGAGCGGAGCAGGAGGCCGAGAAAAGCCCCGCAGAGGCGCCTGGCCCAGGCCCTGGGCAGCGAGGCCCGGCCCTAACGCCCCCTCTCCGCCTCCGCACACAAGCTGCTCAGGAGGTCGGTGCCAGGGTCACAGCCCTCACGAGGACGCACAGACCCTAGAAACGAGCACGAACGTCAGGGAGCGCCGAGCACAGTCCGGCGCTGTCCCAGAATCCAGGGACGGGATGCGGTCCAGCCCACAGCGGCTCAGAGGCCCACCCGGATAAAGGGCACCTGAGCGAGAGCTGAATGGAGTCAGGGGCCAACCCCCGTAAAGATGGGGGGACAGAGCGCCGGCCAGAGGGGACAGGCACGTGCGGAGCTCCTGCGGCAGGACGCTGGGGACAGAGCCCGGAGGACGGGGTGGCGGAGCCCGTGCACCGGCCGGCCGCGCTGCGGGGCTGCGGAAGCGCGGGGCGCGGCGGCGGCCCCCGGGCCACCGCAGGGTGGGGCAGGGGCAGGGGCAGAGGCAGGGGCAGGGGCAGGGGCAGGGGCAGGGCGAGAACGCGCTGGTTCAGAGAGCCGCCCGCTGCCCGGGTGAGAAGAGCCGGCCGGGAGCCGGAGCCCAGCTGAAGGCCGTTGCGTTGGTCAGGACCCAGGGCGCAGACGCGGCCGGGCCGGCGGCCGCGGGGCGGAGGGGCTGGGCGGGCTTCAGGTGTGGAAAATGGGCTTCAGGCGTGGACGGCACGCGGGCCGCGGGACGGCGCCCCGGGCGGGTGGCCGTGCCAGTCCCCGAGGAGCGCGCGAAGCAAGCGGCGGGATTCCGTGCGCGTCCCAGCGGCCCGAGCCGGGCTGCCCGGGGGGCCGACGGCCCCTCTGCCCGCCCCGCGCCTCCTGGAGTCCCACGCCAGTACCTGCTACGCGGCCTCTCGCTCCCTCCGGAGAGCCCCCCGCGCCTGGCTTCCGCGAGTGCACGCCCCCTCTAAGTGGGGTGCTGAGTCCCAAGGGTCTACGATCGTTTCTGCGGTCACAGGGCTCAGGGACCCGACACGCCACGACGAGGCAGAGCCAAGAGCTGGCTCATTCCTTTCCCGTGCGTTTCTGCGGGCTGTGCGGGGCCGCAAAGCATGAACCAGGGGCCCCGCTCTGGGCACCGCTCCGGGCCGGAGCCCACGAGCAGCGTCGCCCGTCGAGGCGTCCGGGGCAAGTGGCCCAGGCCGGGCCCATCCTGACGCCGGCTCGACGGTTCTGGTCACAGCGAGGAACGACTGGGAGGCCACCCGGCCGCCCGCCGCGGCCAGACCCTGTGCCTCCCGGGAGGGGTCTGACGTCCCCGGGGAGCCCCCTATGCACACAAGACACCCCTTCCAGCAGCGGGGCTCCAGGCGCCGCGGCCGAGCACGACCCGCGCCACGCGGACCTACCTGAGCCTTGTCACTGTCGGGCACAGGCGAGGAGTTAGGCGAGCAGCGCCAACAACTGAGCGGAGACGCAGAGCATCAGCCTCAAGGACCTCGCTCGGCTCGGGGGGTGGGCGGGGCCGGGGCGCCCCCGAGCGCCGACCACGCCCGCCGGTGGGTGGGGCTTCTGGAGGCGGGGTCCCTCCCACCTGGGGCTCCACAGCGCCCCCGCGCCCCTGGGGCGGAGTGGCCGGGCCAGCCCTGGAGAGGCCGCCCCGCTCCCGCAGCGCCCCGCTCCCCGACGCGCGGCGGCCAGACAGACGCGGGGCTGCGGTCGTCAGAACAGCCTTTAATGCGTCAACGAGGCGAAGGTCCGCAGCGCCTCGTCGGCCGTGCGGCACTGCATCAGCTGGATTTGCACCTCAACCGTTAGGGGTTCCGGCTGGTAGTCGTCCCCGACCCCTGCGCGAAGGACGAGCGCGCGGGTCCGCGGACGGGGCAGGCTCGCAGCCGGCCCTCCGTGCGTCCGACGGGGCCCGACCTGGCTCAGACTCCGTTATAACGACTAAAGTGAAATCGCATTTGAAGGAGAGAGGACCACCATTGCACTTGCAAAGACACAGACAGACTGTGGTTCAATCGTGAATATTTCGCAGATATTTTCTTTTAAAAAAACGAATGAGCCCTGACTGGTGTGGCTCAGTGCATTGAGCGCGCGTAGGTTGGATTCCCGGCCTGGGTACGTGCCTGGGTGGCGGGCCAGGCACCCAGCAGGGGGCGCGCGAGAGGCAACCACACAGTGACATTTCTCTCTTCCTTCCCCTCCCTAAACATAAATAAATAAAATCTTAAAAAAAAAATAAAATAAAATAAACGAATGAAGCAAGCCTGGCACTTAAGGGAAAGCAACTAAAAACACTGTGATAACTTCATAACACTCGAGCTTTCAAATACAAATCAGAATTTTGGAACATTGTATCTGTTCCAAGCAAATTTAGTTTTCCAACACTCCAAGACCCCTCTCATGATAAGGCCGCTGATATTAAAGAGTGCGATTTTGGGGTAATGTATGATGAAATGTGTCCACACTCAGAAGATCTGCATAGCTCAGTATTTCACAAAGAACCAGTGTCTGACGTTACCAACTGCATGCGGATGAGCCGGCAGCTCAAAATGCAGTGAGTGCACTCCAGTGGGTTTTACCATGGCTGATTGTGAAAGCGTCTATTTGTATAGATTCAGCTTTCACGTTGTAATAACCTTAAAAAAAAACTAGTGGTCACAAGGGCAGAGCCCTCACGATGGGCCTGGTGCCCTCAGAAAGGGGGCCCCAGAGCGCCCTGCCGCCCCTGCCTCCAGGTGAGCGCCCGGCCGGGAGGCCCGGTGATGAACCCGGAAGGGCCTCACCTGTCAGTGTCAGCGCCTTGCTCTTGGACTTCCTAGGCTCCAGGGCTGCAAGGAACAAACGCCTGCTGCTCAGGAGGCGCCAGTCCGTGCTGCTCCGCCTCTGCAGCCCCGGGGGGGAGGGGGGGGCGAAGACCCGCCCTCGGCCAACGCCCACTGCCCTCAGTCCCTGCCGTTCCGCTCACCTTTTTTAGCTTTCTTATTCTTCCATTCCTGAGAGAAAGAACCACCACATAAGATGTTCGCAGGGCGAGGGATGCGGGGAAGGGGTGGACGCCGGTGCTGGCGGTGACTTGAGGACCCTCCTGGTCCCCGAGGCAGGGTGGGGTCTCCTAGGCAGGACAGGGGCCCACCTGCCCCAGGACCTTCAGGGAGGCCCTCCTCCCCCCAGGCCACCCGGGGCAGTGCGGGCCCTGCCAGGGCTGGGGCTCCCCGTGACGGCAGGGGTTGCGGGGGGGGGCTCCACCCTGCCCCTCCCACGACCCGGCCCCACGGTACCCTGAGGAACGTCAGCCTGTCGGACTCCATGGTGCGGACCACCCCAAAGTTGCACAGGGTGGACACAAGTGACTCGCCCGCCAGCAGGGGCTCCAGGACCACCAGGCCGCTGCCCAGCACCCGCAGGACGGGCGGGTCCTGGCGGAGCTCCTTAGGGAGCTCTCTCTTCTTTTTGGGCCCCTTCTGTTCCTGGGAGGAGAGGCCAGGAGGGTGACAGGGCCCCCGGGACGTGCCCAGCACCCAGCGCCACTGCCCAGGGCCAGCGGTACCTTTGTTGTCTCTGTCTTCCCTCCGGCGGCCGTGTCCTTCCCACCTTTTCCCTTCTTGCCTTTCTCCTCTTTCCCCTTCTTGTCCTTCTCCGCTTTCCCCTTCTTGGCAGGCAAAGGACTGTCAACAGGAGGTGGCACCATAGGCCACGACAGAATCTAGGGGGCAGCAGGGTGGCCCTGCGTGAACACAGCCACGCTGGGGCCAGCGGGGGTCTTCCCGGAGGGGCGCCAACCGGGGGGCACAGCCGCAGAGGCCGCAACAGGCAGCCGGAGGCCGCGAGCGCCAGTGTGTCTGCCTCCGGGGACGCCAGCGCCCACCTTCTCCTCCACAATGGTCACCGTGGTCCCCGCCAGCAGGAAGGCCTTGAGTGGTACCAGGTCGCTGAACGTGTGCTGCATCTCATAGTTGTAGGGGATGACGTCTGCCCAGGGCTTGCGGGCGGTGCTGAAGAGGACTGTCCTGGGAGGGGACAGGAACCCAGGGTGTCGTCACCCAGGCCGGGGACAGGCTGTGGGGCTGCGCTGACCACCGCCAGGCGAGGCAGGACCGGGAGGCCCGGGAGGGGCAGGGGGACCACGAAGGAAGCGGTAGGGTGAATGCTGTCTGGGGACTTCCTTTGGGGGTGGCAGGGGCGGCCGAACGCCGCACAGTGATGGAAACCAACCAGAAACGAATCAGGAGTTTTTAAGAACTTCAGCAAAGGAGGAGCGGAATTGTTTCAGATTCTCTGAGTTGTCCCCAAGCAGTTCTTCAGTAGTAAAATATCGTTCACAAATGCACCAAGGATGGCGGCCGACACAGTCTCTTTTCAGAGGGCGGCGTCCGCCACAGTTCCCCGCAAGGCACAAACCCGACGCCGCTGCCCCTCCTGAGAATACGCCTCCCTTCTGCCGGCCTTTCCGCCCCCCTCTGCGGTCATGGTCAAGCTTCTGCCGCCTGTCCCCGCCCTCGGGCCGCCGCGGGGCCCAGACACCGCCTGGACTTCCCTAGGGCGGCTCGTGCTGCGCAGAGGGAGGGGCAGCTACCGATGGGCCGTTTCCCTCCGCGGTGGGTCGGGGCCCGCAGGTCATCTGCTCTCTTACTTGTCGCCTGCAGCCCTGAGACCCAGAATCACGCCCGTTAAGGGTAGAACGGCACTTTCCTGATTTACGTAATGTTTTAAGTGGTGGAATTATTTCTGGCTCTCACTCCCTTGTTCACCTTTCCAAAGTTAACCCACCACCGTGGCGTCAGCGGTGACCAGAGGGTCAGCCCGCGGCAGCGGCCGGCTCGCCCCATCACTGTCTCCTCTCTGTCCCCACAGAGAGTGGGAATGGGCGGCTTGGGATCCCCCACATTCTCAGCAAGCCTGCATCATTTACTTAGAGATGAGGTTTTAAGTGATTTTTTAAAATAACTTCTCAGCACGCCGCCAGGGAAGCCAGCTCCTGCAGCGCCGGTGCCCGCCCCCTGCCCCTCGCAAAGCTCCGCCGCAGCGGCTGGTGGCAGGGCCTCTGTGGGGCGGGGTGCGGTGGGGGAGAAAAGATCCGAACAGAGCTCCATGTTTCGAAATTAGTACAAAATCGTTCATAGAGCTTCAATACTGACTGAGCACTGACTCTAAGTTCTTGTCAAATTCATCATCAAAAAGGATTCTTTATCAAGTAAGACCAGCTGTGGCACAGCGAGCGGACGGGCCGGACTCAGGAGGGCAGGGAAGAACCTGGCCCTCGGCTGGGAGGCGGAACCACGGTGCGACGCCAGAGTAGGTTCTGGACCAATGAAAACGTCAAAAGGAAAAGGCTTCTGCCCCTGAGGCTGAAATGGAAGGGGCCATGTGCTTATTCTCTCCTCTTTAAAGAAGCTCCAGCCTCCGGGGAGGGGATCCAGTTGCCCTTTGGCTCGAAGGTTGGGACTCAAGCAAAGAGAACCAACACCAAACCTGCGAGCCATGGGGCCAGCAGCGGGTGGGCCTCGGCGGTTCCCGCCTGGCCTCCCGCGCGCGCTCAGTTGTCAGGTGGGCCAGGGGAGGGCGCTGCGGCCTGTCTGGCAGGGACCGGGACCCCGGCACCCCGGGCCTGCTGCGGCCAGGCCTCCCTGCTCACCCTGGGGACGCGCAGAGCCGGGGGTCGATCCTGGGCCGCAGCTGGGCCAGCTCCTGGGCAGAGCGTTCGGACCCGGGCAGGGATGCCGACATGGCCGAGGCCCCGGACCCCTCCAGCTCCGCCGAAGCGGACTGGGACGCAGTCGTGGGCGCGGACTCCTGCGGGGAGCCTCCCGCCGCCTCTGGGGCCTCTTCTGGGGCCTCTTCTGGGGCCTCCTCCGGGGCCTCCTCCGGGGCCTCCTCCCGGGCCTCCTCTCGGGTCTCCTGGGCTAGCTGCTCCCCGCCCGGAAAGGGCTTGACAATCTGCAGAGGAGATGCTGCCAGGGAAGCTGGCCAGGGCGGCGGGTCCCCACCCGCGCGCACACGAGTGGGCGTGTGGGGCCAGGGGTCCGCGTCTTGGCGGGTCTGCGGTGGGGGCTCGGGAAGGCAAATGCGCCGGTCTTGTGCCTCCTGCGAGGCGTGAAAACAGCAACACCCGCGCGGGTCCCTGCCTCCCCCTGGGGCGGTGACCGCCTGGGGCGTCCTCCTGACAGGGGGTGGGAGGTGTGGGCAGGTGGCCGGGAGCCATCAGCCTGGCGATGGGGTCCCCGGTTGCCCCCTTGGTGGGCCTTCTGCTCTTACTGTGAGGGGACGGAAGGGCGGGTGGCTGGGGCAACGCTGCGCAGAGAAAGGCGGTGCCAGCTCGGAGCAGGGCCGGGACCAGAAAGAGCCCGCCGGGGACGCTCCTGGGCCCCGAGGAGCCAGCCCGCCGCCCCGGGACGCGGGGGGCCCCACGCAGAGCCCCCGCCCGCGCTCTCAGGGCCAGCCCGGCGCACCTCGGCCAGCACCCCCGGGGGCTCGCTCCTCCGGAACTCCTCGTCCTCCACAAAGTCGTAGGTCACGTAGTAGTTGTAAGTGACAAAAGGGCCCTGGGGCCCCGGCTCCGGGTCCAAGACCGAGGTGTCCAGAACTCCTCTGACGTTTCCAATCGTCACCACGAGCTGGGCCTCGCGCACCAGGAAGTCTGCAGGGGAGCGGGCAGGCGTGAGGCGCCGCGGGGCTGGCCGTGGGAAGGGGCAGCGGGAGGTGGGGGCCCCGCAGGCGCCGGGCGGGCGGAGCCCTGGGTTTGCAGGCTGGTTCAGTGGCAGCGGCCGTGGGCCACTGCTTGGCTGGCGCGCCTCTCAGGCCTTGCTGTCGCCGCCTGCGTAGCGGGAAGGGTGGCAGCCCACGGCAGGAGGGCCGCAGATAAGAGCTCGGGCTGCCTCAGCCCTGGGCCGTGCGCAGCAGGTGCAGGTGTTACCAGTGGTGACGGCCCGGCCTTGGGAAGGCTCCGGTGCAGCCTGTGACCACAAGGGGGTGATCTCAAGCCGCTATGCAGGAGGGCACTGCTGTTGAGCACACTTCCCATTCTGCCTGGGACGGGAGGGGACCGAGGAGGTCCCAGCCTCCCTAGCCCTTCTGTCCCCAAACCCCGCTCACAGGGATCAAATCTGGGGGAGACTCTGATAAAGAGGGTGAGCTGAACTCGGCCAGGGTCTGTGTCCCCCAGGGGGCTGGGGACAGACCACCCAGCAGCGTGGCGCGCGGGCGGCGGCCTCGGGCCCTGAGCCCGCTCCAGCTCCCTCACCCGCGCTGTGGCGGAGCCCCCGGAACTGGTACTTCTCGGTGGGAGACACGGTGACATCGTCCAGCACGCAGAGCCGGGCCAGGCTGTCGATGGTGAGGCCGCGGTAGTAGGGCACCAGGGCCAGTGGGTTCCCCTGCAGCACCAGGAGCCGCAGGCGCTGCAGGGAGCTGAGGGCGGCGAGCATGCCCTGCAGGTCGGTCAGGTCGTTGAAGCCCAGGTCCAGGGACACAAGGTTGGGCCTGGAAGGGGAGCGGAAAGGCTGCCCGGGCTGCCCGACCTGCCCCATCCCGGAAAGACAGGAGGCCAGGCGCTGAGGGCGGGGCGGGGAGAGACTGGCCCACCCTGGGCGGCCCTTGACCGAGTCAGCCCCCCACACACAGCGAAGGCCTCCCGGCTCTCCTGCCCCGCCCACGGCTCTGCCACCTGCCGGGTCAGAGGCGGCCATCACACCCCGCCTCTGCCCGGCTTCTGCCAACGCCGGTCTTCTCTTCCAGGCTCAACAGCTCGAAGCTCCCGGGGAACCTGATTCGGTGTTGTGCCTCTAGAAGATTCTAGACAGAGACTGACTGCAAGGAAGGCAGAGCAGAGCCCCTCTGGGGAGGAGCCCTGGGTGGGGACAGAGTGTCTGGTGAACTGGAGGAGACACAGGAGCCGTGAGGGGTCTGAAAGCTGGAGGACACTTTCCAAAGCCGGGCTGGCAACTGGCCACCGGAAGCTGTGCGGTCCCTCTCTTGGCCCGCGGGTGCAGGACGGAGGAGGGCGGGGGGCTGGCGGGGGGCAGGCGGCCCCCCAGGCCCACGAGGACTGGGAAGCAAACCGAAGGCACCCTGAGAGTGGAGGCAGCGGTGAGAGGGACGGGGGAGAGCGCCACCTCCGGGTCCCCTGACCCCTGACCCTCCCGTGCGCTGGCTCAGGCACATCCCCTCCGGTCCCCCCCCAACCCTCCGACCAGGCTGTCAGCGGGGAACACACAGACTTGACCCATCATCAGCCTTGTCAACAGAACCAGGGGGAGCGTCTGTGAAGTCAGGTCACAAGATGTCTACCTTTCTTTTAATTTCAAAACAGTGAAAGATGGAGGCGTTACGTTTTTATGAAATCCACTCTCAGCATTACGCAGGTGACTTAGGTTTATGGTATTATTTTCCCAGTGAAAAGTCAGGACACTTGGTATTGGCCTGCAGTCCAGGGAGGGTCTCTTCCCTGACCTACGTCCCGACGCTGGGTCAGGGGAAGAAAGCTGCTGGAGCCGTGCTAGAGCGCGGCGAGAGGGTGGGGCCAGGCGTAGGAGAAAGGGGACAGAAACGTGATGGCCACAGACAGGGACCCGCTAGGAGTGCATCCCCGGGTTACACAGGAAAGCAGGGCAGCGACGCTGACCCATGCCCTCTGCCCCTTCCGGGTCGTGCAGGAGGGGACCGCAGTGAACCTCAGCGCACGGGGCGGCCGCCCGGGCCCTGAAACGCTGGGCGCCTGCGGCCTGCTCTGACCGGGCCCGCGCCCCGCAGCGGCCTTTCTCGGGTGGCCTCTGACCTCACCGCCCTCGGCTCCAGGGCTTTCAGTTTCCCGCCCTTTGTCCACCAAGGAGACTGAGTCAACCAAGAGTTGTGTGTTGGGCAGCAGTGCTCAGCTCAGGGCAATTTTGTGCCCAGGGGAGCTCACGGGACACATTTCGGTTGTCACAACGGGTGTGGGGTGGGCACTGCGGGCATCCAGCGGGGAAAGGCCAGGGGTGCTGCTCGCCGTCCCGCTGGGCACAGGACAGCCCCACACGGAGAGCCACCCAGTCTAGGTGACGGCAGCGGGCAGGTCGCGAGGCCCTGCTCTAAGTCCTGGGTCCGAGCGAGCCTCTGCCTCGCCCGGCCTTCGCGGGGTTGGTTTTATTGGGTCAGAGAAATGAATCTCAGGGCTGGAGGCGGCAGCCAAGTAGGAGTTATTACGGGAAAGAGCAAGGCCGGGTCCTTCACGCCGCCAGGGTTGAACGCCGAGTCCCTTCCCCTGGCTTCCCGCGTGGGGCTCCCGAGTTACCAGTGCTCGGCGGTGACGTAGAGGCTCTGCTGGGGGCCCAGCAGCTTGTTGTGGCCTAGCCCCAGGTGCTGCAGGCCCGGCGGCGGGCGGGCGCACAGACACTCCACGCTGCTGATGAGGTTGTCGTAGAGCTCCAGCACCTGCGGGGGGCGGTCCCCGTGAGCCCTCCCTCCTGCCCCCGCTCCCCGGGCAGCTCAGCGGCGCCCCTCCACGGGCTCCCTTGCAAAAGTCTGGGAAGGACGAGCTCCTCCTCGGGTACTGGAAAGTTCCGTGTCCTTTTGTGAAGGAAACTTTAACGCCCGGGAACGGGGGGTGATGGTGGAGCCTACGGGGACATGCGTCACACCGGCAATCCCTTACCCACGGCCGTGTCCCTGTGTAACCCCCGCTTGGCACTGTTTCTGTAAAGGCTGACTCTGACTAATATGTAGCTTACAGATCAACAGCACTCTTATATAAGAATTCTAGGAACGAACTTCAAGAGAAGCAGACTCCAACCTTCAGGCATCCCAGCTCTGGGAGATTTGGTGGCCTCCAACCGTCAAACCAGGATGACATGAAACCAGAATGATGTAAAACCAGAATGACGTAAAGCCAGGATGCGCGAGATCCTTATCGGAGTGGACGGGGCCGGTCCCCACCTAAGGGAACTTTCCAGCCCCCTCCCCGGGATCAATTTGATCTGTTTCCCTCTCGGCCTGGGCCATTCAGATGTCTCAGTGCCCAGAGTCTCCAATGTTCCCAGGCTGCCGGCTCTTGAATAAAACTTTGCTTCCACCAGCCCGTCTATCTCTCTGTCTCTCCTTTAATTTATTGATTTTAAAGAGAGAGAGGAAGGGGGAAGAGAGAGAAACATCGATTTGATGTTCCACCTATTTATGCATTCATTGGCTGGTTGCTTGCTTATTTATTTATTTTAGAGAGAAAGAAAGGGAGCGAGGAAAAGAGGGAAACATCAACGTGAGGGAGAAATATTGATTGGCCGCCTCCCATATATGCCAACTGGGGACCAAACCCACAACCCAGGCATGTGCCCAGACCAGGAATCGAACCAGCGACCTTTTGCATTGTGGGATGAAGCCCAACCACACAAGCAACACCAGTCAGGACTCACTGGTTGCTGTTTTTATGTTCCCTGACTGGGGATTGAACCTGCAACCCTGGTGTGTCAGGACGATGCTCTAACCAACTGAGCAACCTGGCCAGGGCCCCCTGCCTCTTGATTACTGGCTTTCAAACGGCAGGCAGCTGAACCTGGGCTCGGTATCACCTGGAAAAGCAAGAGGAACCCGGATGGAAAACAGCTGTGGTTCTGGTTTCTGCCTCCAAGGCCTCACCCAGTGTTTTCCAGAGCACGGCACTGAGCTCTAGTTCTCAGTCCCTCTGCTGCGAAAGCTACTAATCTCAGCATATGATTTAAAACGGAGACCATTTCTGCAGGGATTAAGAAGTACAAATCGGGCCCTGGCAGGTGTGGCTCAGTGGATTGAGCGCTGGCCTATGAACCAAAGGGTCGCCGGTTTGATTCCCAGTCAGGGCACAGGCCTGGGCTGCGGACCAGGTCCCCAGTAGGGGGCGCGTGAGAGGCCACCGCACATGGATGTTTCCCTCCTTCCCCTCCCTCTAAAAAGAATAAAATCTTTTAAAAAGGAAAAAAAAGCAGCACAGATTGGTAGTTACAAAATAGACATGGGGCTGTGAAGCACTGCTCAGGAAGTACAGTCACCAGTGCTGCAGTGACCCTGCGCGGGGCGGGCAGGCCCTGGGGGCATGGGGGCGGTCACTTGATACGGCACGTGACCGTCGAACCGCTATGCCGTACACCTGACACCAACACAAATCAATACTGAACTTAAGCTGTAACTGAAGAAAATTTAAATTAAAATAAGATAAAATTGAGACCATTTTGATATGCGGAGCCTAAGATTCATGATAAAGCCTGGCCTCCCTATCTTTTTAAACTATTTTTTATTGTGGTAAAATGTATTTATCAAGACTTGCCATTTTAACCAGTGTAAGTATACAACACAGCGGCATTAAATCCCTGCCCCTGGCTGCACAGCCGTCATTGCTACCTGTGTCAAACGGTCTCATCGCCCCGAACGGGAACTCTGCACGCACGAAGCCACGATTGCCCGCGGCCTCACCCCAGCCCCTGGCCACTGGTAACCTCCCACCTACTTTCCGCCCCTGTGGATTTGTCCCTTCTGTATATTTCAAGGAGCTGGGATCATCTGACATGTGGCCCCTTGTGTCTGGCCTTTGTCATTCAGTGTCACGTTTACAAGTTCAGCCACAGTGTAGCCTGGGTCATTCCTGTTTATGGCCGGATCACAGCCCCTGCAGGGAGAGGCCGCACTGCGTCTGTCCACCCGGCTGCGGGTGGGCCCTGGGGGTGTCCCCACCTGCTGGCAGTCGCGAACGACGCTGTCAGCAGCACTGGTGCACACGAATCGGGGTCCCTGCCTTCCACTCCTTTGGGCTGTCTACCTAGGCAGGGGATCGCCGAGTCTACGGAAATGACGCTTCTGAGGAACTGGCCCCACGCCGGAAAGGCCTGGGGCCCGGCCCTGTCCACAGCCACCACGTGTGGGCGGGGGCGGGGCAGGCCTCCGGCGGTGGGGGCTCCTTTACCTTGAGAGTTGGGGGCAGATTGGCCGCTGTGACCTCCTTGATCTGATTGGCACTCAGTACCAACTCCTCAAGCCTCGGAAATTTCAGCAGGTCTTTGTCCACCAGGCTCACCTGGAAAGAGAGGAGGGGGCGGGAGGCGCTGGGCTGGGTGAGGCAGTGCGGGGGCAGACGCCACACCGCCAAGAGGGTGAGCACGGCCTTGGCTTATCCGCCTGCACAGAGTGGCCTCCCAGCACCCCACGCCCTTCCTCCCTGTGAGCTTTTCCTGCATCCTTCTGCCAGGACCCAAGCGTCTCAGGCATGGCGGTGACCTCTCACCCCTCCCGACTGTGGGTGTCGTGCAATTCCCAGCTCAGTGGCCGGTGGCCCTGGTGGGACTGGGAGCCCCTGAGGGCAGGCGTCCCGTCTCCTTTGCTGTCTCCCCCAGAGCCATGGTGAACCCGAAGGTCTTAAGGAATCACTGTGGTGGGCGCACAGCAGGGCCAGACCAGCAGCTTTGGAGCCCGAGCGCGAGTCTGCAGCTCCCTGTGGTGTCATCGGGGGCCCTTCCCGCTGGTCCTCTCTCCTCGAGGGAGACGACCGTGCCAGGCTGCCTAGGACTGAGGGGTCCCAGGGGCGTGACAGTTTCAGTGTTAACACCAGGCAAGTCCCAGGCAAACTGGCTGCTCCCCGCTCTTGTCCAGCAGGTACTGTGTCACCAGTTTCTCTGGGAAAGGGGACGCAAACTCGCAAGGCCTGAGACCACGTTTCCATGCAAGCTCGGGGCTCCGTTACTGACAGGAGCAAAGCAGGCTTTTCAGGACAGGAGTTACTGTGGCACTCACGTTTCCCCAGGCCCCAGTCCCCACAGCTGAACTTAAGTAAAACCAACATGAACGCTTTGAGAGATCTCCCCTTGGTCCCAGGGGGGCGGGGCTGGCAGCCGGGTGCTCCAGAAACCAGCTCTCTAAGTTGCACGTGGACTCCCGCCCGCGGTGCAGGAAGAAGCTGGTGATCCCAGAAGATCAGGGGAGCAGGCTGCTCCGCCTGGTGGACCAGCTGGGAGATTAACCAGGAGGGCGGAGCTATCCCTTCGCTCTCCCACTTGGCACCCGGGTCTTCCCGCTCAGAGCGGTCAATTGCCTCTGGACGCCGGTGCCCGCTCCCACATTCACCTGCTTGTCCACCACCCGGAGGGACCTGAAATAGGAGTACAAGAAGGTGTCTTTGAGCATCAGGGGATTCTGGATGGCCAGCTGTCTCAGGAACCGGTCCTCTGCGCTGGAGTCTTCAGGCAGGGCCCAGGGCGACTGGGGGCTGCAGACCAGGCCCAGCAAGTCCTCCACTGTCTCCTCCCCGGGGCTGCCCGCCTCCTCCTCTCTGGGGATCAGCTCCCTCCACGTCTTCCACGTTCGAGGAAGGAAGCGCGACTTATTCTGCGGAGGTGGAGATGGAGAATCTGTTTATGACTCAGTCCTCTCAAGGATCTGAAACTCTCGGAATTGAACAGATTGTAAAATAGGACAATCAGGGATGAGGAGTTTAGAAGCTGAGACAACGGGTAATCAATACTTTTGACTGCCTATCAGCCATGGATGTCACTACAGTCAAGAGAAACTTAAAAAATAACGAAAAGGCCCATTCCCGCCTTTAAGACGTTGCTCTTGAGCCACAACCCTGGAAGATGCAAGTGAAAGTGACTCAACAACTAAGGGAAGATTTGTGTCCTAGAAGCCAGGAGGCACAAAAGGCACCCTGAGGCACGTCTTCAGCGAAGGAGGGGCGGCAAGGCTGAAGGGGAAATTCAGAACCTTTTGATGCCGTTGGTGGAAGACGAAGGATTTTGTCCCCGAGTTTACTTCCTCCCACTCCTTCCTCCAGGGTAGACGTCTGTGAAACCCTAGATAAAGCTTAGCACGATCCCAGGCACGGAGTCAACGTGTCCAATCGATGTGTGCTGAGGAGTGCGTGGCGCCCGGCTTCCCCCCGCAGCCCTTCCCGGCTCAGGACGTTCCTGCACATTTGGGAGCCCCCGTCTCACGGTCCTGCTCCTCCCCACCGCGGGCACTTAGCTGGAGACACGGCCGCTCTGGCTACATCGCAGAGCGGTTCCCCTGCTGGCATTGCTCTCAGAATGGGCTTCTCGCCTCAAAAGGAGCCTGGTGTCTTTAGGAAAGTGAGAGGCCCTCCCCAGATGGGTGGATGTGTTCGGCTTGGGGGGCCCTGTCCCCGCAGCCTGGGTCAGCTCCCGCAGGCCCAGGTGGAGGCCTATGGTCCCGCGCCCACCCCAGGGCAGGTTGCTCCCTAGTCGCCCAGATCTCGGCCTCCTCTCGCGCGTCCCTAGACCGGCCCCCTCTGCCGTACCCGGCCCGGCCGTCAGTCCCTAAGCCCTGGCCGGCCCGTCCTCTCCCGATCCTAAGGTCCCTCCCGCAGCCCCAGCCGGCGCCCGCACCCAGCTGCCCGCGCCGCACGGAAACTCGTGCAGACACAGCTGCCGCAGGTGCTCCTGGACCGCGGCGCTCACTGTCCCGCCGGACGCCTCCATGGCCTCGCGCGGTCGCGGAGCCCTGCCGGTTGCTAGGCAACCGCCGAGACGCGCGTACGCTCCCGGAGGCGGGGCGCGCGGCGGCGCAGGCGCTCCGGGGGCCCACGGCTTCCGGGTGGAGCCAGCTCTTCCCGCCGAAAACCCGAGGCTCGGACTCGGTCCCAGGCGACCTGGATTTTTCTCTTCCGGCCTCGTTTGTGCTCGCAGCTGAAAAACGAGATGACGGGCCACGGGCCACCGCGCCTGGGGTGCCACGGCTGCGGCTCCCAGCGGGTGCCGAGCGCTCCCCGCTCGCAGGTCGTTTTCTCCTCCCAAGAGAAGTGCTGATCGTTGTCCGCACTTGACAGATCGGGAAAGGAGATGCGAGCCCATCTCAATCAAGGTCCCAATGAGTGGATTCCAGTGTGGGTCGCTAACCCACCGGCTCGGCACCGAGGCCCCATTTTGGGCTGCTCCAGTCTCACCTCTCCGTCCTCGGATCCTCTCGCTCACTGCCCCGCTCCCAGCCGGGGCTCCTGGGCACTGCTTTGTGAAAACAATGGGGAAGGATGATGCCGGTTTCCAAAATTTGGAAGTGCAGCATCTGTACTGAGATATAATTTACCTACCCTCAAATCCGCCCGTTTAGAGTACACAATGCTGTTTTAGTTTGTGCACAGTGCAGCTAGATTCAGAGCGCACCTGTCACTGTAATCTAATCGCCAACCATCAGTCTCCCTTCCCCCATCGGCCCGGCCCCTGGCAGCCGCGAACATGCTTTCTGTCTCTATGGATTTGCTCCTAATAAACACTTCACATTAAGTGGAATCATACGGTACTTGTCCTTTCGTATCTGGTTTTCCAGGGTCAGCCGCGGGGTAGTGTGTCAGCCCTTCATTCCTTTTTAAGGTGGAATAATGGTCCATTGTAGGCACAGAACTCATCCTGCTTATTCATTCATCAGCGGAGATTTGGGTTGTCTTCACTTTCTGGCTTTGAAGAATAACGCTGCTATGAACGTTCGTGTACAAGTTTTTGGGTGAACATATGTTTTCATCTCCCTTGGAATGAGTTTCTCCAGGAACGCAATTGATAAGTGATATGGTAACTCTATCCTTAACATTTTGAGAACCGCTAGGCTGTTTTACACAGAGGATGCACCATTTTTACAGTCTCACCAGCAATATGTGTGTGTGGGGGGGGGTGTCTCCAGCGTGTTCAGATCCTAAATTCTGTTATTTTACCTTTAAAAAAATTTTTTTAGCCATCTCGGGTGTGAAGTGGTAAGTGGTAACTCATTGTGGTTTTTATTCGCATTTCCCTAGTCCCTGACTAATGATACTGAGCATCTTTCCATGTGCTCATTGGCCATTTGCATATCTTCTTTGGAGAAAGGTCTATTCAAATCTTTTGGTTATTTTCAAATTGGGTTAATTTTATTTGAGCTGTAGGAGTTTTAAAAATACCTCCTGGATACTAGCCCTTTGAATTATATATGACTTGCAAATATTTTCTCCCATTCTGTGGGTCGTCTTTTTTCACTTTTTTGATAGTGCCTTTTGACAAACAAAAGTTTGTAATTTTGATGAAATGTAATTTACCTACTTTTCTTGGGTAGCTGTGCTCCTGGCGTCACTTTTACGAAACCATTGCTGGTCTGTAAATTGGGGTTTGCGACTTCTTTATGTATTCTACTCACGAGTCCTCCGCCAGATTTGTGATTGGTAAGTATTTTCTCCTAGTCTAAGCCTGGCTTTCCTCTTGACGGAGTCTTCAGCCGAGCAAAACACGTTGTTGAGGGATCCCAGTTCACTGACTGTGACCCTTCCTGCGGCACCCACGGTGGTCGATTTCTTATCATCCTTCATTACTTTCCAATAGGGGAAGACCTTTACTATTATTAGAAAAATTCTCCGAAACTACAAAATAAGGCAAAAGGAGAATCATATATCCTTTCTTTTTTCTTTTCTTAAATTACATTGTATTGATTATGCTGTTACAGTTGTCCGGATTTTTCCCTTTTTGCCCCCTCCACCCAGCACCCCCCTCCCTCAGGCAACCCCCCACCACTGCTCATGTCCACGGGTCACGTGTATAAGTTCTTTGGCTGCTCCATTTCCTATGCTGTACTTTATATCCCCATGGCTGTTCTGTAACTGCCTACTTGTACTTAATCCCTTCACCTCCTCACCCATCCCCTACAACCCCCTCCCATCTGGCGACCATCAAAATGCTCTCCATATCCATGGTTCTGGCTCTGTTCTTCCTGTTTGCTCAGTTTGTTTTTTAGATTCAATTGTTGATAGATATGCATTTATTGCCATTTTATTGTTCATAGTTTTGAGCTTCCTCTTTTTCTTCAATGAGTCTCTTTAACATTTCATATAATAATGGTTTGGTGATGATGAACTCCTTTAGTTTTTCCTTGTCTGGGAAGCTCTTTATCAGCCCTTCGATTCTAAATGATAGCTTTTCTGAGTAGAGCAATCTTGGCTGTACGTCCCTGCTTTTCCTGACTCTGAATATTTCTTGACAATCCCTTCTACCCTGCAAAGTTTCTTTTGAGAAATCTGCTGACAGTCTTATGGGAACTCCCCTGTAGGTAACTAACTTCTCTTCTCTTGCTGCTTTTAAGATTCTCTCTTTATCTTTAACCTTTGGCATTATAATTATGATGTGTCTTGGAGTGGGCCTCTTTGCATCCATCTTATTTGGGACGCTGTGCTTCCTGGGCTTGCATGTCTATTTCCTCCACCAAATTAGGGAAGTTTCATTTCACTATTTTTTCAAATAGATTTCCAATTTCTTGCTCTTTCTCTTCTTCTTCTGGCGCCCCTATAAGGCAAATGTTGAATGCTTGAAGTTGTCCCAGAGGCTGCCTATACTATCCTTATTTTTTTGGATTCTTTTTTCTTCTTCTTGTTCTGCGTGGTGGTTTTTTACTTCCTTATGTTCCAAATCATTGATTTGATCCTCAGCTTCATCCATTCCACTGTTGTTTTCCTGTTAATTCTTTATTTCAGTTAACGTATCCTTTGTTTCTGACTGGGTCTTTTTTATGCTGCTGAGGTCCTCGCTAAGTTCCTTGAGCATCCTTATAACCAGTGTTTAGAACTCTGCATCTGATAGATTGCTTATCTCTCCTTTGTTTAGGTCTTCTTCTGGAGTTTTGATCTGTTCTTTCATTTGGGCCACGTTTCTTTGTCTCCTCATTTTGGCAGCCTCCCTGTGTTCATTTCTATGTATTAGGTAGAGCTGCTATGACTCCCAGTCTTGGCAGTGTGGCCTAATGTAGTGGGTGTCCTGTAGGGTCAGTGGCACAGCCTCCCATCACCCAAGCGGGGTGCTCAAGGTGCGCCCTTCATGTGGGCTGGGTACACCCTCCTCTTGTGGTTGCGCCTTGATCTCTGTTGGCAGATCAATGGGAGGGATCACTGAGGCCGGTCAGCTGCAGGGACAGGCTGTGACCACTGATCAGCACCTCCGCCCTCTGTGGAGGATCAGCAGTGCGGGGGCAGGGTGGTGGTGCTCCGACGTGGTCTCTAGCTGTCCATTGGGCGCAGTGACCCTGGGGTTTCCTGGGTGGTGCGGGACAAGGTCAGCCCCCACCTATGTTCTGCCTGGGGGCATCCTGCCTGGGCTATAAAGCAATCTCAGATGGCTACTACTTGTGCTGGGCTTGGAGATTCCCAGGCGAAGCCACGCTGTGAATCTAGGCTGGGCGCTGCTAGGGTCAGGCCTGGGACCCACTGAGGCCAGCTGGTGCTTGTGTGAGAGGATTGAGGAAGTTGTACAGTGTGAGCCAAGACCAGCCATTCACATGGAAGAGCAGGTTGGTGGGCCCGGGTGGGGCGGAGTCTGTGGGGATCTCCAAGGCAGGTCACACAGTGTTAGCCAAGTCGGTGGAGTCTCAGATATGGCACCAGCTTACCAGCTCTGTGGGGAAAGGGTTTAGATGAGGCACAATGGCCTCTGCTCGCCTTGACGCCAGACGCCTCAGTCTGCCCCTGTGCACCACTGGTGCCTTTCAACTGCTCCCCTGCGCTGGGGCTCAGAGGGCGTGCGTCTGATAGGGGAGTCCAAGTGTGGGTTCTTTAAGAGGAACTGCTTGGGGCTCCAGGAGTTTCTTCCATCTACTTAATCCCTCCTGGTTTTTGCAGCCGGAAGCTGTGGGGCCTTACTAGCCTGGGTCCTGAGCTATCCTTCCCAAATCTTTATCCGCCATGCACAGGTAGGGGACCAGCCTGACCCACGTCTGTGCCCCCACCCTCGCCCCACCAGTCTGGATGGATGTGGTTTCTTTAATTCCATAGTTGTCAGACTTCCATTCAACTCGGTTTCTGACAGTTCTGAATGATGATTGTTCTATATTTTAGTTGTAATTTTGATGTGGTTGCGCAAAGAGGCGAGCCATGTCTGCCTACGCTGCCATGTTGATCGGAAGTCTTCATATGTCCTTTCAAAGAATAAAATAAACATCCAAGAGTCTATTGAGATATAAACCAATCAGAGAGATGAATCAAGATTAATTCGCAGGGTTTTGATGAACCAACTAGGTGGTTTCACTTTTTTCTCACTTCTCAAACCGCAGCGATACGGCTTTCACATCCAACTTGTTCAAACTCCCCCACAAAGTCCCCGGTGACCTCATGCTCCCCAAAGTAGGGACTCTCTTCAGCTTTTATCTTAATTGGCCTCTCCAGAGTTGATGCCGGGGCTGATCATTTCCTCCTTCTTGAAAACCACTTCTTATCTCATTCCATGACATCATGTTCTTCTACATCTACCTCTTGAGAGCACCGTCTCAGTGTTCAGGGCTAAGCCATTGGAAGCAGGTGATTTTCCACATGAATGGCTGGCCTTGGCTCTGCCAGTGGAGGTGTGCCCCTGAGCTCCACATGCGGCTTACACGTCTCACATCGGCCGTCTCATGTCGGCTTACAGTTTTATCAGCCATGACAGAGAGATGACCCCTGAGTTGACGCCTCGCGTTCCTGACTTGAAGCTCCAAATCCAAATGT